TATGCTTTATTTGTCTGAAAACATGCATAAATAAAGTGAGACATTTCTTTTGGTGCTCAGTGTATTTGTTTCAGAAGGAAAAGTTGTACCTCTTCCAAGCTTCCTCTGAGCTCTTGTGGATGAGAAACACATTTGAGATACCTGGTTTGCCGGCAGAGACAGGGCTCTTTCTTTACTTCTTTTTGCCCTTCACCTACAACAGGCCCTTAGGGAAAAACACTTGAACTTCATCTCCCTCACTGCTTTGCCTCGTAAGTAAGAGACTACTGAAGGTGTTCATATTTATAACACTTAATGTTTTGTGAATCCTGGGAAATTCATTTCTGATAATTCTTTTATGTCAAAACAAATACATGTAATAAAATGTAGAAAGTGACAACTAAGGGTGGATAAAGCACACTACTGAATTAATGTGTAACTGTCTTAGGAGAACAAAAATCTGGTCCCTTTCTAATCTTTTTAATTTTCCCATTCCTTAGTTGTAATTTTTAAAATAATTCATATCAAAGCTTTCTATTTTTTTTTAATTTGCACCTGTTCGTTATGTTATATACAGTACTTATACATCACTTTCAGTAACCACTTAGCTTTATTGGTGGTATGGAGCACAGGGTACAAGGAGGGATACACCCTGGATGGGATGCCAGTCCATCGCAGGGCAACACTTACACATGAATATTACTTTTCACTACATATTAAAGACTACTTAGCACATATGCTGTACAGAGTATTACAGACAACGTTACATGAGGCGTAGCATGTCTAGTTTTTGCTTTGATTGATCTACAGTGCTATGAAAAAGTAAGAAAGACAAAACCTAATGTTAGATAAAGTGAACCTGAGTTTATCTAATATTAGATTTTTGGTTGAAGACCTGAAAACAATTTGCAATTATAGAGGACATCAGGAAGGGGGCAAATACTTTTTTCACGGCACTGTATTGCACCTGCCAGAAGGGAGAAACTAAAATAGAGGACAAGCTGAGTAAGAATGTTCAGCGCCAATAGGCTTGCTGATTTTCCTTATAGGGAAAATATGCTAAATCACCACCTGTGATCTACAGTGTAGTCTCATCAGGTCTGCAGATGGCATTTCCATTTCCATTTTAAACTGAGCAACCAATATTGCAGATAAATGTATATATACCCAACATCTATAGTACTCCTGCAGCAGAAGAAATGAACATCCAGTGGAACGTTGTTCTCATTGGTCTTGCAATCTTACCGTTCACCTCCACCTGTTGGCCCTGGACTGCTCTGCATCGAACTTTAAGACTGACTCTTAATTTGGAATTCAGGTGGATGCTGTACATACTGTTGGTGGAGCCAAAGGATGTCACTCTTCCCATTGGACTAGAGTGCTTTTGTCCTTTCTGGCCAACCAGAGATCATGGCTATCCACGCTGTACTAGGAGTATTAATCCCAGCGTACAGGCTAACTTCCTCTCTGGGATAGTATAACATGGCTTTTCTAAAAGGCTTCACCCATTGAATGACAGGGAAATTTTCTTACTTCTCCACCTGATCTACTGTGCTGTGCTTTAATGGTGGCTGAAGTGAGTCCCTTTCTATATGTTTTTGTGACACTATAAGATGAAAAGCAGTTAATGCAATGAATTATAATTAAGTGCCCTGAATAAGGATACCTACAGTACTATGGAAATAAAATAATCATCTTAAGTCAAAACATTAAGGTACTGTGGCACATAGGAATTTAAACAGACACACCAAAGTAAAACACAATTACCCAAAACACACACATCCATGACTTAATAAGTAGTATGAAACGATCTACAGTAGACCAGTCTTTTAGGTGATAATAACTTACCTTTTAAAGTGTGGTTCTGTCTCTCTGTATTTATGGGAGCCAATTTAGTTTGAAAAGTTAATTTTTAAAATATTGACTAATGGTACCAATTTCCTGAGATTTGTTAAAGGGACTGTGTGTTTTGCCAAGTCACATAATTCTTGAACTAAATACTCCAAGGTCTGTTTTAAAATACTCAAATTAATTGATATCAAAGTAAAAGACCATGAAAAGTTAACTCCCAGGAACATTATGTGATAGAAGTATATTGAGGCAGAGACTATGAACAACTTGAGACAAGTTGCTATGGTGACTTCATTGGATCAATTTCATTGTGCAGAAAACACAATAGAGCTACCCATTCACATAATACAGTCATGGGGATTTTCTGTCATGAAGATGGCAATGAAACAGAATAGCAATAACAAATGACTGTGTTCTCTGCTTTTAATTAATATGAAAGAGAAAAGATCACACAACACACATGCCAGAAAGCTCCACAACAACCTTTTTTTCCATTTGTAAATACATTCCGTCTCCAAATGACCTCTGTGTTTTCACCTTCCTTCTCAGAACAATGATACCTTACACCCTCCTCTTGAACTGATTAGGATGTGAAGTCTAAAAAACTGAGCTAATCTGTGTGCTTTTCATTGCTTTTCCTCAATTGTCAGGGTGCTTGGTTTTCTAGCACTGCATAGTTGACCAGCCTAGCTGTATGGAACAACTTAACTCACTGGTTAAGCAATTATTCCAGAAAGACCAGGGTGTGGTTCTCAAAGGAAACCATTCTCATGTTTTAGAGACTGCATTAAATTTTTGGAATCAGCATGTCCAGCTCTGCAGGAGCTTGATGCCTTGTGTTAGGGAAACTTTGGCAAGGGTGTCCGAGTGTTTAACAACACAGTGGGCTCTGTTCTGACAAGAATGAGGGATGTAGACATGGACAACGTTTAAGTCATTAAAGCTCTGCATGCAGACAGCTGCTGCAGCATCCAAGCACACCAGATCAGAAGCTGACATTTCTGCATAAATGTGCATATAAATTTTAACAATGTTGTAGCGCTAATGATAATAGTGGTAAGAATGATGAGAGTAATTAGCACCAGTTTAACAAAATAATGATAGTTCCTTGCAATTGTACAGGAATCTATAACCCTTTTCCATATTTGTGGGGGGCACTTCACCCCCCACTGGGTGGATGGGTGACGCACAGCTGCTCTATTACGAAGCAGATGAGGTTGAGAAGTGAGTAATTGTTTCACCATTTCAATTAAAGGGGAAATGTAAGGAGTGGAATTTAGCCAGGATGTTGGCAATAACAGCCTAACTCTTATGAACAGTGCCATGGAATCCATAATCACCCTGTAGTCAGGGCCTTGGTTTCATGTATCGTCTAAAAGACAGAACCTCCTAAAGCACCATGTTCCTTTCCATACCATGTGGCACTGAGTTTGAAAACGATGCTCCAGAAGAGCACCCCCTGCTGGTCTACTGACACCACTTATAGCTGCAACCTGTTTTTTAAGAGGTGTCCCAGCGCAGTACTGACCAGAGCCAGCCTTGCTGAGCTTCTGAGATCTGAGATCAGGCTGCAAAGTGGAGACACTGCTGTCACACAGCCCTGAAGAGTCATATGTCCTTTTGCTTAGCAGCATGAAGGGTGTCTTCCTATTTATGTAAAAAAAAAATGAACAGATGTCTGGGGGACATTAAATAAATCAAGAGGCTGTGCATATTTAGGATTTGACTAGACAGTCTTGACAGTCGCAAAAATGTGAAAGAGCTGCAAAATTGAAGGCAATGTAAATCCTTCCTTTGTACAGTATGTCAATTCCTGCCCCTCTGTCACGAGGATTAGCAGAGATTTTGAAGTGTCCACTGTGCATTCTCTTGTATGTAATATTAGTTTAAAAATACAGTAAGTCAAAGGCTTCAGATCTCCTGCCAGTGCTTAGGCAGACAAGTTACACGTTTTTTAATCAGAACCAATGCGGATGATCTATCTTTAAACAAAACTGCTTTTAGGGAGTGATGGGAAAGTGTCTCGCGTAGTTTCCCTCTGGGAACACAAGACACGCAAAGCTCTAGTTTTAATGGGCAGCTACAATTCCAGACAGTCCAACAACTGAATCATGAAAGTCAACAGAAGCCCCCCAAATAAAGCAAAGAATTTCCTACTCTTAGGAAGCTGCAGACAAGGGAGAGAATGCTGGTCTGTAATACTCAGTTATCAAGTTACAGTGTTTCTGTTTACTGTGGTACAAGCTCTGATTTTTTATAAAAAATACATTGCGCCTTACAGATCACTTGTTTGCAGAACAGTTGTCATACTAAATACCCAATTAAATATTTTGAATCCATTATTACTAGTCTTAATAAATGCCATACTAAATAAAGATGGAAGTGTGCCTGTCCACGCTTGCCACGGACTTTGACATTCATTTCCGTTCCACATGCGTTTCATTCTGCGCACAGAATCCATCAAACTCGGTGCTACTACTACTGTATGTGCTTGTGGCGCATTATGATCACAATAATACTAGTTTTTCTGAGACTATGTACGATTGCACGATTAACAGCAAGTTGCTTCAGACAGTCTAACTCTGAAAAACACTAGAAAGAACACTAGAACGTCGTGTGCGAAGTTCACTTTAAAAGTAACGCAATAACAATAATTAAGAAACTAACGCCGCGTTGGGAACATTCAAAAAAGTAAATGCCCGTTCCCACGTGTAGCATCTTCACTGACGCGCAGGACTCGTGAGGACTCAATATTTAAAAAAGCAAGCTATTCCTTTAACATCAATATAGAAGAGGATTTTAACTAAAATGTTACTAATGTCGCGCATAAAAACATTTGCGGCTAGTATTACTTAGCTGAGGTACCAGTTACTTTAACCAAAAGAACTGTGTATTATGTGCATAGGGGCCGCATGACGTTTGTTTCGTCTAAGACAGTCAAGTCCGGAGCATGAGATCGTCCTTGCTCTTAATTAGTCCAATATATTTCATACTACAAGCAAGAATTAATGCAAGAATGTACTGTTTTCCTCAGCGTGACCCACATTATAGAATTCACCGAGTTTTTCTGCCAACTCTATATCGCGAGAGTAAGCAATTTAATGCGAGATGTGAAGTTTTTGGGAAGAAGGGAGGTAAGATTGAGAGAGGGAGGGAGGGAAGGTACAGATCTCATCATTGCTTTTGCAGAAGAATGTTCCAACTGCTTTGAATATTATTGAAAGGGGGGAAATCCCTTATCATTTTTCTATTTTTCTTGGAAGAACTAAGCAGGATGCCGGACTTGAGATAGTTTGGATTCTTGTGCTTTTTTGCATAACTGCTTGTTTACATTTTAAGCCTTTTTCTTCTTTTTTTCTATCTCTCTTGTTTAAATTCTTCATCCAGTACTGTACCAGCCGTATCAGATACATTAGCATAATTTTTCTTGGGCGGGTTTGAAGCTTTTTCTCCTATTGGAGAGGAGGTACTGTAGACTTGGATATGGTATTTTTGTTTTCTCCAAACTTATAGCGAGGATGAATCCATGCGCATGTATTTAATATTTGTATACATAAGAATGTTGCATTCTGTTTAATGTGTTCCACCAGTTAACGACTATTCCTGAAAATAATGTTTATATATATATTCACTTTTCAATAATGTAGTTTTTAAGAGGGCAGTGTGATGATTTTGCAGTACAAATTAGAAGTCGCATCTAATTTCAATTTGACGGTAAAACGAAGGCTTGTCTTCTTGTCTCGCAGTTTCGTCCTGTGACCGGGAGAGTGGAGAGTAAGATTGGGGAGAGGATTTCTTGCACATCAGAACGGTGTTGTCATCTATTTCTTGAAGAGAAAGAAAAGTGGAGTAAGTTTGCGGAGAAGATCTCAGCGCTACAGTATGTGGCCGGGGTGGCTGCTGAAGGTGTCTCTGGGGCTCGCCGCTGTCCTGTCGCTGTCCGTCAGTTCTGCAGAAGGTGCTGCGCAAGACAGCGAGGCTGACAAATACAGCGAGCCGAAGGCAAACAGCAGGACGAAGAGGAGAGGAGGCAGCCAGGACGTGCTCAAGGGGTAATTTTATAACCAATTCTAATTGCAGTAAGGCACTTCATCGGACATAGTTTGAGCTTCCTATTGAGTTTTACACAATGGTCTGAAGTACTACCCACACTGTCCTCCATTTACATTTGCACCATTTCTAAATAATGTCATAGGCATGACTGTACATTCATCTACAGTGACATAAACATCCTTCTAGTCTCTCGACGTGTTATGCTAGGGCGATAAAAAGTGCTTATTTTAAAGTGTTAGAAGTAACAGGGATTGTGTTCCAGTTTCTGTATGTTGTCTTCTTGAATGTTCTAAGACAAAAAAAAAGCGTCGAATATACAGTTCACTAAAAATCACGAAGATGTTGAGAGATGTTACCATTAAGATGAGTGACGCACAAACATCTGTGCAATTATCTGCGCTATTTTCACATTGTAAAGCTCGCCTATAGCCATGGTTGCTGTGGTGCCCCGCTAGTTTTGATCCTTTTTGTGATACAAACGTTTAGATATGCCGGACTCTGTAAGGAAAAAAAAGTTTATCTTTTAATTTCAGGAATGCATATCTGTCAGTGGCACAATTACACGGGAAAGTTTGGAACAACGTTTTGTAATTAAAACACTGGCAAGGGCTTTACATTCCTAAAGCGCTTAAGAAAGACTCCCATTGCATCTGTTTCATTATACTGTATACAGTGTGTACTGTATATATAAAATTTATAAGCTGCGCCTTTTCTTACGTACAATTAAGACTGTAAGATATTAAAAACTTTGCTTGGTGCAAGCCCTATATTTGGAAAATACAAATAGAAATGAATTTTTAAATAGCATTAAAGAGCTTAATGAAATGATAACAAGTACTTCCCTCTAAATATGTTAGATGTTAAGCGCTGGGCTCCTATGATAGAGCCTCAGCTGAGCTTCTGCCCCCTATTTTAGAGCTCAGGTTTAATGTTAAGAGCGAACGACTTGAGGCGTTTTGTATCATTATTCCTCTATTTACTGTGTTTTAGCTCTGAAGTATTTCATCTAACATCCGAGAAAACCAGCTATCAAATTAGATATTGTTTGTAGATAAGCTGCATGACGGCAAAGGTAGCTTTGTGTTTTTGCCTCATTATTTGTAATTATTAAGGTGCTTTTATCTACTGTAGTTTATTTTATAGAGGGCAAACCTCTTATTGAACCTATATGAAGGATCAATGGAGAATAGACCTTGATGTACATCGTATTATTGTAGTTAAAGCCCGGAAATGCCAGCACTGTTTCCCCACTTTCCGTGCTTGCTAAAATGTTGCTCAACACACAAATATGTGAGGTTTATTTAGTCTGCACAGCCATTAGAAATCAAATAGTAATGACTCAATGTCATACCTCAATCACATTTTATGGATTTGAAGATTTTGGTATTGGTATTTTCTGTTGCTTTTTTGTCCTAATATCTTTAGAAAATATATTATTTTTATATCCAAAAATAAATTATTTTGTGTTTCCCCGTTGTGTACGGTTGAATTATTTTTTCCTCTGTTGTTGCGCCCACCAGGGGGAGCTGTTAGCAATGCGGGAAAGTAACCAAAAGAGATTTACAATATGACAGGTAATACAATACACGAGGTAGAAATACGACAACAAAAACTCAGGCCCTCTTTTGTTAAAAGCAGGAAAGCATAGTTTGCTATCAGTCCAAAGTTATTCTTGCGATTTGCCCACAAAAAAGGATTTTATTACTTGAAGCTGTGCTGTTTTAAATTAATTGTCGTGTGCTGTTTATATTCTTGCATTAGGTATGAGGAGAGAATTTAAGCTCTAATGCAGTTCACCAAACCTAATTAAAGTATGGTCTCTTATAAAAGAACAACATAGGTAAAAATATTTATTATTAATTTGTTTTCTGAGGTTCAAAATGATAACATGCAGCTAATGTCTCAGTTATGACAAGTAAAATTAACTTCATCCTTATTATCCAGCATATATATGTATTTTTGTTTTTTAAAAACGTGATATTATTATTCATTTTCCATAGTTATTGATTTTGGCTAGTTAAGAGGTGTTGTACCCACCTCTGCAACCTCTTTTACTGTCCAGGAAGATGAAAATAGTGTCGGTGACAAGATCATAACCCTTGTTCTCTGAAGGTCTAAACATCACCGCATCGTCCTCATGACCCTGCCTCCCTCAACTGAGCAAAGGCAGCTCAGAGAGTCCAATAAAGCAAGCCACATTTCTCTCTTGCTTTCAGGCCCAATGTCTGTGGATCACGATTCAATGCTTACTGCTGCCCAGGATGGAAAACCCTTTCTGGAGGAAACCAGTGCATCGTCCGTAAGTCATGCTCAGTTGTCTGAGGCTTGTAGGCAATCTCTGCCAGGATCCACGCGGCCCGGCATGGCTGCATGTCTCCCCCCAGTCCACCACTGACACGCTTTGTCTGTAGATAGGAAAATTAGTTTTACATTGTCTGAGTCCAACATTATATTTGGCTATGGAAACACTATTTTGGAGCCAGAGTATAAAAGTTCCTTTATTCAGCTCTGGCAGGCTTCGTCTTGATGACTAAGTAAAAAATTTTTGGGTGGAAATGATTTTAATTCTGAAAACAATATTGCTTGACACACCCACACCGGGAAGAGCTCATGCATTCAAAGGCACAGATGCAGGTTTTTCTTTTTTATGTCAAAGCTCCCCCCCCCCCACTTTCCCAACGAGTTGTCTGCCACCTCCTCCTTTAATTGAAGCTTGCTGCGAGCGGGCATGGATTAACTGTTCAGACTAGAAGCACAGAACATGGCCTTCACGTCCTTCTTTGCTGGACACCTCATGCACTGGAAAGGCACAGAAATTCAGCTCTGCTCATGACTTTCTCCTTCAGTTGTGTGAAATGCCCCAGCTAACACAAAACGTTCTAACAACATTACCAATGCTTGAGAGCAGTGGTTAGGCTGTGTTAGACAAAATCTCTCAGTAAGAATTTAGTACAATTCCTGGAAGGGTGGAGTTTGGTAATATCAGGTATTCAGACTTACCAAAATGCTTCAAGTTCTTTACAACCTTAGATGTTTACATTATGGAGGTGTTCTTATAAGACATTACTTTTCAACATATTATTAAGGTGTGAGAATGTTACGCAATCCCAGACAGTTGCTGTTGACCATTAGTTGAAGTCTTCCCCGTGGACAAGATGTTTCAGAGACATTCCCCAGTATAATGACAGGAGACACTGCACTGTAACAGGTGCTGTCCTTTGGATGAGATATTAAACCAAGGTTCTGACTACTTGGTCGTTAAAGTGTTCATGGCTTGGGTAAAATGTTGCTTCGCGCACAGACTGACCTAATTAAAAGTACACCCTTTAGTCAACTGGTGAAGCAGTTTCTCACTCCTCCACCTGATCTGCGGGGCTGCTGGTGCAAGATGGCTTCTGTGTGCCACCCAGGTGGGTGGTACACTTCTAGGGTGCATGTAGTGGGTGCCACCTCCTTCAGTTAAAAAAAAAACTTTGAAGGCAAAAAGTACCTTATAAATGCAGTCAATCAGTTCTTTAATTTGCAACAACTCTGTCAAATATCTGCTGAGGTCAATCAAAACTCAAACCAGATGCCAAAACTGAGGAACACAGATCACAGAATAGCTGATGTGATGCGCGAGGTACTATATTAACACAGCTGTGTGTGTTCTGAGTCACAGTCCACTTGTTTGCTTTCAGCAATTTGCAGAAGCTCGTGTGGAGACGGATTCTGCTCCAGACCAAATATGTGCACCTGCCCAAGCGGTCAAATTGCACCTTCTTGTGGCTCAAAATCAGGTACGTTAGCAGAAACCTTTAAACTGCGAGTGCCTCCAGCAATGGCAGAAACTTCCTCTTTGGAATTTTGGATTTTACTGTTTTGCGTTATGTTTAAATAAACATGTAGACCATCTGAGACCATCTAAAGCTTACAAATCTGATCATTTTCATCATGTATGTTAGGATGGAACTTGAAATAAACCACAACAAAAAAAAAGAACTTTGGTGGTCTAAAGGAAATATAATTCAGAAATGTTGTGTAGATGAGGAGAAAGATTGAAAAATATTAAACATTTTCTTTCAGTTAGGTTTGATCAAATCTCGGGAGTCAACCGTAATGTCTTTTCTTAAAATGAAACTTTCCCTTTCTTCTTAAAAATCAGCTGTACTGTTTTATTGGTTTACACCTGAATATTGCTACACTGTTTATCACGGTTTTGGAGGTACGTGATGAATTGACAAGACAAAAACAATGAGTTTTACCAAATTATTGTCTTTAAAGTAAAAGAAAGACTTTAGATTTTGGTTGTTGTGTACTCCTTAACAACAAGTTTAAATGGCTTTGCTGTTTGCTTGGGATGTGAAATTAGCTTTTGGCACAGCTCAGTCTAATTGAAATCAGTTTGCGGTTTTAAGTTCCTACCCTGCTTGACAGATGATATCATTTCCTGTGCCTTGCCTTGTTCATTCTGTTTTTGTTAAATACCACGAAACTGAGCTGAGCTGTGAAGGATTTGTTTCCTTCTTTTTTCTACATGATTTTATAAAGCATTTTTAAAAAACTCACACTTAAGCCTCTAAAAACCTTTAAAAAGCAGAATTTGATTTGACAAATTTAGTATTAATTTCAAGATGACTTAACCCACAAAACAGTATTTTGGATGTAGCATATTATATGCACAGCATTGAGGTTACACAAAAACCAATAAAGTAAGAAACAATGGTCAAAGCGTGTTTTTTTTAAATGAAAAAATACCATATAACATTTGGATAAGTAGAGAATATTTAATCCAGAGAATTTGACTTTTACCCTTAAGGTAAATTTAATAATGAGTTTAGTTTGTATTTGATTGTAATCCACGTGCTTTGCAATCCAACTAGCTCTGTGAGTTTTACAATATGGGCACCAATGGGAAACAGGAAATTCATGGTAAGAGATTCCGACAGTATCAGTCCATAGATTTGTAAAATACTCCAACCATAACTGTCCTTATATTGGTAGGATATTCTGGCAGTATCAGGTTTTATATTACAAAGATATGCTGACAGTATCAGTCTTTAAATTGGTAAATTACTCTGCCATTATCTTTCCTTGTATTGGTAAAATATAATCCAGCAGATTCAGTCCATATATTGGTGAGCGACTCTGGTAATATCATTCCTTACGCTGGTAAGATACTCTGGTAGAATCAGTCCTTACATTGGTAAATTACTGCAGCAGTGTCTGTCCTTATATTGGTAAAATACCCCAACACTATCAGCTCTTAGATTAGTAAAATAGTCCGGTAGTCTCATTTTTTATATTGTTTAAATACTCCAGCAGTATCAGTCCTTACATTACATCTGACAGTATTTGTATATTCAGTTGTTCAGCCTGCTGGGTATATTCAATCATGATGTTTAGGACAATATCTTTCTTTTCTTATTTGGTCTGTTTTAAGTTTCACATCAAGGCTGGCTGAGATGGTATAAGTGCAGGTTTTGTAGAGGTCAATTAGGTGTTGAAGAGGTACAAACCTCAAGTATTTTCAGCACATGGTGATGAATGCAGTCCATGAATATAAGTATTAAGTAATGCAAGTAGGTGAAGCTCATGGTGGCTTGAGAAGGATCTTGCTGAAATGCAAACAATAGTACAATAGCAAAAAATAGTTCAGATAAATCTGTTGATTTACGTAAAGTTGCAATCAAAGCTTAATTGTTACTGTATGTTCTTATTTTCTAGTTCAACACTGCAGTATCAGGTGCATGAATGGGGGTTCTTGTGCAGAGGATCAGTGCATGTGTCAGAAGGGTTATGCCGGAGCACACTGTGGCCAACGTAAGTAGGATTTGCTCTATATAAATACCTTTTCTGTACTTCCTAAAGCATTAGGCATATAGTTTTTTCACTAAAACATTTGCGAAGTAATTTTCACTTGTCTCATTGACTCTTATTAATTAACTCAGGAACATTTATTAATTAATTTACCAAAAGGTGTTATGTGCTTACATCTTGTACTGTATGTAACCCATGCATAAAGGTTGGATTACCTGTATGTGTTGCCCTTTTTCAGCGGTCTGCGAGAATGGGTGCCTGAATGGGGGAAGGTGTGTGGCTCCAAACCGCTGTGCCTGCACCTATGGCTTTACTGGTGCTCAGTGTGAAAGAGGTAGGCCTTTCTTCCATAAGCTAAATATAATGCTTTCTGTTAAACATCCTGTGGCAGCACAGGGAACAGTGTTGATTAAATTTACCATGACAGATGGTAGTGTAATAGGAGATTAAATGGAATTTTAAGACTGTTTGCTAGTGAGAGAAAGCCATGTTGTCCATTTTGCTAAATTGGAAGATAGGTGAACCCGAAATCCCATCTTCACACTTCCTGGTGGATCAGATCTCTTAATTGTCTTTGCTCTAGACTGGAAAGAATTAGTTCCTTTAACCTGTCCATACTGTATATGACAGTCCCCTGCCTATGACAATCGTTTTCTGTTGCTCTTTTTTGAGCTCTATAATATTTTTTTTTGTCGTACAGTGACCAAAAATGGAATATTCTCAATGACATTCTTCTGTTTAATTTGAAAGCTCATTGGTATGTACGTTCTGTTTGATTTTTGTATAGTTTCCTCATGTTGTCTTCACAAGAACATAGATGAATCCGCATAAACACCCAGATCCCTTTCATATGTTTTTTTCTGCAGCTCCATATATCTCCTATTTGATATGTATCTCAGTCATCTTCCCTCTTTCAACTGAAGGTTAATGGTGTGAAATGGGTTCTAGCCTCTGGTTTAAAATTCTAGCTTAAAATGTTGTTTTTTATGGAGACTGCTATGTATCATTGTCCTACATAAAGAAATAATAGTGTCAAGTTGGAAATTATTCCATAATGATTTTTTGACACAAAGTATTACTTTGTTAGATACTAACTGCAGTGTGTGCACCACATGGATGTTGTTTCAATCCTTGTAAAAAAAAAGACAAGACAAAACATCATGGAAGGAATATTATTTTCCACATCTGTTTCCAACATTGGTTTGGGAAGCTGTAATTGACGATTTTGTGTTCTCAAGGAATTCCACACAATTCCTTTGTTTGTGATCCATGTGCTTGTAAGTGGAACCAAGCACTCAGGGAAGTTTGTGATCCTGTTTGTTTCCTAACCCATCATTTTGTCTAGGTCGATCAAAGCACAGGGAGAGTAGTTTGAAGAAAAAATGGTGTACTTGTACTTGTGTACAGTCAACAATAGTGTCTTTACTCTGTTGTAGCAATAGCATCAAATTGACAATTTCAGTAGAGTAATTTAGCTAGTTTTAAACTTGCCATAGACTTCAAATTGCTGTTTGTGTTTATATTGGCTTTGCATATATTTTCTATTTCGTGTCAAAAAATAATTTTCTCGGCTAGTGATCAACATAAAGAAAGCAAGGGGTTGAGTCCTCAGTCTGATCTGAGATATTATATGAGGTGCTGTGCTCAAGCCAGGCTCCTCAGACATGTGTGTTTGATTCTAACAAGTATGTTCTTGCAAATAACTTGCTTTTATAAAGCCATGCAAGTCAGCTTAATAAAGGCAAAACAGCTTTTAAATAAGGCAAAAAAAATGCAACCTTGAGAACTGGCTTGAAAGAGCTTGGCTTTATCAGCAGGTCACTTGTTATTTTAATTAATAAAAGAATAGAGCAAACAACAGTTTGGTTTTGACCTACCCTGAGACAAACAGATATAGCATTCCTGTTTTAATAGGACTTGATTATGAATTTAGTTTGATCCCCCAGGGCTCCTGTATCTCAGAAATAAGGCCTTGATTTATTTAAAGCAACTTTTTGTAAAAAACATGTTTTGACTTTATGTCTCTGAAATCACAAGCAGGGATTAATTCTGTGTTCTGTATTGTGTGTGTGCCAATGGATGTCAGTGATTCACATTTCGTTTTCAAATTCTTGGTGATCCTGTTGCTTGGCATTTACCAATAATCCTTTCATGCAAACCATGATTAATACAAATGTTTGAAGTTTTATGCCTTTTTATAAGACAGGAATAGAATTAGTGTTAGTTCTTAAAGAATCACAATATGCATAAATACCACATGGACATCGTGAGTGTTCAACAACAAAGGTAAAATATTTAAGCCTTTCTTAAGTGCACTTACAGTACAGTCTCTGAGACTATTGCCTTTCTCTTTCAAAAACACAATATGAACTGTACAGATCCATATTATTAAAATGACTTTTGAACCTGGAGAAAATTGTTAACTTTTCTGAATGGCTTAGGAACCATTAATCAAGTTCCACTGTACGTGGATTATCCACAGCATTAAAAAAGTTTTTCATAAAAAAATGGTGGTTTCGTGTTCAACATAATAATCACAGAGGTGTTATTAATGGGTCAGTGGATAAAATGTGGTGTTTAATGAGAGGAACCTGGAAAGTTTTTCCCAAACTTTTTCCAACCAAATCTTGTAATGTGGATTGATTTTTAGGAGCTTGAACTTATGTAGCATGTCATCCATAGAAATGTTATCATTGGACCCTTCCTGGTTAAAAGCCCTACAGTAAGGCTATAGGAATTGCATAAGAGAGATTGCATAACAAAACTAATGATTATTAACCACCGTTAGTACAAAGGTTTTCACTTGTCCAAGCTCAGTCTTTCAATGGGGCTGTTTATATGTCCCTAATGAAATTATTAATGTAAATACCTCACTGGTGCCCTCCCTGTGCATTTTCAGTCTGACTCATGCCAGTATTGTGTTTAATGGCTTGCTTCAGCACAAAGCTATAAGAAATGGAAATGGAAAATGTCCTATCTCATTTCCTGAGCAGTTAGGACAAGTGGTTGTTTTTGTCATAGAGTATTACATGGGAGCTCCAGAGATGGCTGTTGCTGTTTGCCTTGGCTATCCTGAGGGTTGCTTTCATGATTCTAAAGTCACAAAGGACTTTTATGTTTATGTCACCATTGCTGTCATTGTACTAGCAACCAAGAAGATATTACATTTTAAAAGTTTTAAAGCTCATGTTCCTTGACTGAATAATCGGTTAGTATTTCAAGGCAGGGAAGAAGATAGAAAATACAGACCTTAGCCTAGGTTCATGGTCTTACACTTTCCATAACAGATCCTATAATTGTTTAGGTTTTCGGCGTGAGCTGAATGTGAGCTCTTCCAAATTAGTTCAAGTAGGTAGCTGTGTCAGCATGCATCCTGTAGGTTGCAAAGGATCAAGTAAATGCTGCATAGAATAAACCTTTACTTGCTCTCTTCTAACTTATACCATCAGACGTGGATATCTGTTAGGATTGTGGTCTGAGCATTCTTCCTGATACATGAACTGATTTAATTTCTTCTTCATTCTTCCTCAGCAAAATCTGCTTAGAACCCTATCCCTATGGGATGTTTTTCCTTTTTGCATAGTAATTAACCTCATGTGTCTTTCAGGAAACTCTTCATTGTGTGCTAATAATAATAATAATAATAATAATAATAATAATAATAATTGCTTACACTAATATAGCGCTTTTCTGGACACTCCACTCAAAGCGCTTTACAGGTAATGGGGACTCCCCTCCACCACCACCAATGTGCAGCATCCAACTGGATGATTCAACGGCAGCCATAGTGCGCCAGAACGCTCACCACACACCAGCTATCAGTGGGGAGGAGAGCAGAGTAATGAAGCCAATTCATAGATGGGGATTCTTAGGAGGCCATGATTGATGAAAGATAGATTGGAAAGGGTTCAGGTCTGATTCATTGTAGGATGTGAAATAACTAGATCTACAAAGCAACCGACATAGGAAAAATGTATATATACAATTTATATATATATATTTATAATTGAAGTTCAATTGTGATGTTCTTTGGCTGGTATCATTGGTTGGTAGTAAATTAGCTTAATTGCATTTTAATTATTTTAAAACTTGGAGTTTTTGTAACAATGTAGACTTCACAGAGCAAGTAGTGCTCTTCCTAGAGATTGAGGCATTCTTACCAGTGGTTTATATTAGTCTGCTGCGTACTTTATTGAGAAAGGGTAGAAGATTGTTAATACCAGTCAGCTATTACAGTATGAAATAATAATATAGCTGATGTAGCACATCAACTTTTGAAGTGCTGGTTGTCAGTTGGTCTTTGGAATATCAGCCCATACAAAAGTCGGGCTTGTTCACTTGGTGATTGCTGTAATTATCTGATGTAACTTATCTGATGACAAGATATTAGGAAGGAGAGTGGTGAAAGAGTTAACTCTAAGGCCATTGCATTCTTGGGTATAAAAGTTTGTAACACACTTTGTGTTTCAGCCAAGGGTAAAATGACTTAACTCATAGTGGGCTCTTGTTTTGTATACCATAAGCCTTTGCTGCAGAATAAGCAAACAGAAAGCAGGATAAAGATATTGCAGATCTAGCATGAATACCAGTAAGGCTACAAAAATGAATTCTTTTCAAGCCACAATATTTACAGTGGGATGAAACATAATCAAGGAGCAATTCTTTTCTTTCTAAAACAACAGTCTGGATAATTACGTAAGCACTCACAGAGAGAGACACCCACACATCTCTGGATAGACACCCAGCACATGTGTTAAAAAATGTAGATGAGTTCACTGGAATGTATTTTAGATCATATGTTTACTAAGGTAATCCTGTATCATAAATCAATAAACCCTCTAAAATGTGTCAACAACCCTGATTGCTGGGACGAGAAAGTTCTGTAGCGGTATCATTGACAATAAATGTGAGTTAAAAACTGTATGTATTGCATTTAATACAACAGTGTATTGCATTGCATGAAATACAGAATTTAACATCCCAAACGAGCCATAAGTACTTCATGGAAAGGAGGGCAGCATGATGCATGGCAGCAATTCTGCCCTTGATGTCCCACAACCCAGTAAATCAGGCAGTGATATGAGAGAAATTACTCTCAAGGTGTGATTGAGTCTGGATTCCTTGGTTGACATTATTAATCTAAAGAAGAAGGGCAATACATCCTTAACACAGTGATCTATTGGGGCTTTAGATATGTAATTAAAAAAAATTAGATTATTTTTCAAAAGGTGGATATTTCCATGATTTCAGCCATCGTCTGTCCTTTTATCCTGGTCGGGGTTGCAGAAGGAGCATGTTGAGTAGGGAGAGCCAGTCATCATTTGCAGCTGCTTCTTGGGAATTCCAAGAAGCAGCTGCAAATCAGTGTTTCCAGGTCAGCTGAGGAAAGCTCCAAGGCTGGGAAACCTTCCTAAATATCTAAGCCATCTGTTACGATCCCTGCCTCCCGGCAACGGAAGAGGCAGAAGTAGGCATAGACCTACTCCATCAGTTTACCTATCGGTTTTCCTATTCACCTCCACACCCCCGTCTCATCCTACTTAAACACCTGTCTTTCCCTACCTCCTTGCTCAGTATTGGTTTTCCTTTCGAGCTTCCTGGTTGCGCTACTCCTTCTTCTACCTTGTGTTCTTCTTGGCTTTCGGTTTACGGTTTTTCCCCTATTGACTACGGCTTTTCAGATCACGGCTTGGCTTCGTTACTCACGCTCTGTTTTGGATCTCTGGCTACCCCTGGACTATCGGATTGCTCTGTTGTCTACGATTTCGGATCACGCTTTGGCTTCGGTAACTCGTTCCCTTTTGGATCTCTGGCTTCCCCTGGACTCTCGGCTCGTTCTTTCGACTATGGCTTTCTTTGGATCACGGCTAGGCTTTGTCAGCTCCTGCAAGTGGGTTCACTCACTGGTTTCGGTTTCTCTTACCGAATCCATAACACCATCTTAACTGTTTCCTCCTGATGTGCAGGAGTAGAGACCCTATCAGGTATGCCAGGGTAAGCCCAAGTGCCCTGAGAAAAAAACAAGTTTCCATTTTACCCATGATTTGGTTCTTCTCAGTTATTTCCCAAAGTTCATTACCAAAAGTGAAGCAGAGGACATAGATCAACCTGCAAACCAGGAGCTTTGTCCAAGAACTCTGCCCCTGCTTCACTGCCACAGACCTTTCACTTACTCTGTGTCTATCTGTCTCGTCAGATTCACTGCATCACCAAGTGGTAATCAAGTGCTCTTTTCACCTGTTCAATCTGCATTTTTAAACAAGTGGCCATGGGTCCAACAATCGGACTGAAGTTGATCATTAACCTTCAGCCAAAGCTGCTGTGTTACAAGGTATGCAGATGGGCAGCCTTGGGATCCTTATGGACATTCCATGATTGGCACAGAAACTCAATATCTCACTACTCTGTTTCAGACAGGGAGGCTGACCCACCTGGTCATACTCCCTCAGGTATCTCCATTGTTTCCCAAGGGTGTTGAAGTCCCCCTGTAGAGTCAGTTGGTGGGACTCTGTTGAGCACCAAATCCAGGGTCTTAGAGAAGGCGGGTCCTAGGACATAGTTTCCTTTCTGAGGTCGTACAAGTACAAGTTCTTAGAAACAAGACCTTGCCAAGGCCAGCACTAGACTTAGATAAGATATAGTACACTTGATAGGACAATTGCACACTTGAAAGTGTCCCCATACCCACCTGGGGCAGCTCTCATGGGGCCATTTTGGAATAGGAGTGTCTACTTCCAATCAAGAAGTGTGAAATCAATATTATGTTTACAGGTACTTTTCTACCTCTTCCACCAGCCCTTGAGGGACATATACGCCTCTGTCAGTACGTAGTAAAGACTCCCAGTGGGGAACATGGAAATGTATCTCACAGAGTCCACTATCATACCAACAGTGTCCATTTTAATTCACCCTTATAGCCTGTGAATCTAGGATGCTACAGCCTATTGTTTAAGTGGTTACAAGCTGTGCACTTAAGATCATTTCCAGATGTTTGGAGACAAAGGGCGTATCCCACAGTTCCCTTTGGATGTAGTGTGCTAGTGAGTTTTGGAATGATGCTGCCCTAGAGAAAAAGGGCACTCCTGTTCAGACTAAATGTCTGTGTCATGATTAGCTTCCTGTACTTTTTTTTTGCATAGTTTGTTCAGTTACAAGATACTCTTTGGTCTAACCTATGGATGAATGAAAGAATACATATACAGTGTACTGTACAATACAAATAGGAATACGAATATTTAATATTTTTTTAATTCTTTTAATAAGGTTTTAAGTAAATGTATAAAAAGAGAAAAAACACCTGAACTTAAACTTTGTACCCAAATGATTGATGAAGATGACTTTTCAGTCTTTCTTTACCTAGGTGACTGTTACTCAAATATACTGAAAGAACAGGAAAATGTATGTTATATAGAGAAAACTATGTGAACACAGTCCTCTAAATCAGAATTCATTTTTTCTCTCTTTGATGCTATGCGCATTAAAAGTTAATTCTTCAGTTTGGTATCCATTATGAGTCATTGCTATGTACACTTGATAAAATTGAAGTGGTTTAATATGATGAAGACAGTCCTTTATATTAAAAAATGAAGTCTCAAAGTGGCCATTCATTATCCTAATCTCAATAGGTAAACATCTGAGAGGCTCTTTATTAGGGGCTTGCTTTTTAAAATAAAACAGAGCCTGGATTCAGCTGGAGCCGGCATGTCTCTTCAGTGAAACTTTCAGTCTCATTTAAAATGAACACAGACTGCTTGGTAATCATCTATACTCAACACTAAATGTACGCCTCCTTATGCGTGGTGGTTAGTAACTGGAAAAATACTTCCAATGTGCTTTAGGGATGAGGGTAATCCAGTTATGTTTCAATTTTTTTCATGCCAACACACAAAAAAAACTTCCAGAACACAAAATTGTTAATGATTAGCTATGCATGGCTCTTTGCACTTTGAAAAACAAGAATTAAAAGAGCTTCTTCTGCAAATTAGGATCTTTTAATTGTGAGTTATAAAACCCCCCCCCCCCCTCCATTTCTTCGTATTGTCTTTTGAGAAATGTGAAAGCAATTTTTGATTTTGGACTTGTGAGCTATGTGAATTTGGACTGTTGCTGTAAGTTATTAGGAACAGTAAAGCCAATACACCACAGCTGATGTCTGTTTATATATATATCAGTTTATATAACATCTGAATCATGGACCATACTGTAGAATCTCCAAATTCTAAAAGAACTGGCTATTTAAAAAAAATGTTTTTTTATTTTCATGTTAACCCCGCTCAGCAAAATAGTGGTGGAACACTATCAACAACGCAGACCTCCTGGAATGTGTTTTTCAGAACATCAGGAAGGCCACAAATGAGAGCATGCAGTTAAGCCCACCATGCCCATTTGAGTCTCCTTCTCTATAGTCATCTGACCCATACTCGTGCCGGTACTGAGACGAAACCCTCCAGACGCGAAACCAGTCCTGGTAGGGAATCGTTTCGAGTAGCCAATGACACCTGCCCAGCTTTTTAAGATGAGAGGAACCTCTCAAAAAGACCAAAATTGACATGAAATGAGAAGAACGTGCAAACTCTACACAGACAGGTTCCCCAAGCTGAAATAGGACTTGGAGCTATTAGACAGCAGTGTCACCACCTTGCATGTCACCATCATTTTAAAGAAATGTAGTTATTCTTAATTTTTTTAGATACAGCTACAACTCTTAACTGCTGAGTAGTGTTCACAATGCTGTGCCTTGTTAGGCATATTTTAAATGCTGATTTCATAACAATAAATACTGATTGAAAATATGCTTTATGATATTCTACACTTGGGTAGTCCTTATCTTAGCTTCTTTTACCTATGCAAACAGGTGCCATTGTCTCTGCATTTCAATCAGTGTTGTTTAAATGAACTTCCAGAGTTTGAACCGACAAACCTGTCAGATTGACAGTCGGACGAATGACAAAAAATACCATTATAATGTAACTGTTTTCCTTTGGGAATGTGTGCAAACGTGTGTGTTTTCAGTCCTGACTGCGGCTGTCAGAAGATAAACATGGCTGTGGTCTGGTCACTACTCAGGTTGCTGCTGTAAGCGGTGTTGGTGAACCGGTAGTTGATGCTTTTCCTTCTGGGAGAAAATTCCTAAACTAGTGTGTCGACAGGTCACTCTGTGCTTCGGGAGGTGTTGTCCTTTGGATGAGGTGTTAAACTGAGGTCCTGACTACTCAGTCATTAAAGATTCAGTGTCACTCTATGAAAGAGGAAGGTAGTTAAACCCAGTGTCCTGTCTGGGCTAAATTACACTGGACTTGTGTGATGCTAACTGACTGTATTTTCCCTCTTAATTCAGTTGGTGGATTGTCTAATTTTTCCAGCAAATCAGCAGTGCTGTTGGACTCCTGCTACATAATGTCAGCCGCCAATCGCCTAGGTGAGGGGGGGGGCACGCTCCAGTGGTAGTTGAAGTGGCCCCCACCCCCCATGTGTGAAGCACTGAGGGGTAAAGAGTTGTGTGCAAGGATTAGTATGTGTAAGAGTTAAATTAACCTACCCCAGTGGTTACCAGTGGTTACAGTGGTTTACAGTCGTAATTTCTCCTTTTGTCTTCAACGTCGGCTTCTGCTTCTTCCCAGATTACAGGACCGGGCCGTGCTTCACATCTATAAGCAACCAGATGTGCCAAGGGCAGCTGACTGGCATCGTGTGCACCAAGACTCTGTGCTGCGCCACAGTGGGCAGGGCCTGGGGGCACCCCTGCGAGATGTGCCCTGCGCAGCCTCATCCCTGCCGCAGGGGGTTCATTCCAAACATCCGAACGGGAGCTTGTCAAGGTACTGCAGGCTGGTGGCAAGCCCGGAATCCGGGCTGACTCCAAGTTACAGGGGATTAATCTTAATTGAGTTAAATTGCCTTTGGTCTCCTTGTCTAAAGGGATTCTGTGATATGCGCAAAAAGAGTGGAAAGGGATTGTCGGATGTCTTCACTCACGCCTCGCTGGCTTTTATAAGAAAAAGTGCATTTATACAGTAATAAATGAGCTATTCTATAGGATTCCTCCTCACTGAGACTTTTTTGCATTTTGTTTATTTTATCGTTGTTGTTTTGGCCTGGTGATCACAAAACATTACACTGTGATGGTGTTTTCCTGAAAATATTAAACTCTGGGAAACAAATGACCTTAGAGTTACATAATGTTTGGTCAGTTATAAAATCTACTAAGCAGGTTAAAAACAAATGCAAACAATATTGAGAGGGACTATGTCACAGGTGGGACAAAAAGGAATCTTCTTGTGGTTTGTTATATATATATTCCAGGGCTGTGCCTTTCTTCTATTCATACTGTAATTTCAAAGTGTTCTTTTAGTCAATAAAGTCTTACATGAAGAAGAAGGTTACTTCCTGTTGTTTTATATAAGCCATCTGTTTTCCTTTACTGTGGAAATAGCAAGTGTCTGTATGGCTTTCGTAGACGCACTGCTGGAAGCAGAAATAAACATTCATAAATTGAATAACCTCACAGTGACTTATTTGTCTGTACAGTATGCGAAGTTGAGTCTATGTTGTTAATCATGTGCCTCTCATTATAGGAGATTGCATCTGAAGAATGAAAAGAGTTAGATGCGAAAGTCTGTTTGTGGTTTGGACATTTTGTTAGTTAAAAGTGTCTTGCGCTAATGTTACATACCAGATTGATAAACTGTTTACGGAGATTTCAGCATTAATGTTGGCAATTGGCCAGGCATGAGTACAGCTATGCAGTATAGTACCAATAGCACTATTTATTCTAGACTGTTGTTTTTGGCCACTGTGTTTTTTGGAATGTACTGAACCGTTACAATGGTACATTTGCGATGTAAATGCTCTGCTGCAAAGATGCATGCCTAAATAAGGAGCAATTAGCTCATTTACCCTGGCGTTTGTAACGCCAGTTTTAGGATTATTGACCTTTACCTTCTTTTTGCCTTCGGTTTTTCATTCTGGCTCCATATTTGTTTTGCAATGTCCTGGCAGAATTCTGACAGTCTGGTCTGGGGATTTTAGATAATATATTATTATGGTGCTTTTCAATAAAAAAAACTAGGTGAAAGACACACATCACTCCCAATACTGTGCGGCAGTGCTGTTGTCCTTTTCAGTTGTCAACAGCCTGACCTAAAATACCAAGAGAGAATAATGTCTCTTTTGTTCTGTTTGTAACAGGGGAGGGGAGAGGGCGTCATTAATGTTAACAAGAAATTGTTTAGGTGGCATAATTTTCAGATAAAGTTTCTTTGTACTGCCCTCTCAACAATCCCACCACGCTGGGGCTCGACTAAGAGGTCCTCCCAGATGTGGATTATGGCTTCCCCCAGCGTGTTTGGAAAGTCCTGCTGCTGTACTTGGCTTATATTCTAATTCTTCCAGCTGTATAAATTCTTTTATCGTCTGGCTGTCTGTAGGACATAGGAGAAAGTTAGCAGGGGTGGCTCTGCACGGCACAGCCCAGAATGTCTTTCTCAGTGCTGTGATTTACTGTTTCATGGGTACAAGCGTGGGACACATTCCTCTCTTTCCTCTGTCTCTGCGTTTATTGCCTCGTCTCATCCTCTGGCATCGTCTGCTTGTTCAGGGCCCACGGAGGAGGTACATCCGGCAGCCCGTCTACTCTTGTCACAGTCGCCTCTCTCGACTTCCTGCCCTGTGCCTCGCCATCGCTGTGTGGTGGCCTTATAAGGGTGTTTCACTCTGCAGCGCCTGAGCTTAAATTTGCAGGAAAATTGCTTATCTGACCACGGTGAAAGTACAGTGCCAGCCCTTCCAGCTGCCAGTCTAGACCTGAGAAATGTGCACTGTAATCCAAACGAGTATAACCAGACCCAGCCTTTTTCATCCATGTTTTTTTTTTTTCAAACACGGTTGGTTTGGAACTGTTGATAAAAGTGAGTCATTTACCATCACACGGTCATGCAGAAAGAGCATGTGGAGGAGTGGTTAGGACTCTGGGCTCCTGCCTGGATGGTTGTGGGTTCAAATTCTAAATGGGATGTTGCAGTCATCCTCTTGAGCAAGGTGTTGTACTTCACTTGTTTTGGTCCAGTGAATGCTCTGATGTATAAATAGGCCCTCAGGTCATTATTGTAAATAAGAAATTGTTCTCAATTGCTTTAAAAAAGAATACAATAAATAAATCCTTGAGAAGCCACCTCTACCACTTATTTCAATTTGCTGTCCTTGATACTGATTTGCATGTCCTTTACATTTACAGAGCTACTTACTTATTTGTGGTTACTTTTAGGATGCAGACATCTGCATATCAGAAATTGTTCTTCATAACGGCTCTAAAGTAATGAAGTGAGACAAGATGCTTCTTGATGGTGTCTTTAGCAAGGCTTTCTAAGCCCGGTTGGTTTTCGTACAACTTTCCATATGAAAGCAATATTCTTTTGTAGACGAGCGCTTAGGTGGAAAACAAATTAAATGTGATTTTTTTTTTATAAAGGTTTTTTCTTTTGCAGATGTGGACGAATGCCAGGCCATTCCTGGGCTCTGTCAGGGAGGAAATTGCATTAACACTGTCGGGTCCTTTGAGTGCAAGTGTCCCGCTGGCCACAGGTTCAACGAAGCCACACAGAAATGTGAAGGTAAGGCTTTGTGTGAACCAGCACATTCCCCCTTAGTACGGTAAAAACAGAATAATTTTAACTGTTGCCTTTTCTCTCCAACAATCTGTGAAGCTACACAAACCGGCAGTGAGGAAACAGACAGAAAAAATCACTGATGGCAAACGGACTCTCCCATTATTTAACATGATTAACCTATTTTATTATCTTTTTGTATAAAAGGTTTTGAAATTTTCTAAGCTTTTTTCTAAGCTCCAACACCTTCTAAAGAGGTGAAATAATTGCATGTCAAGACACTTTACCTTTCAGAAAAAGACTGAATCACAGACCTTTTTGATTGTAAATAATACTATTGGGCTTAATTTAAAATGCTACTAATCTGTCTCCCAAAAGAAAAATGTCGCAGGGAAGCCACAGCAGTGTTTTCAGTCATTTCCTATGAGCATTTGCTTTAACCTGGCACTCTTGCAGAGCCACAGAAAGACAAAGAAGTGTAGAAACTGTCTGACCTGTGATGGAGACCAGTTCTTGGGTGCATAGGCTGCCTTTAGTCTAAAAGAAATGAACTGAGTGAGACTAAGGGCACAATTCCACCAGCCATAGCAGGTGTGACAACATAAAAACGTCAGCACAGTGACGAGTCCACAGCACTGGATGGAGACCGTGAAGGAAGCCAGATGGAGACCCCTGGAGCCAAATTTCATCTTTGTAGTTTCAGGAGTTTGGCAGCAACCACTGCTTGGGTCTGTGAGGTGATAATCAGAATTGCATACGCAAAGAGGTCAGACTCCATTCAGCTGTTAATCATGACTCAAGTGTGAGAGGGGGAGTTTTTGAATGTGAGATCCAATATATGGGAGGAATAACTGGGGAGAGATTTTGACACACCAAAGTCCATCAAAGTCATAAATAACCAGAAGCATGCATCAAGGAATAGAGTTTAACCAAATCAATGGAGAATTTCTCTTGTTAATGATAAGATTGTGAGAGGCACAAATGAACATAGCAGAATGCAGAGCAGAACTGGCAGAAGTGTGCAGTTTGGTTTTGTGTTTAAAGACACTGAGAATTGGAAAGTTATTTTAAGAAAGTTTTTTTGGCTTGTAAAATAACAAGGGTTTTTATAAAAATCTAGTCTCAGCAACTCTTACGTACTAAAATAAATAAAAGCCCTGTTCTCGCAGATATTAAAACTGCAAAGAGCACTGGCTTATTAACAGAGTTTGGTGATGATTTCCAGATGAGCCATAACTCTGCAGAATTTGATTTACTAAAATGGTAAAAGATGTATTTGTGGTGATAATTTGCAGAATGGAGTCTGTGCAGCATTGTGCCCAGAAATAATAATCGGGTTCTTATTTTTTAACTTTAAACCAGAAGTTTTAAATTTGGCTTAGTGTTAACATTTTCTAAGTCATATTAATGTAATTTGCATTTTCTTTGTAAGAAAAGGTGTTAAGTGTTATCCTGAAACAGTATCAAAAGAGCTGTATGGAAAATGGTACTGTAATACCAATGTGATAACAGGATTTTTAATTTGGTGTTTTTGCATGGGATCCCAAGTTAAATTTAATTTGACCAACTCTGTTCTTCAAATGAATGTATGAAGCCATTATTCAAAATGTCTGTATACTACAGTTTTTAATTTGATAAAACCAGTAGTTTATCTGACTGGATTTTGTATTTTGTTTTTCCTTGAAGACATTGATGAGTGTGCGACTCTCCCTGGTATTTGCAATGGAGGTGAATGTTCGAACACAGCTGGAAGTTACTTTTGCAGGTGTCTCCAAGGGTACTACGCTTCAGTTGATGGCTCCAGGTGTATAGGTAAGAATCAGCTGAAAGAAACAATTACAAATAAATTATAGAGTGGAGAGCTGATTAAAACAGTTGTTTCACATTTTTCCTCATAAAACAGTTGTTTCACATGTTTTCCTCATTTGTGAATTCAGTATTATTGAAGTACAGTCCATAAATAGTGGACCCCAACAACAGGAAATGCCTGAAGAAACTAGTAGCAACTGTATGACATTATTGTAGTGGCTGGTCAATTTTTATTCTGACATTTTGGAATATGTGGGATTTCAATCAATAAAACAGCGCGTGATTTAAGAATATTGAAAGTTAGCCTATATGATATCAGCTTTTAATTTACAGTATAGACTTAGGCAGAAATAATGTACAGTGAATATGGTAATGGACCTCTGTTATTCACATTGATGACTAAGGATTGTTTTTCAAACCACAAAACGTTTCGCTTTTGGTTAGATGGCAAAAGACAATTTGTTAATGCAAAAATCTGTGAAAATGTGCAATTACATTTTTCTAGTAACTACAAACAAATTGCATAAAAGAGCAGGTCTTTTGATAATCAGCACAGTTAGAGAAATTTCAGGGAGCCAATGTTTTACCATATTTAAGAGGTGTCTACAAAGGAAGGACTTCTGTAATTATAAGGATGCACTATCTATATACAATAATTTCAATTAGAGGTTTACCATGCATTTTTACTTTCGGGATATCTGAAGAAACAGTAGTGCTAAACTAACAATTTTTAACAATCCAGGAAAAAGTAAAAAATCACCAGGCATAATCTGTTTTATCTGCCATCAAACACTAGCTCAGGAGTGCTTTTCAATAATATGTTGTCTTAATGCACTGTATGTAAATTGCTGTCTAATTATCTCTTTCCACTGCCTCTGCTTAGTTCCTTCCTTTTAAGACTTTGTGTTTGGTAAGTGCTGGTTATGAGTTTAGCAAACCCATTTTGATGTAACTCCAAATGATTCATTGTCATAGGCATTTGCAGGGAAAATTATGCTTTGAGGATTTCATGAATAAAAAGATGACGGAAACGTCTGTAAGGTATTTTCAGAGCAATAAAGGTTGAATTATTTACTGAATTAAACTTGGGAGGAAATCAAAATGAGTTCCAGCACATCTGAGATTTTAGCATTAAAGCAGTCTTATAAATTACCACCTTGTTCCTTAACTGCAAAAACTATCCTCAAGTGAGCTCCTCTCATACAGTCCCGCACTCTGGGCTAGGAGACCAAGCAGAAAAATTACTGTAACCCTTCCAAAAGCCCAACATCAAGAATTTAGGTCATTAGTCTGCTGTTTCTAATACTATAAGAATGAACTATTGTGCTTTACTAACGTGCACAGAATTCACACAGTGTTTCATGTCACACCCTACAGGCTGCTGTTACACTGCGTTTTTAAAATGTTTTCTATTTATCCCTTGAAAGAAAAAGGTACATTTTTAAATGTCTTGGCACATAAAAAATTAAGGTATTATTTTGGTGTTTAAGCAAAAACTGGTGGAGTACAGGTGGAAAAATACTGTCAGCATAATGCATGAAGGGAGGTTAGTGTCAACAGCATGAAGCCAGTTCCTTACGGTGTCACTGATGGCTGCCCAGTTTTTGGAGATGCCATCACTGAAATGTTTTCGTTTCCCTGCATGGGCCCCAACGAATCTCTAATGGCTCCACCTGTACACACGTGCTCTGTCAGCGCTTTGTCAGTTTCGCAGTGGTTGGAGTCGGTGTTGATGCACAACCTGTGGAGATCTTTTGGCCTTATTTTAGGAGCAGCTGCTCCAGCTACTCTGAGCTCTGAGCCCCGATGTGCAGTTGAGATAGCAGCTGTAGGTTATTAATAAGGTGAAGTGCCCTCTCATGCAGTCATGCAGGCTGTACCACAACAATCTGGCATTGGTGCGTTGTTAAACTCTGAATATTCAAGCAACTTTGTACTGGCAACTTTTTGAGGGCGTTTGCCTCTTTCGTTGAGCTGTGGCACTTAGGCAGTGTGAAACAGCTTAATTAAAACCGGTGAACTTGTTTTTTTTTTCAAATTAGGACTCGTAATCATCTTAAATCTTACCTTACACTTATGCAGTCACACCTTTTCCTCTTCTTTTTCACTTCAAACGGGAACTAGGAGACTAGGAGAGAACATGAGCATTTTCTTCTGGCAAATCACAATCTCTCATAACATCAAATATAATTAAAACAAGCTCCTGTATTATTAATATAATAATAAAAAGTGAATCTGTGAATCTGTTGTTGTACAGTAGAAAATAGTTAACCTTATAAAATAAGGTTATCGGTATTTTGGGTAACAATTTAATAGAAGTGGAAAGGCATGCCACCTACACTACCTGATTAATGAGAAACAAAAATGCTGTTTTTTAATAGTCAAGAAAACATGGGGGCTATGCAGGAAACTTTTAAAAAACTGCTGCCTCTTCAATATTTTTTGGAGAATATTTGTAAATTTGTCACAATGTATTCATCTTTAATGTGAATAAGTCCTGGTGAAAAAAAAAAGTTGAGAGCTGTGCTGGGTAACTATAGAGTAATTTCCCTGGTGCTTGTATTCTGAAACACAGCCAGGAATGAGGGGCTGATAGATATGGAAATTAGAACAGACATTTGAAAGGTGAGGATTGATGGCTTTTCTTAGTGACGTGCAGAAAAATTCAAACCTCCTCACCCCAAAAAAGGTATCGGTTGGAATTCATTCCCACCCAGTTTTTGACAGTACCAAGGGGGATTCGGGTCATGTAACATCAGCAGATCCACGCTGGCTCCAGCTCCCAAGAGGATGTTTATTTGGAAAGAATGTCCGCTATGAAGTTGTTCTTTCCAAAAACATGCACGGCCAAAAGTTCTGTTGGCTTTTCTTAGCCCCTCATGTGAATGTCCACTACTAGCTCTGTTAGGATTTTAGCATGTTTTACTGTTCTGAGCTTAAGACAGTTTTGGCACTGAACGGACCCTTAAAAGCAGCTAGTCACACCCCAGATACCTCAGCAGTCTGCAAAGTTAATTCAAATATGATGACACAGCTCTGTGTACTCAAAGCCATACTTTCCTTCAAATACAGTTAATTGCCTGTCTGAAGCTGTAAAGAATTTCAGCTTATGAAATGACGGACCTCTGTTTTCAGATGGTCGAAGTGGATACTGCTTCGCAAGTTTAGTGAACGGTCGCTGTGGCAACCAGCTCTCCCAACACATGACCAAGATGCAGTGCTGCTGTGACAGTGGGCGTTGCTGGTCAGATGGATCTGCTCCAGAAATGTGTCCCATGCGTGGAACAGGTATGTTTTATTTTTCTTCACTTGTTTTTCCGTCAATCTGTTTTCTTACTGCTTTATCCAAGTCAGGGTTGCGGGGAGCCGGAGCCAATTTCAGCAAGCAACAGGTGCAAGGTGGGGGTACACATTGGACAGGACTCCAGCCTATTGCAAGACAGACACACACACTCGCACCAGGGACAATCTTCCCAAAAGCCAATTAACCTACCCGTATGTTTTTGGGCTGTGGGAGGAAACCAGAGCCCCTGGAGCAAACCCATGCGAACACCAGGGGAACATACAAACTCCATGCAGATAACACCTCAGAACAGGCATTGAACCCAGGCCTCTAGTGTTGCAAGGCAGCGATGCTAGCCACTGTGCCACCGTGCCACCCTTCGCTTGTTCTTAACTTCCAACAATCATCTCAAAAATGTAAAGATCTTGTTTGTTCAGTTTCATGTTTTACAGTTTCTCTTGTATAAGGTAAAAAAAGGAGAGGGGAGCTGAGTCAGAATGCAGAGTAAAAAGTACCTTTCCTTTCATGTTGAGAAGTAGGAAGCAGAAACGCTGTGTTTCGGGAGGCTGCCTAGTGTGTGAAGTGACAGTAAACTGAGACAGGAAGTGTTCCATATTGAGCCTGTGTATTAATTTTGTCTTTCTTGTTTTCCCAGATGAGTACAGAAAACTCTGCGCTATGCCGTTTCCACCAGATCAACCTATTCCCAGAATTCCTGAGATTCCACCAGCTGTGCCTGGTGTACACCCTGGTCAGCCAGGTGTTGATGTTCCTGTTCAGCCTGGTGTGCCCATAATCCCTGGCATCCCTGGCATCCCACCAGGTAGGGTAATTACTGTAGCTCAGGAACAAATGGAATATATTTTTGACGGGATTCCCAAGTGACTCCACCCGCAGTAGGACACAGGTTGACTGCTTGTCTAGGACTCCTGTTGTCCAGACATTGTCGGTCTGAATCTGGTCTGTTTCATTAGCTGATTGTGGCTTGGGTTCCTCAGGCTGCACTGTTACTGGCTGGGCAGTTTTCAGCCCTCCCAGTGCCCTCCCAGTGACGCTAGTGCCCCCGCAACGTGACAGATGGGGCACCCCTCTGGCGGAGAGGTGTGTCAGAGGAGTGCAGGGCCGTCCGCGTTTCCTTCCTGCAGGCTGCCGATTCAAATTCGGGAGGGCTCGAGAGAGAATAAATAATCAGCAACTCCAGCACACAACGCGTATATACATTCAATATTTCTTAAAAACATTAAATGTATAGAATCTGTATGAAAAGACAGGATATATTGGGCTGTATTTGTGATTTATGTAAGCGTGCATCTACATATTTTTGTGAACACAGATATTTAATTTCCATCGCTAATTATGGTGTAATGCATTGAACAAGTGCTCCAATTTCAAAAGCAGTCTCATTTTTATTCTGAAATCCTTTGTTTGGCAGTTATCCTTCCTCAAAATATTACAAACATTTGCCTCCGGTACCGAAACCTCTGCATCAACGGAGTCTGCGTCCCGACCCCGGGAAGCTATCGCTGTGAGTGCAACACAGGATATAGGCTGGATGTCCGGGGAGAATGCATTGGTAAGCAGAACTTTTAGACTAAACAACTGCGATTGTTATTTCTAAACCTCAACCGTGATTCAGCCACATGTGACTCTCAAACAATTTGTGACTTAAACTGAGCAGTTCGTAGGAACAGTAAAATTATAAAACCAGCAGACGTTTACATTTCACAATTTTTAAAAGAAAAAGTTTTCATGCAATATTTCTTCAGATCTGTAACTTTTGTACAATGAAGATTTACTAAGATATTGTACTTTCATGATATGCTTGGCTTCCTAAAATACAAAGTGTTTCATAGCGCCAGAAGTAAAAGAGAAAATGGAATGTTCATGCATTTAAAAATATAAGTGAACAGTGAATGGTGGACAATACAAAGAATTAAGCAAAAGTATATCTGAATCTAAAGTAAGGAAAAGCAACTAAACCACTTTAATCCATCCATCTATTTCCTAACCACTTCTTCCAGTTCAGGGACATGAAGGAAAAAAGGTCTGTCACGCCAAGCAACAGACACAAGGCTGGGTACACCATGGGTTGGACGCCAGTTCATCGCAGGGCAGACAGACGCTAACCCTCACGCACTCACACCATGGCCAGTTTGACCAGAATCCAGTTACCCTACCAGTACTGTATGTCTTTGGATTGTGAGAGGAAACTTGAACACTGGGAGGAACCCCTGCATGCACAGGGAGAACACACAGACTCCAAGCAGATAGCACCCCAGATCTGGAATTGAAGCCAGGACCCCAGCACTGTGAGGCAGCAGTGCTAAGCCACCACACCACTCTAAACCTCTTTAATGTATGTTTCTGTTTTACCACAGATGATGATGAATGTGATCGAAATCCCTGTGTCAATGGAAACTGTGTGAACAGTCAGGGGTCCTATTTCTGCCAGTGTTCCACGGGGTTCCAGAGTACAGCTGGTAGAACTGAGTGTCGAGGTGAGTGCTGTGTATAAGGAGGATTTCCCCGTTTGTGAGTGGGCTACGTGAAATTCCTTCTTTCAACACTGCTGGGAATGTCAGTGCTCTGAAGAAGAGTGGGTTGTTTTTCCAGTGCTATCAGTCTCTCCTGTACTCTACAGATGTGGATGAGTGCGTCGCGAATGGAAGAATCTGTAACAATGGCCGATGTGTGAATACAGAAGGCAGCTTCCACTGTGTTTGCAATGCGGGCTTCGAGATTTCATCCGATGGGAAAAATTGTCAAGGTATTTTTTTTGTGGTTTTGCTTCAGAACAAGTTTTTGTTCAAATCCACTTTCAGGTTAGTTGTGTTTGCTTAAACACAAAGGGGTAGCCTGTGTCTGAATAGATTGATCTCAATGCAATTATTTATTATAATAATGTTATTATTATTGTACTCTATTTCCTTGAAAATGACTTGAGCATAACTTACTGAAAAAAACACTTGTGATTTTTTCTTATTAGGTAATTAGTATTAGGAAAAACAGTCAGCTCTAGCAATTGTACAGTACTAAAACACTGGCTGCACTGTTCTGACATGTGATCTTTATACATGCATAGCTGATTCATAGGCTTTAAACTGGCTATAGCTGACATGAAAAGGGAAAGGCAGCAATTAAAAAAAGAGAGACAACCATACTAATAATCTACTCTCTAATAATCTAATAAAGGCTGTCATAATTGTGTGAGAAATAGGGTGATAGATGTGAAAACAATGCTATTTTACAATTAGCTGTCAATAAAAAGAAATAGATAAGAAACAGTCGCTTCCTATCGAATAAATGCATTTAAAGTCAAGTCCCACCTGTGGTTTATCATGTCTTAGGAGGAGAATGAACTGGCTTCTCCTGATGTCATTAAAGCTGTTTTGCTGCTGACAGGAATATGCATGAACATTTGCTTTCAGATCAAGATGAATGCCTCATCAGAAACATGTGCCTTAATGGGATGTGCATAAATGAAGATGGAAGTTTCAAATGCATTTGCAAGCCTGGTTTCCTGTTAGATCCAACTGGGCGATTCTGTACAGGTGCTGTTCCTTTTTAAATTTTAATTAAAATTATTAAAATTGCAACCATACTGAAAATCTTAATGTTAGATTAACTACAGTGCATAGCCATTAAAAAGGATAAGCTTTTGCCTCTCTTAATATAATGAAACACGGATAGTTACCTTCTGCATGAGTTTATGGTACCAAATATCTAGCCAGAGTGCATACTTTATATTTTATACTCAGCTGGAGCCCTTTATTTTCAGTTCTAGAACTTTAAAGCCCGCTTGTACCTCAGCTTTGACTTCAAAGATCAAGATGCATTGCAATGCCTGTTTCCGAAAAGTTAATGTACAAAGATGTAATGACTGCATCGTTTTGGACAGACATTACTACACTATGTGCCAAACAATATACCAGCTGAAAGGCATTTACAGTTGGATATTTCCTTTTAAGGTAGCAGATTTTGTTAGTACAATAAATGCTATGTTGCTATTTGAATAAATAATGCTGAGTTTCTATTAATTTTATGTTAACATTTATGGACATATATAGTATATCAATGTTATTTTTAATACTTTAACAAAAATCATTGGCTAGAAAAAATAAATAAAAGAATGAGAATACACTGGGAGGTTTAATTCTGGAAAAAGAGAAAATTGCAAAGGGAATTTGATGTAATGCAAGATAAAACAGCATTTAAAATGTCTCTAGGGGCCTTGTGTAAACTTTCTTAAGGTTAGATACCTCTCTTATTCTTTTATGGACATACTCAGACTGAGGTGTCCATTCCTTTATCTGAATGGCCAGTGTGTCTGCTGGTTTTCATTCCAACTCAATTCTTAATTATCTAAAGCAGCTGGTTACTGGTTTAACTGGACCAGCAGAACAGCTTCTCCCAGCTCCTCAGGTGCTGCTACTTTACAGACACCAGAAAATATGCACAAATAGTAGTCCTCTGGGTTCTGGTTTGAACACCTCCGGTCTAACTAACCCGCCTGTTCTGTGTTTGCTGTTACAGACATCGATGAGTGTGAGACGCAGGGCATGTGCATGAACGGACACTGTGTCAACACAGAGGGCTCCTTCAGGTGTGACTGCCTTCCTGGCCTGGCTGTGGGGCTGGATGGGCGTGTCTGTGTGGGTGAGTGACACCTTTCAACCAGGAGAGCGTGAACAGAGCATTTTTACCACACCGTTAAAGAACATCCATCCATTTTCTAATCACTTCCTCAGTGGCTACAAGCCAGGACAAATCCTGGACAGGATGGCAGTCCATCACAGGAGGGCAGACCCCAAACACACACACGCACGCACGCACGCACGCACGCACGCACGCACCACATACCATACCACACCACACCACAACACAACAGGTCCAATTTTCCCAGAGGCCTATTAATCTTCCAGTATGTCTTTGGACTGTGGGAGAAAACCAGAGCACCCAGTGGAAACCAACATTAACAAGTGGAAAACATAAAAATTGTCTGGAATTGAATGCAGGGCCACAGCTCTGTGAGAAGACAGTTCTAACCACTGCTCCACTGTGCCGCCCGTTTCTAAAACATACCATTTTAAAATATGGGGGGGTACATCCATTGACATTTTCAGGTTATTCCAGGTTCAATTTATTCGTTATTGCATCGTGTGAATTGAAATTGTGCCGTGTTAAGTGCCTTTTCCTGTTGTTTGCAAAAAGGGTGGACATTTTTATCTGTTAATGGCTTGAGTGCACCAGTGGCACTATATACTAGTTTAAACAGTAATGGGACGTTTTATTTACTGTTGCAAGGAGATTTCTTTTAAAAGGATGCCAGAAGCTTGTTTGTTGTGCATTCTTTATTTGCTTTTTCTTTTTTTAATTTCAACACAGACACGCATATGCGGAGTACATGTTACGGGGGTTACAAGAGGGGACAGTGTGTAAGACCTTTCTTTGGAGCAGTTACCAAGTCCGAGTGTTGCTGCGCTAATATTGAGTATGCTTTCGGAGAACCTTGTCAGCCTTGTCCGCCTCTGAATTCAGGTATGTAAGCTGCCTTGTCAGGCTGCGAAGATGCAATGTTTATTTAACTGTCTTTGCAGACATCTGGCAAAAGGTGTTTCCCTCTAGATGTACAATGTACTGTAGTGGAAAATGTGTGGTATTGCGGTATTAGATTTATTCTTCTTGTCAGCAACAAGATGCCATTGTCAGCAAAAAGATGCTAAAAAAACGAGATGCCACTGAGTGTCATATGGCAACACATTGCCATTGAATATCATAATCCTGAGTGAGGAAATACAGGAATTCAGACACTTCACTGAGTATGAGAGCAGTGGCCTCAACAGCTAGTTTTCAGTCAAATGAAAAGACTTGGCAAACAGCTGCTCACAAATACCACAAAATGTTTAAAGCTGAAGCTGGCTTAGACTTGCTAGGAAACTCCCAGCAACATTTTTTCTAAGAAATCAGGTTTTCAGGAGTAGTTGAGGTGAGTTTAATATTAACCACATGCTTTTGGTACCCTGGCCTGCTTTTTAAGTTAGATTGCTTGGCCTATTGACCTGATTCATTCAGTATGGATCTGAGTCCAGAACTCGGTGTCAGCTAAAAACTGAAAGACATTTATTGAAGCACACTTATCCTCTGGATGAGCTCTCTGGTGTCAGGTCTAACATTTGAGGACAGAGCTACTTTGGGATTATCAGCCTGTGTTAATGCTACAGTGTTTCTGTTAGGAAAGTATTACCTTTCCCGTCAGCATGCAGCGTAATTTCAGCCAAAGAAAATAAAATTTTATTTTGCTTAGGACTTTTCAAAAGACGGTTTGCTTTTACATTGTTTTTTTTCATATCACAGATATTTTAAAATGTTAAAAATGAAAAAAACATATTAAAAATAATATTTTAAAATCAGGCATTTCTAAAATGATATAAGTCTGCAATTATAAGCAAAATGGGATATTGAAACAAAGCCTAGAGTTGTTTTTAGCTTTTTACAAAGTTCTACAGGATGTGTGGAGCTGGAGTCTGATAGGTTAAAAGACCACGCCATTATATAATGGTTACCAGTATGCTAATGTATATATCATGGGCATGACTGCTGTGACTATAAATAAAGAGTAATGAGAGGAGATGGTTAGTTTAAGTGCTTTTGTTATCTCTCAGTCACTTAAACTTAAAGGGTGACTGAGTGACCTGTCCACTGGTCACTCTCCTAAGTCTCCATTCTCATGCTGCACTGTAGTAAATGGAAGTAAACTGGTAACAGAAATGGTCTTCAGTATATGTTGTCATAATGGGTAATATCTAGTGCTAATATCTAAGAGCTGATGTACATGTTCTGTCCTTTATGTTTATGTTCTAGCTGAATTCTCAGCATTGTGCAGTAAAGGTATTGGCACCACCTCAGATGGGAGAGGTATGTACAGTACCATCATAAGTGTACAGATTACAATGGCTAACACTGCAGAAGTAATATATAATGATGATCAAACAAATCGACATCCCTCAAATCAGTATTTTAAATTCACCTTGAGTGTCTGATTGTAACTGAAGTAAAGGTTCTCAATCGTTTGTATTACAGATATAAATGAGTGCGCACTGGATCCTGATACTTGTCAGAATGGAGTTTGTGAGAACATGCTGAGGACTTATAAATGTAACTGCAATCTTGGATTTGAAGTAGATTCCACAGGCAAAAACTGTATTGGTATGTTTTAGTCTTCCCTTATTGTTTAATGGATGTTCTACACGTAGTTTTATCTCAGTTTTAAAAGTAAAAAAAGTTTATAGTTCATTTAAAAAGTTTAAAATGTGTAATTTCTTTGTAGACATCGATGAATGTGCACGGAGCCCACACCTGTGTGACAATGGGCAATGCCGAAACACCCCTGGGAGTTTCACCTGTTTGTGTGAAAAGGGCTATGTTTTTAATCCTGAAACTGATGTTTGTGAAGGTAATTTCAATTGAGGTTTGAATTTATTATTGAATGGACTTACAGTAAGTCAGACATTTTATTTGTATACAGTATTGTGATGGGGTTACCACCATCTCACAGGGATTTAAAAAGAGAAATTGTTGCAATATTGGTAGAATTATCATGGTGTTAATACTGTACATTGCGTGAAGTATTGTATGAATGCATTAATTTCCTTGATACTTCTGTCTTTAGTTTTACTTGGCTAGGAGAACATGCTGCAGATTCTGTGACAGTTGCAGGGCCTTCCTAGCTCCTTGTCTTTTGTTTTTTTTTTTAAATCAAAGTTTTATCCGATGTCCTCTGCTCTTGCAGTTCATATTAAAGAGGGATTCGTATTCAGTCTTTCTGGGAAACCAACAACAGAAACCATTGTTCTCTAAGTGGCTCCCAATAATGTTTTGAGAAGGGTGTGATATATCTCCTTACAGATATCGACGAATGTGAGTCCAACCCCTGTGTAAATGGAGACTGTAAGAACATCAAGGCCTCCTTCGTTTGTGAGTGCCCGCCAGGAAGCGTCCTGGACAGCTCTGGGACGACGTGCATTGGTAGGTGGGAGTTTTTCAGTTCTGTGCTTAGCTCTCATGAGAGACGTACAGCCCAACCCTGATATGTGAATCAGTCTTCAGCCACAAGGTGACCACCTCATTTTCTATGTACTGCATTATGTCTTTCTGTTCACATTGGGAATTGCCTATTATTTGCGTTTCAGACAACCCCAAACACAATTTGTGAGTTTTTCTCATACTCACTCCCGGTGGGGCACTGGAGAACACCATGGCAACTGTCAGATCATCAACTGGTTGCTCTGGCAGGAGCTTGGTTCCACCTATGTGTGATTGATCACTGCACTTGCCTCTTTGGGAGCTGACTGTTTAAGATCAGTCTTTGCATCTCTAAGTGTGGGCATTCTCTGCTTTGCTCTAGCTCTTGGATTTATGAACCCACCATACTGTAACTTCGACCTCGCTGGTTGGGTTCCCCTGCCTTTCCAGGCGAATGTTACTAATATAATAGACTGTAAAGCAGAGGAGTGAGGCTCACTAGCTCTCTGCAAGTCATTGGAGTTGGTGCTGTTTGTCAAGAAGAGGAGACCCAGGTTGGCTCAGCCCAAATGACACTTGGAGAGCAAGCAGATTGGATCAGAGCAAAATGTAGCTGCCTCACTGGACATATCTGTGAACCGAGGGAGGCATTGGGTCTGCTGAGGTGGCTCAAATCTTAAACTACCTTACGCAGTAAACCCTTGGTGTCTATTATTGACAAATGTCTGTTAAATCGTGAATGACATTCTTTCAGCCTAAAAATGATATTATAGGAGAAAAATATATGTATACAATATATGCATACTGTATGTATTCTGATGTTTTGATTAATTAATTTTAACTATAATCAACACAGTCAATGAAAACTGTTCCTGTGCATGTTTTATCATTAATATATAAGATTTTTTTTCCTGTGTGGTAGATGTACCATTTAAAATATGCTAAAATATACAAAACACAGACGACAAACATCATAGGCAATTGACTTACCCATACAGGGCACCATTGATATTCCTGAATTTTAAACCTATGTAGTATGTGTTTTTACCTTGCTATGTTATTTATAGATTTCTCTGTTATTGTAAGGAAAGTCTGGTATTTCTGACTTCGCAGACAAAATTCCCCTTCAGCAGATTTCGTCTGTTAAATCCTAAGTCTGTTAAACTCAGAGTTTACTGTAATCTTATTTTAATGTATCTTGTTATATCTAAGCATTTTAATTACTGCACTGCTTCTGTCAGATATGCACCTTAATTTTTTAGGAAATCCTTCATAAATAGCTTTTGTAATTCTTTAAGCACTGTCTGAAATGCACTTCTCTAAATGCATTCAAGATGGCTAACTCCAGTCTTGCAGTAACAGAGCCTTCTGCTTATTGAATGTACCAGTATTGTGCACTGCTGTGTAGGGAGTCCAGGTCACAGCTGACTAATGATAGAGTCTAGGTCAACATCAAGACCTATGCCCTGAACAGGTGACAGTGGTGAATAATTTAATAATTGATTTTATCTGATCAAAATGAAATAAGCTGCAAAAGATCTCAATAAAATACAGAGGAATCCTTCACTGAGTAACAAAAGCCATCATTTATTTCTCTCTGGATTACAGAAACAGGAACAGGAAATTGCTGGCTGACAATTATTAATGATAGATGTGAAATTAATATCAATGGAGCAACACTCAAGTCCCACTGCTGCGCTACACTGGGTGTTGCCTGGGGAAGCCCATGTACAAAGTGTGTACCAGGTAAGGCCATCTGCCAGGAGTCATGACCCCTATTCTTTGAGAGAATGCTTTCCATTTGAAACATGGAAACTCTTGTGCTTTTGTTTCAGATACAGTTTGTTCTAAAGGCTTTGCACGAGTTAGAGGGACGACTTGTGAAGGTAAGACTTTCCCTGAACTTGCGAAGGAGCCTAGCATCACTGCCTTATCTTGAGATACCCATATTGCTTTCAGCGTTATTGAAAGACAGCTTTTGTGGTTTTTCGCTTTGAAATTTCCTTAATTTTGTAATTATATGGCCAACGACATCATGTAATGGAAATGTTTTTCTTTAATGTTTATCTTGCTACATGTAGTTATTCCAGAGCAGCAAAGAATATCTGTACTTTATTCAATCAATTGCTTTACTTTATGCTGCATTTTTGCTTCTTTTTCTTTAAAGAGCTTCATTAATTGTTTATAGTAGTAATAGTTAATAGTGAATTGAATTGGTAGGAGCTCTGTCTGATATCACTGTTGAACAAAACTGCCTTGTGCTAACGCTTTATTAGAAATAGGTTTTAGGGTATATTGTTAATTGTCTTTTCCGGCAATAGATGTGAATGAGTGTGAAGTGTTTCCTGGGGTTTGCATCAACGGGAAGTGTGTAAATACAGTGGGATCTTTTATTTGCCAGTGCCCCAGTGGAAAGACTGTGGATGCCACTGGTAGAACCTGCATTGGTACGTAGTCTTCTCCTTCACGTTCAAAGTAACAAAATGATCATGATGAAACTCATAGCACTGACAGTCATTTGGCGTATGTACTGTAAATGTTTTTTAAGTCTTTAATTGCAAAAAAAAAACCTGCTATTGCCATAGATTAATCTAAAAAGACAGTACCTAACAGGTGTTACTGCACTGTAGTAGGGGTAAAGGTTTATTAAAGCAATATGGCTGATGGTGAGATATCAGTGAAAGTGACAGTGCAGGAGACCTCGCTCAGCAGAAGACATCTGTTTAAAATCATGGTGGTGCCTTGTAGTGAAGCATATCCTTGACGGAGCGGTGCCTGTTAATTCCCACAGACCTGCGCACAGAATTCTGTTATCTAACGCACGAGGATGAGCGGTGTGTCTCTCCGATTCCGGGGAAACACCGCGTCGATGCCTGCTGTTGCTCGGTTGGGGCTGCCTGGGGCCCGGAGTGCGATGAGTGTCCAGAGAAAGGCACTCCTGAGTACACCCAGCTCTGTCCCAGAGGCCCAGGCTTTTCTCACAGGGGTGACTTCATCAACGGAAAACCTTTACTCAAAGGTAATGCCAGAGGCTATTGCTGTAAAGGCCTCATCCTCCTGTCGAGCAAAAAATAGCCCAACAGTGCAGCTTTATAGCCAAGTCTTGTTTCTCTAGTGACACACACTTCCAGCAGGTTGCTGTTCGTTCAAGTTTTGAATTATATAGTTTCCATTTCCCTGACTCTTGTAGTGCCTGATTTCCAAACTTTGGGAAATCTGCCTAATTGTTACTTGTGGTTTTTCCCATAGTGGAAAAACAGGGCTTCTTGTAATCGAAAATCTGATGCCAGTATTGAATTAATTGAATTGTTGACTGTAGCATGAAGGAATCCTGTGGTGTGGGAATTGGGTTGCTGTGTATTCCAGTAAGCGCCCGCTGGTCTTGACATCTAAGAAAACATCATGGAAGTAACATATTTGAAACATGAATTTTAATTTGGAACCTTCCAACTTTTCTGTTTCTCTCCCATCTTCTCTTATACAGACATCAACGAGTGCAAAATGATTCACAGCCTATGCACCAATGGAAAATGCCGAAACACTTTTGGCAGTTTCAGATGCAAGTGCGATAGTGGCTTTGCCCTTGACTCAGAGGAGAGGAACTGCACTGGTGAGTCACCATTTATAATTGTAAATATAATTATGCAAAGGCATGCAAAGCAATTCCTGAATGGTAATAACTTTCTAATGAAATCCAGACCCCTTTCTTTTTTCTTGTTTAGTGTTTTTTAAAAAGATTTGCTTTAGATCTGATTTCAGCACTAAGCTAAGCTAAACGTTCAATGTTTTCCTGTGAATGTTTGTGTTCAAGGGTTGACTGTATGTGTTCCGATTACAGATATCGATGAGTGCCGCATATCTCCTGATCTCTGTGGACAAGGGACCTGTGTCAACACTCAGGGGGACTTTGAGTGTGAATGCTTTGAAGGTTACGAGAGTGGCTTCATGATGATGAAAAACTGCATGGGTAAGGTGCACATGCACAGACATAGCTCAGGCATTGCTTAATTCTAATAATAAACTTATTTATTATTTAAATATTTTATATAGCACCTTTAAAGATGGCTTCTAAAAGCACTTTACAAAACAACAACAACAATAAAAAATACACAAGATATACACAGTAAAAATACACAATGAGAGGAGACAGTAGATGGGGTACTGAATACAGTAGGAACAGATGGGTAAATGTCAGAACTAGTTTAATACTAAAAATAAATCAAGGTTTTGATTAATATTACTGTGTGTATTGTCATTAGCATTCAGAGACTTTAGTCGAACAAAAAGATAAAATCGTAATTTGCTTCAGATAGCACACATATCCCTAAATGTGGATTGGACACATTTTGCATGCTTTGATGAGAAGTGATTGTGTTTTTTTAAACTGTTCAGCTACAAAATGTTTGTTAGTATGTTAGCTGAATTACTTATTTTGTGCAACTTTGTTTTTCTAAGCAGCAGATTCAAAACTTACAAGGTTACTGACAAGAGACAGGCTTCAGAGAGACTCGTGGATAAGAACTTTTTGTCCATTTCTGCTGAGAACAGTTTATTAATCTGTTGTCAATGCTACATCATACCATAAGAAGTTGTTATAATAAGAGTAGTGTGTGTTGTCTTGTTTTAATCATTACTGTCTGCTTGCTATAGTCATTTTTATGAGTGAAAAATTACCCATATGGATTATGGAGTTTCCTTTTGAAGAATATTAGGTTTTGCTCATATGGGGACTCAGCTTGGATGGCTGTTAAGGCAATTTCCTTTCAAAGGGCTGTGTAGCATGTTGGATAGGCTTTATGGGAAACACAGCAGTGTGTGCTTAAAATACACGGTTGTATTCCTAGCTGCAGTGGCAGAGCCCTTCTGCTTCTGGTGCCAGTATTCCTTCCCATTAAAGAAACAATCATTTCTGTGCCCCCTGGAAGTTTTGTTTGCAATTTATTTTAGATCTCACCACTGAGAAAATGTTTTTCTTGCCCAGACATCGATGAGTGCGAGAGGAATCCGCTGCTGTGCCGGGGTGGCGAATGTCTGAACACGGAGGGAAGTTTCCGGTGTGTGTGTCCCGAAGGCCATGAGGTGGCATCCGATGGCTCCGCTTGCTTAGGTGAGAGATGGTGGTAGTGGTGATGGGGAGTTGCCCCCAGAGCTGGAAAAGCCGGGTAACTAATGGAAAAGCCGGCCTTCTGCGGGCTGGCCCAGCTCACTGCTGACTGTAAAAAGAGTCTGCCTGCTTTCACTGGACAGACAGCTCGGATTCTGCAGCTCTACTCCTGGAACCTCGGGGAACCACTCATTTCCAACCATATAAAGTTAAGGTTTCTGCCATGCAGCTCCCACACTAAAAATAAATACATGGTTAGTGAAAAGTCCTGCAGATGGATGCCATTGTACAGATGGCTTAAACAATATATTTTCTGGCTCTGGTATATCATCTATACACAGACATTTAGATGTACAGTATACCTGGTATAGTGTAGGATGTACTGTATACTAGACTGGCTAGAGTACATGTATATTTACTCTGTATATATCTCAATCTATTTTGTATACATTATATGTACATAAACATTTCAGGCTGCAATAGAACTGCACTAGTGTTTAGTGGTAGAAGTGGTGTTAAATTAAGGAGAAATTTGCAACCTGCCCCTTTATGGTATCTTTTGATTAAGTAGCCAACTAGGTATTGAAAATGTAAATTAAAAGTGTAATTTAATTTATCTTGCTTTGCTTTACAGATATTAATGAGTGTGAATTAAGTGATAAGCTTTGCAAGAATGGACGTTGTGTGAATATGATTGGGCACTACCAGTGCACCTGTAACACAGGATACAAATCTACAGAGGACAAGCTGTCATGTGTCGGTAAGGAAACACAATTACACACTTCAGCTGCAAACATTTAGATGGCTACCATACTGAAGTGCATTAATTACTGTAGGTGTGCATACTATTTAAATAACTGCAAACCAGTCAAACTGCAGTAAACAATGCGAGAGCTGTGTGTTGAACCTTTCCTGGTATTTAATCTGTTGTAGGAAGGACTGTCTTTGCTTGTTTGCAGTATGTAAAATGTATGCTACACGTGTGGAGGTGAGTATTAGTTAGGTCATATATAGCTTACACAGGAGTCTGAATTGACATGTTTCATTACATTTTAACTGAATAATGCTTCACCTGTGGAGCTATTATTTATGTCATATATAGCTTACACAGGAGTCTGAATTAACATGTTTAATTGCATTTTAACTAAATAATGCCTAAACAAGGTGTCCTGTTTTTAATGATTGTGAGCCCCTGTATTGCATTGACACACCTTATTATACACCACTAAGCGGTGCAGTTTTGGACCTCTTCAGTCTTTGTCTTAAGGTTTATACTCCGTCTTTGCTCCTTCAGATATCGACGAGTGTACCATCCAGAATGGGCAGTGTGAAACGTACTGCACGAACTCGGAAGGCAGCTACGAGTGCAGCTGCAGGACTGGCTACGCCCTGATGCCGGATCAGAGGAGCTGCACAGGTGCCACCTGAATGATATTCTGGGTGACAAACACATCGGACTTTAGGATAAGCTAAAGTGTTCCCAGTCTGACAGATCCCTTTCTCTTGCCATAGAGGCTTAATCAATCTGTCAGCCTATTTGGAGTTTTCTCCATGAGAATCCTGTTGTGCTCCATAGAGATATGGTAAATTACAAGCCAGAAGGGGATAAAAGAGGATATAATTTGAACAAAGGCGTCAGTCTTCATGCACAGGCTTGTAGAGCTTTTTTTCCCTTCACGAATCCTTTGAGAGGAAGGCTCTAACAATGCCTTCCTTACTTCCTCCTCATGACAAACAGCCTTGCCAGGAGGTCAGTCGAGCAGTGCCACCGCCCTCACATACCCAGCATGAATAAATAAACCTTCCATAACTAGCGTGAGGTCTTTCTTTTAGTTTCTGTGCAGAATAGGATCACTGCTGCAGGAGTTTATGACAGAGGAGAAGCTGTGCACTCATGCCAGCCTAGATGAGCAGAGTCCTATGAAGAAATACAGTGGTTACACTAGTGGATGCTAAAGGCCAAAAGAAAAGAATTCCTGGACTTTAATAAGAGCTTTTGAAAAATTTCCGGGCATGATTAAAATGCAATGAGTGATAAGATTCCTCCGATTCCCCTACAAAATAGGTATGACTTTTGTTACCCTTGACAGAGATGGCTGATACCGTATCTCTCTGGGGAGGGTGGGAGGCCAGATTCGGACTCCATTGAGAGAGAAACACCACTTCATTGTCACAGATGTCTTTACTACCCACCTATTCAATGAAGATTTAATCTCTCAAAATTCCTTGGCAAAGCACTAAGAGACTTAACCCTTATAGAGAGCTTTCCAGTTTAAGGTGCTCATGTATTCTTGACCTGTTTCCTCCATCCCCTGCAGATATTGACGAGTGTGAAGACAATCCAGACATCTGTGATGGTGGTCAGTGCACAAACATCCCTGGCGAATACCAGTGTCTGTGCTACGATGGGTTTATGTCCTCTGAGGATATGAAGACATGCCTAGGTACTTTGCCTTACATTGCTTCTTATTGTGTGTCTGTGGTTAGGACAAAATGGAAAAGGTGAAATATTTTTTGTGCATCACAATAATAGAAATTGAAGAATAATAGAAATTCCACAGACCCTGAGATGATTCTGATGAAATTTGGTCAGATTTTCACCAGAATCTAACATGTGGTGTTAAAGTGAAAGGTTCCTTTTTAGGGCTGAATAAATAGTTTTTATTTTTAGACTTACAAATATTTTCTCTCTTGCTTTAAAGATGTCGATGAGTGTGAACTGAATCCAAATATCTGCCTGAGTGGGAACTGTGAGAACACAAAGGGATCTTTCATCTGCCACTGTGACATGGGGTATTCAGTGAGGAAAGGAACTACTGGCTGTACAGGTAAGGCTTTGCAAATAGCCCTGAAACATTCCAGCAATTTATAAACCCTGCTCTTCGGGCTCTTTTCACTGTTGGACAAAATAAGTGCAATGCTAACTAGGTCTGTGAGAAATAACAACAGAAAAATCAGCAGACTTTTTTAACTAGTAATTCAAGCAATCATATGGACATGAATGATGTTTTGCATGTATTGCCTAACCATATGCAAGGGTAGACCATAGGATTCCAACAAAACACTAGTTCTAAATAAGTACAACAATATAGTTGTTTGAATGACTTAGTCATTTGGATGTCACATGTAAAAATCAAGAAGTTATGATTGCTTGTTCTCCTACAAAAAACAAACAGTGGTGTAGCTGTTTTGAGTTTCTGTCAAAGGAGTCTGTATTGGTAGATGAGCAGGATGTTTTGAAATATTGGCAAGAGTGATGACTCATGGAGAGTCATCTTGTAATAATTACAGCTTCACTTAATCAGTTAGCAGCTCTATTGTACACATTTTGAATTTCAAGAACCTCTTCAGAGATCTTGAAGGTTTTGTGGTATGTACACAGCATCTGAGCCGAGGAGGCAGAAGTTTGACATAATGGACCACATTTATGGTAGAACGCAAGTCAAAACTTCAGATGGTCATTTGAGAATGTTTACTGCGAGCTGTGAATGAAAACCAGCCGTTTCTTAGTTTAATTTGAACAACACTTGTTTTCCCTGATCAATGAGGCAGTGGTTCCTCAATATCTAGTATTGGTTTTACAAGTTTAGAGGCCTTTTGATTTGCTATTAAAAATAATTAAACCTTCATCTGTGTCAGAGGCCTGTCAGGGGTTATAAGAGTGTGTTACACTCCAGTGATCTGTTCATTTCTGCTGTGTTGTCCTGGATCATTTCTATGAATTGACATATACTGGGATTAAAATACACTGTAGCAAAGTTTGTTTGCGGTGAGACAAAAGGCACTTGCTACTGTGAAGAAACAGAACTTGCAGAATGTGTCAAGACTAAAAAACTATGATCTGAATTTCTTGGTTGACTTACTGAAGACCGAAGTTAGAATTCTGGATGAGCCTCATCTGACTTCATTGAAATGTTAGGCTTGTGTAATAGACATTTCCTTTTTGAGATAACAGAGTTTATAAAAGGACAGAGGAATCTGCAAAAGAGTAAAATATAGCTGTCAAAGAACGAGGTTAGAGCTTTCTGAAATGTTGTGTATTTTACATTACTTGTCCTTAAGCCAACAGCATTGAGGGGTTTGCCAAAAAGGCCATATGACACTGATCGTTAGGCGCCAAAAACCTTTTCAAGGTGTATTTTAATGCAGATTGTGATTACTTGTTTTCTGTTTACATATTGGTGACCATTAACACCATCATCTTCTACATCAGAAGGCTAAGAAGTGTCTGAATTATTATCCTTTCATGAACTGGAGTTCAGCATGAATCGAGTTTGAAATATTTTAATGTTTACAAAATGCATGGCAATGCTCATAATTGAAGTCTGGTACTCATACTTATAAGTGATCAGTAAAGCAGTAAGAGTTTGAAATGTGTTAATTGATGAAGCAAGAAATCACAAGATGGTGAACAGAAAATAAAGGACATTCTGTCTTAATTAACCCTAATAGGTGATGACCACAGGTTTTGCAGACAAATACAAGAAGCCAAGGAAATAAGGCCAGCTGTTTCAAGATACAGCTGGGCGTGTACAGATTCTTGTACAGTCATTTAATCACTCATCATGCTTGTTAGTCTTTTCACATCTTCCAGATGTTTTCCTATAGATTATAATGTATGTTTTATAGGCTACAGACAGATGTGAACTGTCAGATGCTAAAGGGATATGAGAAGCTTGTGGTGTATTGTATGATGTCATTTTGGTAACATAAAAATGTTTGTAAAAACAGTTTTGGTGGTTTAGTTATTGGGGCCATGGTTTACACAGGGAAAGCCCTTCGAATTTCAGGCTTGTAATGTATGTGAAATGGATTGTTTAAGTAACAGTACTTTTAAAAGGTTAAAGAACGTCTGTTATGGAAGCGTGTTTGGGATCATGAGAACAGCCAGAACGATCTCTTCTGGGTTTTATTGAGGTTCAGTCTGCATTGCTCAGCTCTCCTGTCATCACCAATTGTTTCCAGTTTTATAAATAAACAAATCATTCCAAATCATGAAACAGTTTTTAGAATCAGCCTTTTGCATCTCCCTCCCCCCCTACTGCATCTCTGTACACATTCCTATCCCACACAGATGTTTAGAATTTTCCTTGTTTTTAAAAACCGTCTTGCTGGGGACAAGACGAGTAGAATAAGTGCACTTTGTTCAAACCCAGCATATTAGAGTTTACTCACTCAAAACTTATGAATTCTGATTTCTGATGAAGAGTGCAACAACAGCTACAGGATATTTGACATTAGACATTCAAAAGCTTCTGTGACCCTTGCAAACCACTGAATCTCTCCAACATGCGTCTTTCCCATAAGATCCTGCACTGGGTCCAATTAAAGGATCTGACATGAACATCATGGAGCAGTGGTTTCGTTTACAGCTTAGCTAGGAATATTTCTGTGGGGAAGTTGTGAAGACCCCTTTGATGAGAGATATGAAAGTTCAAGTCTTCTTACCACCCTAATTCATCTGCTGTCCTCCATCATTCTACCTCACCACACACATCCTGAACTGCTGGCAGGAGATCGATAAAACATGCCTCATAAGTGCCGTGACCATCATGCCCTTTGTGAGTATTGTAGACTCCAGCCCTGGAACAGTGCAGAGCCCAGCAAGGCAAGCCTTCCTCCTGAGCTTAATAACAATGGCCCTCGCTGTTGTTTTTCACTCTCGTCGTCACGTTTATCTTGGAATGAAATGGCTGATTTTACAGTCGCTGTGTGCATTACCCAGCCTTTGGACACAGTGGAATATTAATCACAAGTCCTTCATGCATCTCTTGGATTGCCTCATTCTCAGCATCACAGACTAGTAAAAGATCTTGGTGGTTGTCTTGGAATCATGTGTATTATTTATCATAGCATTTTTTTTACGTTTGTTTCTGCATGATTTTCTCTACTGGGATTTGAAGGATTTGAAGCGTGGGTTTATACGCCTCCTAAACCCCATTTCCATCTCTTTCATAGTTTATTTCTTTGGGACAAACTGCAATGTTTACAAAGCAAATAAAGAGAGGGTTCACTAATTCTTAGCATTGTGCAGTAAAACACACACACATATATATATATAGTGCTTGTGCAGCTGCCTGTGATCAGTCATTGGATATGCATATTCAAGGAAATAAAGAGCCTTTATCCTCACCGCAGGAATGAAACAAAACCACGTCACTGTGAATTCAATATTATTTTCATTTGTTATATTAAACACAAAGCCACAACAGAGAACCAGTGACTGTGGTAAGGATTTGCATTGCAGCAATTTAAATTAAAAAACTGCTTTGGTTGTAATGATGTGGACAGGACATTTTCCGCATTGATGAAATTCGTTCTGCTTTTGCCTTTTGGTCTCAAGATAGTGATCCATTCGGGTCTTTTTGCCCAAGGAAACCATCAATAAAGTTGTAGGTCAGGAATCTGCTCTGTGAGAAGATTTTTTGATAAATGATAGGTTGACTTAAATTCTAAATGGTGTATTTTACATGTAAATGTTTCATGCCATGAAATTATCCAAAATCTTGTTCTGAGAAAAACCTTTAACTTCTCTAGTGGTCCTATTGATCTAATCAGCTCTCCATCATTTTTGGCTGTTTTTATAATTATTGCTAAAGGCATGAGTTTATTTTGTTTATATCATTTTTCTTTCTTTGCTTGGGATTCTTGCAGTATTTAAAGGATCAGAACACTTTTCTTATGTGTAAGGGAGAAGACAAAACAGATAATTAAACAATCCATCCATGCATTTTCTAACTGCTTCATCCCATTCAGGATTTGCAGGGGAACTGGAGCCTATCCTGGCAAGCACTGAGCAAAGGGCATGAGGCAAGATACACACTGGACTCGACTCCAGTTCGTCACAGGCACAAACACACCCACTCACACCAGGGCCAATTTTCCCAGAAACCAGTATGTGTTTGGACTGCGGGAGGAAACCAAAGCACCCAGAGGAAACCCAGAGAAACACAGGGAGTACAGTACATACAAACTCCACTCAGATAGCACCCCAGGTCAGGAATTGAACCTAGGGCCACTAACCACTAACCACTGCACCACCACACCACCCCATAAACCATCCAAAAGATTCATAATAGCTTCCTTTACGACTAAAATGCATTCAGATGCTGTTTTTTTCTTGCCTGCAGAGGATTATTTCACATTACTGAACACATAAAGACAGGGTGGAAACAATGTTGTGCAACAGAAAGGTTTACAAGGTTAGGAGTGGCACTGTGTACATTAAGTCATTCACATAGAGCCCTCTTTGTAGTTCACTGGGGACGTCCACTGGCAAAAGGAAGAATGTTCTCAATCATGGAATTTTCTAGAACATCTTAAGTCATGCCTGTTCGTCTCCATTTAGATACACGCACCTTCATTTGTAGTGTGTCATGTTGTCTTTCAGCACTTCAGGTCTCTGATGATTATTACAAGGCTTCAACAGTGTGTGACCATAATAGCTCCTTTTTAATTTGCATGTTTCCTGGTGGTTTGTAAAACCACCATCTGAACCATTGGCATCTCAAAGTTGTTTTCGTGTTGTTTTTGTTTTGGCTTCAAAGGTTAGTAGGAAGTATATAATCATACTGAGTGCCTCTGAAAGCCATCCTATAATAAGATAGCATGCTCATTTCTTAATTCCTCATATTAAAAGACACTCTCAGGCTATTTTGTAGGATAAAAAAGTAGTTTCCTCCACCACTTTTTTGCTGGTGGAACACTTCTTTAATCTTTTCCCAAAGATGAAAAGTGGGCATTAAGAGTATCTTCGAGCCTCTGCATTAATATTTAAGGGGAGAGCTAAAATGTCTCACATGCAGATCCTGGCCACTAGTTTTCTTATTATTGGAACAAAACAATGAAAATACAATAAAACACACAACAACACTGTTGAAATTTTTAGCTAAGGACATGTTGGGGAATTGTAATCTTGGCGTGGCAGAATTTATGGCTTCCTGCTATTCTATGCTGTATACTCAGAGTTTGTAATTTTTTTAAACTTGGCTCTGTGCTCCATATTGTGTTTGATAAGAATCGTTGTATACTTTGTGGGTTGTATGAATGATTTTCTAATTTAAAAACAATGGTGGAAAAAGCATACCATAGTTCAAACTAAGATCTTTCATAGCGGGCTATTGAATGTAAAATACTAGTTTGTGTATGCTTTCTGAAAACGACTGCTCAAGGTTCACTATAAAATATAATACAATTTGTCTTGCTGGGAGAGGAACATCTAATAAAGAAGAAAAAAGTTCAATATGGGCTGTAGTTTTTAAAGGCACACATTTATTGAGATCTGTTTTATTTCACAGTAGCTGTATGGAATTCAAGGTTGGCCAACTGTTAAAGATTTAAGCAGTTTGTTCTAGGAACCAAGAAAAAGCAAAATACCAGCTTTGTTTTCCGAGCCTTCTGCCTATACACAGTACCTGAACTTAGTTAGGATGAAGCTTTGACTGTTTTGTGTGATCCTTTGTGGAACAGCTTACGATTTAATTCCCATTACTTTCTGCGCAACACACAGTACTTTGTCTTTCTCTGCCCTGCAGCTGGTAAAGCTGTTGTAAACCTGATTTTGAGTTGCAAGAAGGGAAGTCAGGAAACAAGCACATTTGTTTTTTCCAAAAAATAAAGCAACACGTGAGCACATGACTTGGGTCATGATTTGACTTCTTGACATCCGAGCTATAGTTCTGATCAGGTCAACGTGAGAAAAACGTAAACATGTTGCAGTTTGCCACAGAAACGCAGCATTTTATCATGAGCTTAGGAAATACCCCCTATATTTCAAATATGTATATCACGGTTTAAACTGCATTTGTTACATACCTAGAGGATTAGCTTAGCTCTCATAAATACTCTAATGGCAAGCATTCTTGAAGGCTTGCCCAGTGAAACATCACAGCTTGAAATTAGTTCAGTGCCGAGGCATTTGTTATGATGATGTTATAGGGCTGGCCATTTTTGTCTGAATCTTTATCAAAGTTTCTAGTGTGGTGACAGTACCTGCTGAGCACATGTACAGAAAAAAAACTTACAGCTTCTCAAAGCAACAACAATGTGAAAACATTTCAGCTATGCTTAAGCTGCCATCAGTTATCAATTTAGTCATAATCTGTTTGTTGATTTAATTTCTGAAACTAAAACAACAACAAGTAAGTTCTGCAAAGTCCTAATACCACAGAACGGTTTTAGTGAAGACATATGATGTACAGTAAAGTTACCGTTACTTGTAAATTGAGTTTAAAAAAACAACAATATTAAGAACTTTATTTTAAGGGAGATAAAGGAGACTAATTGCTGTAAATGAAGGATGCAAGTTTAAATAATTTCTCTTTTTTCTGTCCGTTAACCAAGCTTCCGTCTGAGAGTTTTGGCCTTTTGCGTGTCTGGAATGTGTCTGTTCCATAGAATGTCTGAGCAGTTCTGGAAACAGCTGGACCACCTTCCCCACAGCTGAATGCTGTCACTCTATGTTCATATTTCTGGAAATGTTCTCTTTCAGATATAAATGAATGCGAGATTGGAGCTCATAACTGTGACAGGCACGCCACCTGTACAAACACAGCAGGCAGCTTTAAATGTAGCTGCAGTCCTGGCTGGATAGGAAATGGAATCAAATGCAAAGGTGAGTATAGACCAGAAACAATTCCATCTACTTAGATTCAAGAAAATACTCAAGTCTTACTGAGTGCAGGAGCTCCCTGTTTTAGGATGATCAAGACTTTTGCACAAATTTAGATGGGAGTTTCATTCTTAAATTATAGCACATGCACACACACATCCTTTATAAATAGGTCACAACAATAAAAACATTGTAGACAATAGATTCAAAAAGGGGTGTAATTGGAAACTGAAAATAAAAGGCACGTTTAAATACAAGGTTATAGTGGGAGTCCAGGACACACTTCAGTCCTTTCAGAAGTGATGAAACATTTATACTGCTTGGCTACTAGATATAAAATAACCACGATAGGCTGAATAGCCTCCTAATTAAAATGAATCCTTCTTATGTTCTTCTGATATTCGTATGGCCATCCATCTGCCTCTATTTACTTTCGCCAGTGTTGTAATGTACAGTAATTGGAGGCTGTTGTGTGATGCAGATTTGGATGAGTGCTCCAATGGAACCCACATGTGCAGCAGCCATGCGGATTGCAAGAACACCATGGGGTCCTACCGGTGCATCTGCAAGGAGGGCTTCTCTGGAGATGGCTTCTTTTGTACAGGTGACAACTGCGAGCCCAGTAATAACACCCTGACAGCACCTGTTTACTCATTTCACCTGTTCAGTGAAATCAGATGATTTAACAAAGTAAGATGTCATTAGATAAGTAAATTAATGCATCATAAACCTCAGCGCTGAAAGCCAAATTGCAATGGCTGCTGCTCGTGGATATAAGCAGTGGTCCGAGGTTCAAGGGAAGAACCCAACAGTAGGGTGAAATGAGCAGCTGAGCAGGCAATGAAAAACAGGCAAAACACAGTCAGAGTCATAGTGCCAGAACAAGGTAGCAGGTTCAAAACTGAGGATCACACTGCACAGTACCAAGCTGGAGAAGGGTTACAGCAAGAGGCTTTGATTAAACTCTGTGACAGAGCCCAGAGCACTGCCAGAATAAACCTCAAATAGCCCACCTGTGATGGGAGTTGTAGTAAATTTTGCACAGGTGGTCTGGGCTTCCTGTCTGTTCATGTAACCATGGCAACCAACACCGATTGACCAGTGAGTAGAGACGGGGCCTGCTGCCGTGGTAACATTAACCATGCTATCATTGCGAAATGGATGTTGATTGTGTAACTAAATGCTAGAGGTTATTTTAAATGCAATTTTGTCTTGTTACAGACAGCGACGAGTGTGCAGAAAATGTAAACCTGTGTGAGAATGGACATTGCCTGAATGTTCCTGGTGGATATCGCTGTGAGTGCGACATGGGGTTCATACCCACTTTGGATGGGAAGGCCTGTGAAGGTAACTAACGCGTTTACCTTACTGTTTCTAGCTTTGCAGTGGCTCTAAATATTTATGGCAGTATCACAATTAATATTCCAGTCACAGCAGTACCAGTACCTATTAGTCATATCATCCAACTCTTGCAGAATCATTTTGCACAGTGTAGCATTCCTTGTCTTTCAACAGATATTGATGAGTGTTCATTCCCTGACATCTGTGTCAATGGGAGGTGCCGGAATATCCCAGGCCTCTTCCGATGTGAGTGTCACACCGGGTATGAGCTAGACAGAAGCGGAGGAAACTGTACAGGTAAGAAAAAATAAATACCTTTGATCAGACAGAAACAAATTATGATTCTGTGGCTTCAGCTGTCTTGAAGAACTGCGTGACATAAGCTAGCGTGGACGTTAGTTGGAACTGCCAGTTGTGTGTTTCTTATGTTAATTTACAATCGTTACCTATGTGACCCACAACCACACACAGGGGAGAATAAGGAAATGCAGTCAGTCCAGCCAACCCACCATCTCACAGGTGTTACAGCCCTGTACAGCAGGTTCAGCACCATTGAGAGGAGAGAGAGGCACATCCCTCATTGACAGCACTGCAGGCTTATGAGCATCCGTGTGGCCACAGGGGGCGCTGCATCACAGCGAAGACCTCCGCCCATATAATCCTATCCAGCACTGAGGCAGTTGCTCACAGAGACTCAGGGAATCCCAGCCAGCAGGTGACGTGACCTGGCCTAAACACAGAATGAGTGACTCAGAAGGCCTGTCATATCCTCTTTCCAGCGCATATCATATTAAAATGGGCCACATATGAATCTGCCATCTACCATGTTTCTTTCACATTGGCTCTGTGGCTAAGGATCTGCCTGTGGCTATAAGGTTATCAGTTCGTATCCTGTGGCCGGCAGAGAAATCCTACTCCGTTGGGCCCTTGGGCAAGGCCCTTAACCCCAATTGCTCCAGGGGCATCGTATAAATGGCTGACCCTGTACTCTTACCCCAAGCTTCTTTTCTTATAATATAACTCAAAGCAAACCATGTTATTGACTCAGCTGAAATAGAAATGTATGGATTGGCAGTGCATGGACTGGTGTGGTTTTACTAAGATTAGACACTATGGGCAATGAAGAACATTACACCTGTATGGGAACAAGTACAGGTTTATCCCATGTTGAAAAGAGAAGAAAAGAAACACAACATTATGGCTATGGAGCCTTTTTCAGGTGTCCCTTCAGGTGGAGGGGGCACCAAAGCCTAAACGTTGTGTTTCTTTTCTTCTCTATTCAGCATGGAATAAACCTTTACTTGTTCCTTTGCAGCCTACAAATGCTGACACAGCTACCTACTTAAACTTCTTCATTACACCTGTATTTTTCTTACCAAGCAAAGCACGGCTTATCTGGACCTTTTTCCTTGAAGTGAGCAGACAGGTTGTGTCTCTGCGAGAGCTCTTTCTCTGGAGATGATAGCCATCCCTCCAATCGCCTGTCTTTGCCTTACAAGACCCTTGCTGGAAAAAATGACCTCATCATGGTTACTGTGCTTCCCCACCCTGGATATGTTGTCATTCTGAATTAGTCACTGCTCCCATCAGTGACGACAGTCGCTGCAGTCCAGCACAAAGACTTACCATTGATGGGGACCCTCCCTCTCCTGCAGATCTCGGAGAAAGTGTCACAGGGTTTTAAAGGATGTGTTCTTTCTCATACAGTATGTGTCACATGTCTGTGTTCTCCAGATATCAACGAGTGTGCTGACCCAACCACTTGCATCAGTGGAATTTGTGTGAACACTCCTGGTAGCTACGTCTGCAACTGTCCTCCAGATTTTGAGCTCAACCCGACCCGTGTCGGCTGTGTTGGTAAGACCTTTCAGCACCTATTTACTGCATGTTCCGTGACATTGCAGTGCCCTGAGAGTACCCAGAAGATCAGATTGTAAAGGGAATTTAAATTTAATTTTAACACAGAGATCCAGATTTTTTGTAAAGCAAACAAAACATACAGACCAAGTCCTCCTTTCCTGAAATCACTACAAAAGTATAATTTTTCCATGAGAGTTTTATAGGAGTTCTTACTTTCTTCTTGCTGTGCGTTCTTGTTATTAAATGTTGGCACAAAACAACATACAGAATGAATTAACAGTCGACCAAAGTCAACAAAACATGAGCTGTAATTTATAACTAAATATTAAACCCGGTACATCAGGAACTTACCCACTTAAGGACTGTATAGTCTTTTGTATGCATACTATGGAACCGGAACGTAACCTGACTCCTTTAAATCCACATTGGCTTAAGCATGGTAATTTTATTGAATCTGCTAGACACGCGTTCTGGCAATTGCTACCTGGACGTGCGGGCCCGTGGAGATGCGTCTTTGAGCCTGGAGTGTTCCAATGAGATCGGCGTGGGCGTCTCCAAGGCCTCCTGCTGCTGCTCCCTGGGCCGAGCCTGGGGCAACCCCTGTGAGGCCTGTCCTGCAATCAACTCCTGTAAGTGTAATACACTCCGTCGTTTCACTGGGGGACAGCGGGGAAAATACTTCATGAGCAGTGGTACACCTGAGAGAACACAAGGACAACTGCATGGTGAAGGGCAGTGAGATACAAATCGTTGGGGAGCCATAGAAAATTCAGGTAAAGTAGCTGATCCAAGCATGGTAAAAGCACTGGAGAGCTGCAAACATGCTGTACACGAATGTACTTTGGTAAGCTTTCACTGGGGGGGCATGGTGGCGCAGTAGTTAGCATTGTTGCCCTGCAGCAAGCACTGGGGCTCTGGGTTAAAATCTGGACCTGGGGTGCTATTTGTGTTAGAGTTGTCATGTTCTCCCTGTGATCATGTGGTTTTCCTCCAGGTGCTCTGGTTCCTCCCACAGTCCAAACACATACTTCTAGGTTTGTTTCTAGGAAAACTGGCCCAGGTTTTAGTGTGTGTGGACCCCGTCCAGAGTGGACCCCACCTTGCGCTTTTTGCTTGCCGGGATAGGCTCCGGCTCCCCAGTGACCCTGGATTAGAAAATGGATGGATTTTAGACCTTCGCAAGGGTTCCTGTGGAGGAGCCTTTGGTTTTGATCTAGAAAATACACCTCATTTAATTCTTCCAGAAAACGATGTGTGTTCTTAGTGCTAATCGGACACATTTGTCTTGTTAAGAGTTCAGAAGTTTTGTATTTGTCTTTCTGATGCCCTTTGCACTAATCGCATTGTGGTTCAGTGACCCAAAAGGTTTTGTTTTAGAATGATGTCAAATCAGCGGTTAAATCCTAATGAATGATGGATGTTTAAGGAGCTGTATAACTAGGATGGGAGACCAGTTAGCTCATCTGAGTGTTTTGCTGGGCCAGTAGGTGGCACTCTTCTCTCTGGTCCAGAATTTCCACTCCAGTGCACCCATTGTGGTGACTGAAAACACTGTACGTTAAACCAGAGGGGCTGCTGGGGGAGAATGACACTCACATGTCCCCCAGGTGCACTTCAGTGGTGGAGGGAATAGATTCCCTCCTGTATGCAAAAATCTTTGGGATCCCTTGGGATGAAAGTACATCTATACAAATTCAAAGAATGCTAGAGGACACAAAGCAAAACTTTTACATCAATTGAAGCCACCAAAGCTGCTCTGGGAATGTAATAGATATTTTTTTTCATTTTAGCTGAGTATAAGACCTTGTGCCCAGGAGGAGAAGGATTCCGACCTAATCCCATCACAGTTATTTTGGAAGGTGAGGTCTGACACATAATGTTACTGCAATTGCAGTAGTATAATATGTATGTACTGTACAGTGTATATCTGAATATATAATATTGGTATAGTGTATGTATGCAGTATATGAATAATAAGGATTCTTTGTACGATTTTTGTAGCCGTAGTTTAATTATTTTAATAAATATTGCATTTGTGAATCTACATTTCATAGAATTTGGGAGTTAATACTTTAAATGATTTCTCACTGTAAATGTTAGAATTTATCTTAACCTGGGATATCAAGTGGAGTTCTGAAAAATATTTCCTCACATATTTGAAATTGCTTTTACATTTGTCTTTGTTACTTCTAAATTACTTCAATATGAAATAATCATTATAGGTTTTGTTGTACATATTATTAGTATAATGCATGATTATATTATTATAATGCAAGAACCTTGTGTTTGGAGCCTCCCCAGGGCCAGCACAGAGCTGCAGCGAAGTATTATTACAAATGACACAAGTTTTTCACCCTTCTTTTATTGCCTCTGGCAGATATCAATGAATGTCAGGAGCTACCAGGTCTTTGCCAAGGAGGAAATTGTATTAACACATTTGGTAGCTTTCATTGTGAGTGTCCAAGGGGCTTCGAGCTAAATGAGGAGACAAGAATCTGTGAAGGTATGGAACAGGACTTGAACATTTGGCTTGTTTACTGAATCACTGTGTGTGAAAGGGTGTTTTTATGATACTTTTCTGTAGTGCTTAATTTGGAACTAGCAAACAGATTTTTTATTTAGCATCCATCACATCAAAAAAACCTCACTGTAGGCTTGGGTTCTTAGTGCTGACGTGCACAAGTTATTGCTGTGAGTCTTCACCCTTACTTTTAATACAACGCTGGAAACACAGGGCCCTCCTCGGGGCTCTCTCTGTCTTGTCCTTGCAGCAGAGCTGCATTCTCTGGCATGCTGTACACATCACACAATCTTTTGAAGTCAGGAGACAAATGTTATTAGTGCTGCTGGTTAATGGTTTATGGGTTTCATCTCCTTGAGAGTACAGCTGTTCCTCTGTATTACAACGCACTGTAAAACCCCACTCCTGCTTACTGCCAGTTCCAAAGCTTTACAGAACCTGGGAAACTGTGAGTATTGTGGGCCTTTCTCTGCTGTCATTAATGGACTATGTGACAGCTTCACAACAGTTCTAAAATACTGTAGCTCCTGTGGGATTAACTTCTAGCTAATCAATGCAAAAGGAGTAGATTACATTTTCTCATATTTCATTCAATGTGTTTCAGGTTTTAGACAAAAACGTGAAAGAGTATAAGGTTAAATAATTTGCTTTATACAGTACACCTCCAGTTCTGCATCTGTGACTGACGTGTTTGCATCACAATCGTTTGAAAGACGCTTATCTTGAAATGTCTTTTTCCATTTCCAGATGTTAACGAATGTGAGAGGCCTGGTATCTGTGGCCCTGGACAGTGTTATAACACAGTAGGGAATTACACCTGTATATGTCCCCCAGACTACATGCAGGTCAATGGTGGTAACAACTGCATGGGTAGGTTTGTGTATATATACTGTATATACTGTAGTTTGCTCTCTTTTATCATGGGTCACTTTTCTGAAGACACAGAAAGGCCCTTTTGAAGATTTTGTCTGTTGAATGTCATGGTAAAAGTAGGAAATTCTGTAATAGCACAGGAAAGCCACTACTTTCCGGGCAAACATATTAAAAACCATAGCAGACCATGACAAGGTTATGTCATTCAAAGTTAGTGCAACGTAGGAGATTTTAAAGCAAAATACCATACAGATTTCTCATTGTGGGTAGTGAGCAGTCATAAGGCAGAGACAGACAGATTGAGTGTGGCTAACCTGAGCTGAATCATTAGCCCAGTGTGCAAAGCATCTGCATTCCTCCATTACTCCCTCACTTCCAATAGTATATTTGTGTGTGACTGAGTCCTGTTCAACATGCTGGAGGTTTGGCAGACAGTGCCTCGTATGCTCTGTTCAGTTTTGCAACTCTGAAAAAAAAAACAGATAAAATCCACTTTTCCCCCCACCTCCCCTCTGTATTTCTTCTTAGGTAGTGTGTTTGAAATTGTGAAGCAGAATCACATGTTATTGGAATATGGACAGTTGTATTTTGTGTGTTTTTTGAACTGCAGATATGAGGCGGAGTCTGTGCTACAGGAACTTTTATTCTGACAATGGAACCTGTGATGGAGAGCTGGCTTTCAACATGACCAAGAAGATGTGCTGCTGCTCCTACAATATCGGCCGGGCCTGGAATAAGCCGTGCGAGCAGTGTCCCATACCCAGCACCAGTGAGTACCAGCACTTCAGCACACGTTTCTGACTTGAGGTTCCTGCTTTAATGATCTGTTCCTTAATTCATTCCTAGATGAGTTTGCCATCCTGTGTGGAAGCGAAAGACCAGGATACATCATTGATATCATTAGTGGAAAACCTATTGGTGAGATGCCTGTCACACCCAGTTTGTTATTCTTGCCTTTCCTACCTGAACAGGTGCTGCAGAAGGGGGTAGAGCTGGGATTGACATCTTTGACTCTCAGAGGCCACAGGGTCCTCTGCTCATTGATTGGACTTAATTGACCAATGTAAATGAATAAGAAGTCAAACCTTCAAAGTCAAACCTGTTTGTTTAAGTCTTAATCAGGTGTTACTAAAAAGTATCTGTAAAACCTGTAGACACCTGGCCTCAGGACTGGATTTTCCCATGCTGGGTTTAGAATATTTAAAATAAATGAATTAATTAAGTATATAATACATGAGCATATTAGCAGTAGCTCTTGGCATAGCAGTTAGTATTGCCGCTTCACAGCTCTTGGGTCTTGATTCGATTCCGACCCATGTCTTTTTTTCCGTGTGGAGTTGGCATGTTCTTGTTGGATCTGTGTTGGACTTCTCTAAGTACTCTGGTTTCCTCTTGCCTCCCAGAGATATGCTGGCTAGGTAAATTGGTGTCTCTGAAGTCCATAAATGTGCATGGACTGGCATCCTATTAGGGGAGTATCCTGCCTTGTACCCTGTGATGGACTGACGTCCTGTCCAGGGTGTAGTCCTACCTTAATCTTAAACTCTTCCAAGATAAGCTTCATGGTGGCATGACCCTTAACAGAATAAGCAGCTTTATTGATAGACTGAAACATAAAATTGTACAAAATGTTACGTCATTCAACTCATATACTTTTACTGCTGCTTTTATTTGTTAATCCTTGCATTTAAGACTAATGAAAAGGAAAAAATATATATAAATTTCACATCTGCTTGTAAAATCACAAGCTAAAGTATTTACATAAAGCTTTGAAACTGCGGTACTTACAGAGAGTGAGGCCTTTAACTCTTCAAAAATACATTTAAAAAGGAAGTTAAATGTGACGCTGATTTCCTGTTCCTTGCTAAAAGCCAGAATCCAAGAGTTCTTTGCTTTTCAACAGACATCGATGAATGCAGAGACATCCCGGGAGTCTGTGAGAATGGAGTGTGTATTAATATGATTGGCAGCTTCAGGTGTGAGTGTCCCATGGGCTTTGTGTACAACGACAAGCTGTTGATCTGCGAAGGTGAGGCAGCTCTCTGCATGAGATCCTCTGTCACTGTGTTTCCTGCAAACTGGTAAAAGATGTGAAATTCAATTTTAGTTTCCTGTCTCTGTTTCTTCTTAAAAAAGATATGACATCTTTTGAAAGTTTTTAGAGATGTTTTATTTGCGGCCACCACACTAATAAAACTTACTGTTATTAAAAACCATTTCTAAGTAAAAGCAGTTTCCAAAACTTTGAAAATGGAAGTCTGATGTTTCGCTCATCTTAATTCGTAATACTAAAAACATTCATACAAGCTCAGGTGAAAATTCATCTTGGTACAAGAATATGAAGATAAATCTGTTTTCTTCATGTTCTGTAGTATCATTTTAATTTTTTAAATGTACTACTGTTCCCATCCCACCAGAAAATGACATTGTGTACGTTCTGAACTCTGATATGTAAAAGCAATAGTCAGGGACTGAAAAAAAAAACTTGGCTTTTATTTTGGCTGAAATACAAATAATTTAAATGGTTTTTCATGAATATACTGTAAATGTCAAGTCATTGATCATGCTACCACATGTATCGGTGTTTTAAAAAGATGTTATTTTGCTCTGTTCTTGAGTCAGACGTTTATGAATATCTCCCTGAAAACTGAAGAGAATTCTGGACTTGCCAGCTATAATCATGGCTTTTTTGCCCACCAGACCAGTGGCAGTTATTTTTAACAGTGCTGATTAAAAAGCGATATTAGATTGCATGCTTTTTTGCTGTAATGACTGCAGACATTGATGAATGCCAGAACGGACCCGTTTGTCAACGAAACGCGGAGTGTCTGAACCTGCCCGGGAGCTACCGCTGCGAATGCAAACCAGGCTACCGATTCACGCCCACTGGCCAGTGTCTCGGTGAGTCTTCACCACAAAACAGAAAAACCTTGTTGGCCTTATCCCATTAGACTTAAAAGCTTCATGAGATCTGTGCATGAATATGAATGACTTGATGGTGTTTGAAGGTCAAAAAGGTTGTGTTTACTGTGAATGTGATGTCAGTGTGATGTCAGTTTGAAAGTCGTTTACAGGCCAATGTGATGTCATTTTGAGGTCATTGTGATGTCTTTTCGAGGTTAGTGTGATGTCATTACACCTTTTGGAGGTCAGAGTATGGTGCATACAGTAGCAAGCCAGAGATAAAGTTTATTATGCCAGAAGATATTCAGTAAAAAAACAGAAAACACTTTATTAAAATTTGTTTACAGGTCTGTATGAAATGAGAGAGAAAATGAGTGGAAAATGTTTGAAACCTAAAGGCACATTGCTTGGTCTTTAATAAACATTTCTGTGTAGTCAGTTATTAAATAGACTGCAAGTCTTTTGTTTCAGTACCCTTATAAAAACACCACTACATTTTCACAGGAAAGGGTCAACACTGGCCTGGGACAATGGAGAAAACGGTTTCAGTTTAATGAGGCATGTTTGGTTCCTGTTATTCTTCCTTCTTTTATATGCATGGAAAATACAATCAAGAAGGGAGCCAATATAAGAAGCAAGTATAGTTTATGACACAGGCTGATAAGACTTTGAAAGCAAGCCTAAAGAGAATATTGTCTGAACATTGAACAAACTTCAACTGTAACTGTGTGAAAGTTCATGCAAAACAAGTGCATAAACAAAGGCGGTATATGCAGGTTGATCTTTTTTTCATAATTCAACAGATCGCAACGAATGTGCTGAGATTCCCAATATCTGTAGCCATGGGCAATGTATTGACACAGTGGGAAGCTATCGCTGCATCTGTCAGAATGGATTCAAGCCAACTGCAGATGCATCCATGTGTATAGGTAGGTGATGTAGCTTTGTACACACCCATTGCAGTGGTCTCTAATACAGTTTGTGTGTAAAAAAATAAAATCAACTTGGGGACATTTTATGAAAGAAGACGTATACGTTGCGGGTTGGCCTGAGAGCGTTGTTGTTTGTTGCAGATGTTGACGAGTGCGAGAGGCAGCCGTGTGGAAATGGCACCTGTAAAAACACAGTTGGCTCCTACAACTGCCTGTGTTATCCCGGGTTCCAGCTCTCTCACAATAATGACTGTATTGGTGAGTATATGCCTGCGGAATCGTGGGAACTAAACACAAAGGTGTCTCAATGGTTTCTTCTCTGATTTTTAACATTATACTGACCTTAAACCATTTTATTTAATATTTCAGATTGACTAAATGTGGCCTCTCCAGTTTATTTTGTTTTCGAAGAAAAAGGCTCTTGAAGACTAAAATGAATGTCTCTAAATATTGTAAAGTGCACCCAATTTGTATGTATTTTCCTAAAAGGCAAGCTGTATCTATTTGTTCTCTAAAAGACAAAGTATAAACATTGTCACTCTTGCACTGAGGCAGTTACAGCGGGATTTCTGGTACAAGAAGTCTAAATCCTGCAACACACTAACAGAGTGAACCCAATGGATTACTTTATGTTTAGGAATTAAACTCCCAGTGAAGGATGCAAGTGGACATTATGAAGAAGTGTGTTTAGAGCTGAGAACAGGAGGCTGTTCTTTATAGAAATGGTAGTGGGTATCTGGAATGAATTGCCGAATCCTGTTGTTGAAGATAAAATCCCTGAAGATCCTCAAAGAACTTCTGAATGAAATCCGTGGATCAATGAGGACTGAGCAATCATGCAAGCACAGTGTGCTGAAAGGCCTTCTCTCTTAAAGTAGAAGTATATGAACCTCAGTTCGTTTCTCTTTCAGATACGGACGAGTGCTCAACTCAGAGGGGCCTCTGCAGGAATGGCAACTGTATTAACACCATAGGATCATTCCAGTGTGTGTGTCGTGATGGCTATGAGCTCACAGCCGACCGCAGGATTTGTATAGGTAATGGGAAAGGAGATCTTCTCCATCACTATCACAATATTAATCGTAGAGTTTGTTATTTCTTCAAAGGAAAAATCTGTTCGTAAATTCAGGGCTAAAAGTCACCCACAGGATTATTTTTGTTTCCTATGAAAAAAAGCAAAGGGTTTTATAACATTTCATTTGCCAACAGCATTTAATTTACATGTGCTAAAAACGCAGAAAGTAATTCATTATTCTCAATTTGAGCTTAGATTTCGGTGATATGATGGTTTCTATTTCCTGTACAACTATTTAGAAGCAATACCATATAAAACTGTGAAGTCAGCAGAAGAAATATACAGGAGAATCACAGCTTTTGTGATAATGGCTCTGCCTCTGAATCTATTTTAAACAGTGTATGATTGCATGTGAATATACTGTACTAATGTGAATAACTTGTTCAGGTGTTTCCCTATACCAAAGGGTATTATGAAGACCTTGGTTTTAGCAAGTGCTAATTCACACACTATGCTCTCTGAAGTCTTATTCTATAGTTATATTAGTATGTGAAAGCTCCTCTGTTTCTCTGGGTGGATTCTAGATCCAACAAAAACCCCACTTCTTGGTTTGCATAACCTCTGCAGTGCTGTACTGTTTGTGCAAACTTGAAACAACTTTGCTTGAGCAAATACCTGCACAAACCACAGGAATACCATGTGCCTCAGTTTTAAAAATGTCTTAGAGGTGATGGAATATACATCTTGAAACAATAAACAAATTTTCCTCACTGGCCTAATCCCCACACTACTGTGGACTCATTAAGTTTAGAAACAGAAGTGTGTTTTTGGCATTCAAAACTCAAAACAGACATGGAGATGCAGTTAATGTTTTCTGTTTTCTAGATATCAACGAATGTGTCGTCAATCCTGGAACCTGTGGCCCTGGTATCTGTCAGAATTTGGACGGCAGCTACAGGTGTATTTGCCCACCTGGATACTACTTAAAAGATGAGAAGTGTGAAGGTATAACAGACATTAAGACATTTAGTGTACATACCGAAGTGTAAAAATACCCAACAACTCTTATATGCAGTAAAAGAAGCCATTGGCACACAGTATACAGTATATCAAGTCTGACTTGACTGTAAATGTGCAAAGCAGCTGTGGTTTGTAAAGATCCTTGTATAAGAGGAGTCAGTGAGGATAAGTGGTGAATACATTCATCCCTGGAATCTCTGTGGTGTGATTTATTTGTGATAAAAGACATGAGAATCCTAAGGGAAAGGGAAAGATTATTCCGAGCTTTAGTTTAGACCTTCAATGTATACCACAAATTAGAGAAAAAGCTTTTATGCAACCGATTCAAATAGCAAGAATTTCCCTCTTAGATAAATGTGTTTACAGGAGCCCCGACAGAATAAATTATCTGTAAAAGAAAGTGTGTTGTACAGGGAGCTGTCTGTGAAACTACACCTGATTCTACAAAATTACAATAAAATATAATCTGTGGTTTGTCCTAGCAAAACCACAGCCAATTCAAAAGTTAGAATGTTTGTGGATATACTGCAATGATGAAACCTAGAACCTGCTAGCTTTTTTGTGAGTTATTTGAGTAAATGTATACAGCTTTATTGTAATTTAATTACATCATCACTTCTATGAGCTGTTTTTTTAGCTTTTTAGCTTCACTGGATGTGTGGCAAATAACATCAGAAGGGTAGTCTGCAACTTGCTTTGGTTTAATAACATCAGTTAAGTAACTAGACTGTGATAAACAGCTCGATAGTCTCCATGGCCATTATTTTTCTGTTGCGTTTCAATAAAAGGTAGCAGCTATTTCTTCCTCTACAACAGATAATTTTACGTAGATACACTACAGTTACTCTAGAAGAAAATGGTAAAGGCACTGGCATGATGGATGTTTTTTTTGTAGACATTGATGAATGCGCTCAAAGCCCAGATATCTGCGTGTTTGGTACCTGTTCCAATACCGAAGGCAGTTTCAAGTGCCTGTGTCCCAGTGGTTTCGTGTTGTCTTCTTCAGGAAGGAGATGCATTGGTGAGTAAATTCTATCTCTTCATAACTGCACACAAAAAGTTGTGCTAATTTTGCGTAGTTTTCAGGGGTTTTTTAAATTTTGAGACTTTTTCAGGTGTGTATGTGTGTGAGAGAGATAGTTCTGTGAAAAATACAAGAATCTTCTTCCCTAAAATTAATCTAATCCCAGAATTACCAAACCTGCCAGAGAAGCTTCCAATCCTACTGGGGGAGGAAACTCAACAGAGCTGCAGCCCAGTATTTGATCTCCTGTCACACCAACAGGCAATGGGCCTGTCTCACAATAATGATTTATGGGATGTCTATGAATGTCCAGTAACCTTTTACTGTAAATGTCTGTAAATGTTCTGTTAATCGTTCCGGCTTTGGCAGTATTGTAATTGGACAGTCATGCCAATAAAGCTCTTTGAATTAGAAAATTTGAATTGAAGGTGGCTGGAATAAAAAGCACAGAAGAACAAAGGAGAGGGTAGATGAGAATGGACACACAGGGGAGAAGATCTTACACCATCCCCCTTCTGTCAGTGATAGACTACTTTCTTTTTTAAACCTCTCCATTCAGTTATAGCTTTCAGCGTCTAACAGGTTCCCCTTCATATGGACTCTTTCTCACCTGTGTGCCCATTGTCACTTACTCTGTCCCTTCTTTTCCTTTACTGATACAATGGACAGAAATGCTTTTCATGACGCACAATTACACTTGTGCACGCACTAGGTGTAGAATTTGAGACTGCCAGCCACCGTTATGTGCAGACAGGTGTAGAAATTTGAGCGGGGACCTGTGCCAGCCTAGGTTGAGGGTGGTCTTCAAAGGAGCTAGTGGATTCCTAGTGAAAAGGAAAAAAAGGTTTTGTTTAATGTGGCTATTTCACCATCCCGCAGATGAACGGCGCCACTACTGCTTCAGCAAGTTTGAGGATGGGAGGTGCCAGGCCCCCAGGCCCCTCAACTCCACCAAGAGCGAGTGCTGCTGCAGCGCAATGCCAGGGCAGGGATGGGGAGACCCCTGTGACTTGTGCCCCGGAAGGAACGACAGTACGTGCAAAGCAATCAATATCCTGAAAGTGACACTGCAGTGTTAGATACCTGTGATTGTGGGACTGTAACACACAGTTTTCTGCTGTGGCATTGCTGGATTTGTAAAGCGAATAACTGTGCTCTTGTACTCATGAAACCGCACAGCTACTGCTATAGACTGTAGCTATTGCTGCTGTTACTACTACTGCTACGGCATAGATTGATCTACTGTATAACCATGCTTTCACAAATATATAAAGGCCGTCATGGCCTATTTTCAGCTATAAATCCATGTGTCTGTTAATTAAGGCTTATAAAATGTTTTGCTGATGCATAAGTAGTTTATCACCAACACCATGTCCCTGTTAGAAAGTAAAGAGCAAGATAGTTTGGGTTTAAACAAAGCAGAACAGGATATACAGGTGCTTTACATGGTCAACAAATGTCACTGATTATAATAATATATTTCAAATGTGAACTGTGTTCTATTCTAGCGCTCTTTGCGTTACTGTGTGCCGGTGTTGGCCTTCATGTGGACAAATACGACAATCGAGTAGGTAAGACTGGCACATTCAAAAGTCTGATTCAGACATTTAGCATTTTGAATACATTTGAATAGTTGTGAATTGGAATTCTGTCTTGTTCTTCTCAGTTTTCTAATGATAGTGCTAAAAAAAATTAATTTGAGTAATATTCTCAACATACCACAGCCCCCCTAGATGTAGCTACACAGAATTGTTTAATTTCTAACAGCCAGTAAAAAGATTTGTTGAACATTTGTGTTTGTTGGAAACAGATCTGGATGAATGCTCGGCAGATCCAAACACCTGTAAAAACGGACAGTGCATTAACACGGATGGCTCGTTTAGGTGCGAATGTCCCCTGGGTTTCCGGCTGGATTTCAGTGGTGTGAATTGTGAGGGTGAGTTCTGCTAAATTCACTCGCCTCATCGCCTCTTCCCTTAGCTGTTGAAGTAAGAAATCATTGTCTTTTAAAGGGACAGCTTTTTTTATTAACTCTTCTTCCCACTCTTTGTTCAGAGCTCTGTTGTTCAACTCGTTAATTTAAACCTCTTTATAGTTCAAAGGCCGCTGGATTGATTAAAGTCTTCGGCCGTTGTGCTTTTCAAATTTGCAAACGCTGCCACTTCGATAATTAATTTGCATAGTAAAAAAGGGCAGCACAACTTCTGCACTCTACATTTTCCATTTTAACTCCGCCTTGATTTGTCTCTGTGATCTCTCATGTCTGTCTTAATGAATGAGCAGTGTAGATGAGTTTCCTAATTGACTTGGTTTTCTTAGACACCAATGAGTGCGAATTAGGAAGCCCCTGTGGCAATGGCACATGCACAAACCTCATTGGCGCGTTCGAGTGTACATGTGACGAGGGATTTGAGCCGGGGCCCATGATGACTTGTGAAGGTACAGTCACAACGTTTCTTCTATTTTCAGTAAAATATTATCTGTATGCTTTTAGAAAAGTTAAAGAAAGAAGTATTTAATTGAAATGTTGTTTTTTTTATATTCTTGAAATTTGTGTCTATGTGGATGTTATGGATAATTTTCATTTGAATGATGACCAGTGAACTAGCGCCATTGAAACTGAGTTAGTTAAAAAAAACAACTCAGATGATTCTATGAATTTTAATTTATATGGTAGCATTCCATTGTGGCGAAATCGGTCAACAAACCTACTGATTTCTTTTCTGTTAGATGTGAACGAATGTGCTCAGAATCCTCTTCTGTGTGCTTTCCGCTGTGTCAATACGGTGGGATCATATGAGTGCAAGTGTCCCAAAGGGTATGTGCTCAGAGAAGATGGGAGAATGTGCAGAGGTAATTTGTTTTTTAATTTTGAGCTAAGATGTTGGTAGTTCTGCTATTCCATTCAAACCAAGTCTCTTCACGCAGGGTGTGAAAACCGGACATACAGTATCTGAAACATAGAATTGTGCTTAGTGGTGCAAAGTAGTGGTCAAAGCTCTGGACTCCCCTAGCAGTCATTCCAGTTGTTCCAGTTTTTACTGGGTTGAACTTGTATTTATTGGTATGATCTTGTTTAAACCACTTGCTAGTTAAATTCTTATAGTAGTCTAACAATTACCATTGTTATTACCAGTAAATGTCAGATGTCTCTTTAGCAGTGACACTGTAATAAACTGGACTCTACAGGGTATTAAAAAGGTGTGAAGCAGAAGTTACTGTTTTGGTAACAGAAGTTGACCGCTTCTATTAAGTGGGACACCTGTAGAAACCAGTTGAACGTTTTTGACTGGAACTCATAATCTTACTAAAAACACAACTTAGGCCTGTACAGAATAAAAAACTATAAGCAAAATCAACAAAATGTTTTCCATTTTTTTTCAATATACAACAAACACTTAAACAAATAAAATCCCTTTGATGAGAACTTCTCGTCCTTGGTGAAGGGAAGGTTCCCAGTAACAGGATATAATATTCACTGTGAATGCAAATTGATGGAGCGTGGGAATTAAATGTTAACATTGCAAAGCTCTACCAGGTTGAATTCTTCACGCTGTCTCGGCTATAAGATCGTATTTACATCACAGTATAAACAGAATATAAATTATCTTAATTTTTAAACAAATGTCGTAGTCCAGGACATTTTGTTTGGGAAATGGATTAAGTTTCACTTGGTCTGCTTTTCAGTCCAGTTTTAAATAATGCTTTTAAATCCATTACATTGTTAAAGTGTTAACAGGCTCGCCCTAAAAGCCAACATCCGAAATTCCTACATCTAGGCGTGTTTTAGGTTTGTGTACATCATAATATCTTCTTTGTATTAAAGACCAAGACGAATGTGAAGATGGTATTGATGACTGCGATACAAGAGGAATGACCTGTAAAAACCTGATAGGCACCTACATGTGTATCTGTGCACCTGGATATGTTCGCCAGCCTAATGGAGATGGATGCATGGGTAAGACAGATACCTTTTGTAGATGGAATGGTCCAGCTAGCCTTGATCCCTGGCTGTCTTTTTGCTTTTCAGCCAAAAACTGACCTTTCCAATGACCTGTCCAGAAACCCTGTAAATTTAGACTGAATAGAAAATCGACTTTTCCTTAAAAATCAAATTGTTATTCTCCCCAGTCTAGGGAAAGGTTTGTCACAAACAAAGCCTGTAATTTCACCTTGTTCTCACTGTGCTGGATTATAATTCTTTTGTTCATGAAAGGTCTTTGCAGCAATATCAACTGCTGCTGCTAAACTCCCTCTTCATAGAAGATAAAGCATGCATTGCATCTGAGTGGAAAAGTCTGGAAGATTTATGTCATACGTTTTCCTAATTTATGGCATTTTTTAACCGATTCAAAATGTCTTAAATTGTTTAAGGAAGCTGAAGTTATTTTTAGGTAGTGGTTGACAAAGAATTGTAAACCACACAGACTAGTACATCATGTAATACTGACAAAATGATTTTAACGATAGCAGGACCGTAGCTTATACAGTTCTTGTATTTTCATAATGTTGTACATCTGTTTTCTATTCTGAGGTATTTCTGACTGTTCTGTGTATCCTGTGTTTTTCGGTCAGATATGAATGAATGTTCTGCCAAGCCAGGCATCTGTGAGAACGGACGCTGTGTGAACACAGTTGGCAGCTACAGATGTGTTTGCAATGAAGGATTTTCTCCTAGCTCCACATTGACAGAATGCATAGGTAACCATCTTATTTTAGTAACCCATGGATTCTGAACAGGAGCACATTTGCACATGCCAAATCATTTTTAGCAGCGTGCTGGCTTAAACCAGGGCTGAAACACCGGTGTCTTCTGGTTTTGGTCCAATTGGGCCCTTAATCACTGGTGCTAATTGGTGCTTATACCTCATGTGTTTGCTTGGTTTCAAAAATAACTTAGCACCCTATTTCCAACAACTTCAGCACAAAGAAACACATTTCCCCTCAACTTGCTTGCACTATTTCTGAATAAAAGCTGACTGTAGTGTGATCACTTTAGGATGGCCTGACCCAGTTGGAAATGGCAGTCTTTATTTTTTTCCTGAAATGTGGCAAAGTCCACTTCTTAATGAAGCCTGTTCTGATGATTAGTACAGGTTTGATGCCTATGTAACCTTTTAAGATCTGAAAGCAGATTTAATAAATAAGTCTCAAACAAATCATTGAAGTCAATGAGCATGTGACTAAGTACTTGGCTGAAGCAAAATCCAGAAGAGACTGGAGTCCCCCAGGACAGGATACTTAGAGCTCTAATGCAAACCATTTGACTTGGTGTTTTTCCCTTCAGTTTTATCATTGCTTTGAACGGATTTAAACTCTTTTATTTCATCTAGTGAGGTGGAAACAAGCCTTTGTGGTCACTTCTATAGCTGTAATAACAGCAGTACTGGGGTTTTTCAAAGTTGTTAGATTTCTTTTCCCTGGTGTTCCAATTTTGATCCTCATTTGTAAGCACGGAGGAAGACAGAATGTTGACATTTTTGGCAGGCCCCCTAGTATTTCTTGCTTGTGACCGATTTTGCATGAAGCTGCGTGTAACAAATTCCTCTCCTTGCTCCAGACAACCGCCAGGGATTCTGTTTTACGGAGGTGCTCCAGAGCCTGTGCCAGATGACCTCCACCAGCAGGAACCCGGTGACAAAGTCTGAGTGTTGCTGTGATGGGGGCCGAGGCTGGGGGTCCAGCTGTGAGCTCTGTCCTCTGCCTGGCACTACCCAGTACAAGAAAATGTGTCCACTTGGTCCTGGCTACACCACGGATGGGAAAGGTAACATAATCAAGGAGGCATATCCCGATGGAATTGCTGCGGCATGTACTGTTTATTATTATTATGATGATAGTTCAGTTCAGGGCAATTTGTATTTGGTGCAGTGCCCTTTGCAATGGATTGATTGTCACAGAGTGCTTTCAGAACTGTTAATCAGGGCCTCGTGGAAGGGGAGTAGACAGAGGAAGCATTAAGCATGGAGAAGCAAATAATAAAAAAAAAACTCTCCAAAGACAAAAATAAATTTACCAGGACACTTTACCTCCCCTCCGAGACTGCAGACTGATTTATAGGGTTCAAGTGCTATTGTCCCAGCATGAGGTCCCTAGCTGTGTCTGATCAACCTGTGGTCTGCCATAATGGGTCTAACAGTGCCTTGGCTTTATCATCCTTGGTCCAGCATCACTTATTAACTGGATGGGATTGTTCATCTCCAGACAGAGGTTCAAGAGAGGGCCAAGGCATGTGTCAGTACAGATAGGCAAGGGATATGTTGTGAACATTAACAAGATGACAGTAGGCTTAAATCCTCACATAACTACCTAGAGTACCGACAATGTTAAGGACGCGGCTATTCAAGAATAGGAGGAACAAATATATCTTCAGCCTTGATTTAAATGAGGCTTCCTCTACATTCACTGCTAAATTGTTCCACAGTTAGGGGGCCTACAGTATAGCTTAATGCTCTGTCCCCTCTGATCTTTCCAGAAATAATGAAAATGAACATAAATCTTGGTTTTGTTCTAGTTGCAGAAAATGGTAATATGACAAAAATCTTTTTCGCTGTAGATATTGATGAATGCCGTGTCATCGGGGGGCTGTGTCGGAATGGGCAGTGTGTCAATAGCATTGGCTCCTACAGCTGCATCTGCAAACCCGGGTATACCACTGACATCAGTGGGACATCATGTGTGGGTAAGTGCGTAGTGAAGAAACTCAGCTGTGAAATATAGTCCCTTTTCCCCCTGTGATACGTTTAATAGAATGAAAACTTTTAATTTACAAATAAAAGAGTTAAAATGTATACAGAGCTTTTTTTCGGATTGCAGATGTCGACGAATGTGTCCAGTCACCGAAGCCTTGCAATTTCATCTGCAAAAACACTGAGGGAACATACCTGTGCTCCTGTCCCAGGGGCTATATTCTACAGGAAGATGGCAAGAGTTGCAGAGGTAAGCAGTGCAGCACTGACATGATTGTGACTTGAACACAGCTTTTGGTATTAGCTATGTGTAGCTCTCTCTAGCTGGAAGGAGGTTGAAATCTATCCTGCCATGAGATAGAACAACTTGCTGTCCCATTAAATATCATTTTCCTCTGTGGTGAGGAGTCTCTTTCTAGATGTTGGTTGTTTTTAATTTGGGACACTTGCCCCAACCCCACCTCCTGGCACTAAGGAGGAAAACAAATGTAAAGTGGAAACACTCAGTAAAATTGAAGGGGAGACCCAGATTCTGATTTATTTACTACACCCCCAAGCAGTTTTGTACGTGCAACAGAATGAAAAATCCACCATGAAATGACTGGGGTGGGTGTTTGTTTCCTCTGGGTGCTCCAGCTTCCTCCCACAGTCCAAAAACATTGTATTCTCCCTTCTGCCCATTGATTGTTGTGATAGGCTCCAGTCCCCTCTTGACCCTGGATTGCATTAATCGATTTGAAGATGCATGGACGGATGAAATGGCTTTACACAGTGGGAAGAAGGGAAAGAGATCCTCCAAACACACACTTTGCCCTCCTTATCCCAAAATTATTGTGCAAAATGACGCCTCTGATTGTACTGCATTTTCAGCTGACCTAATTTCAAGGTTAGCTTAGCTGGGAGGATGCTGGGCAGATTGCCCAATGTTCTGCTCTGCTCTCCAGTTGCTCTGCTTCAAATTCTCCTCATACCTCTCTTGGCCTGAGTGTATGTTTGGTACACACAATTTGGGACTTCCTGCGTCCGATGAAAAACAGTTATTATTCCAGTGCTGCAATTAAATACCATAGTAAAGAAAAATGTGTTACTCTCGAGACTGGAGTCTGGTCTATTTATTTCTTTCCAGATATGGAAAAAAACAAAATGACTGCTTTCTTGTTGCCTGTAAGGCTTAATAAATCTTTGCAGTATGATTCATTTGTTAGCACACCTTTTTTTTAAACTGGCGGAGGCCTCTACGCTTGCTGAAACAGTTTTCTTTCCTACCTCTCTCAGAGATAGCAAGTGAATCGTCTCTACTGTCTCCAGAGCAGATTCAGGTTGCTTTGTACGTCATTTGGTTAGCCATCAGCACGCTTGAGTAATAAGGTTGGACATTATTTTGATCTCGTCATCAGTTATTCTTGCAAGTTGCTATTATTTGTTGCACTGGATTTGCTGAACTGGCTTTACAATTGTTTGAGTTAAGTTGCTGTGTGAAGTGTTGATCAGAAGGGCTTGTATTACATTTGTTTTAGGTGTCTGTGGACATGCCTTAAGGTATAACATGTACAGTAAATCTAACTTTTTTTATTTGCTTTCTCACAGACCTTGATGAATGCTCAACCAAGCAGCACAACTGCCAGTTTCTATGTGTCAACACGATTGGGGGGTTCACCTGCAAATGTCCCCCTGGCTTCACACAACACCACACTGCCTGCATTGGTAAGGATGGCAGGACCCAAAATGTCGCTAGAGGTTCGGCATCCACGTGTGAACTTAACCTTTTTGTTTTCTGCCTGTCTACCAAAATTAAGACGGAACGAACGTCTGTTGATTTTTTTTTTATTCAGGACAATTATCTCAGTTTGATCTCTATAAATCAAAATTGAACTCAACTCCTCTGTAGTTATGGCAACTTAACTACTGCTTGTTATGGAGAAGAGAGCTGTCTGTTGCTATGGATATGCAGACTACTGCCAAGCAGCTCTACAGATTGCATGACCTAAGTCTTCAACACTTGAAATTGGGTAAACATCAATGAAGTGACTGAGAGGCTTTTAGAGAGTGCAATTAAACAACTAGTATTTTTTCAGTGGTTTCAAAGCTTTGCTCAGTATCAAGAGATATACACCTACAGTATGTTAATAATTACTTTTGGTAATTTATATGTACTGTATTGAGTAAAGCACTGTTTCTGTTTCCTAATAAGGTTGAAAAGGATGTCAATATTAAAGAGAATCCTGAACAAAAGACCAAAGGACAAATTTTTTGCTTAAAATCTAATCAAACATGGGTTTTATTAACAATCTTTTTTTTCCTCAAGATAACAATGAGTGTGCCACAGACCCAGGGCTGTGTGGAGCAAAGGGGGTGTGTCAGAACACTCCAGGTAGCTTCAGCTGCGAGTGTCAGCGTGGATATTTACTGGATCAGAATGGACAGAACTGCGAAGGTAAGTCTGCTGGGAGCTGACTTGTGGTCTTCGAAGCTGTACTTTTTTCCTTTACTCATAAGCAAAAAGAAAGCAAGAAAAATGCATCAAATCCCCCAAAATGCTGAATATACCAGTAAGTAAACAACAACAGATAAATGACAAAACTGGACGATTCTTGCACACCACAGCACATGGACAGCTCCACTGAAACGCAATTTAAATGCAAATGGGAAGGGAAATCCAGAGTGAGATGTAAAATTGATCCATGCCACCATTTTCAAAAATAAATGGGGGTCACAGACCACAATAGAACAGAAGTTCAGGTTCTGTAAAGGCATTTTAACAAGAAGCACTTTCTACCACATTGACTCTTTCTTTAACGAGCAGCCCAGCCATATTGTTGAGGTGTTCTCTCTAGGGTTCGTCCTTCGGATGAGATGTAAAACCGAGGTCCTGACTCTCTGTGGTCATTAAAAATCCCAGGGCGTTTCTCTAAAAGAGTAGGGGTGTAACCCCGGCGTCCTGGCCAAATTTCCCATTGGCCCTTACCAATCATGGCCTCCTAATAATCCCCTTCTATGAATTGGCTTCATTACTCTGCTCTCCTCCCCACTGATAGCTGGTGTGTGGTGAGCGTTCTGGCGCACTATGGCTGCCGTCGCATCACCCAGGTGGGGCTGCACATTGGTGGTGGTGGAGGGGAGTCTCCATTACCTGTAAAGCACTTTGAGAAAAGCGCTATATAAGTGTAAGCAATTATTATTATTATTATTATTATTATTATTATATAGGGTTCCTGTGAAATAGCTGGGTGAGGGTTTGATTAGCTGGTAGCAACCAAGTGAGCAAGATACAGTAGGTCAAATGGCCTCCTCTTGTTTGTGACAATCTTCCTCATCAGCTGACCTCAGTAATTAGATTTTAATAAGGTGTTGCAATTACCGTACAAAAATATTAAATTCAGATTTAATCAGGAAACAGCATGTCACAGCAGTTTAACTCGGACATGTGGCTACTCTTCCAAAAAGTTCAACTTTCTAATTCATTAGAAAAATATTTTACACTTCCTTGATTTTCACTCATTTGACGGAAAAAAAAAGGGGTCAGAAAAAAATGGTAAAATCAAAGGAATATGGAACAAAAATGCTATGTTAGGAGGCAAAAATAAAATATTTTGTTAAAAGATAAAAAACGTCTTAAGTATGTAGGGTTCATTAAATACGGTTAACCCTACATTTCTTTTCAGGACCACCTATATATAATACAGAACTAGACATAGAAACCAATACTAAAAAGTACATTTAGTACTCAGCATATCATTGGCCAAAGATGTACTGTAAGGCATTTGACATTTTTAACAACTCAGTACAAGTTACCTGTATTGACAAACCTGGATTTCTTTTCATAAGGATGTAAATAAAACATTGCTTTGACTGTCAAGTAGTTCTGAAATTGTTAGAAACATTTAATAATTTGGAATTGCATGTATGTTTTGGCAGATTCTGTCATGTAATGTGCATTGTGAAAGATTTTAAAATAGCTTTGCACATGCACAGTGGTAACGTATGCACAGTGGTAACGTGTGAACAATGAAAAATGCAGAAAGATTTCCAAATCTGTCACTGAAGCTGTCGGAATGAAACCAAAACTGATGTCAGGACTTTCCCACTGTCTTCCTTTATCTCTTACTAAAAATAAAAAGCTTAGTTGAAAACCTCCTTAACAAATCATGTCCAAAGTCATGTCCATGGAAAGCTTTTTTTGTTATTCTGAGTCTGGAGGATGAAGATGAGTGGACAGGGCGTTGGCTTTTAGAGTTTTGATCATGCTGACCATTTGTTTGTGTCACGTTCCAGATGTGGATGAGTGTGATGGGAACCACAGATGTCAGTATGGTTGCCAGAACCTAATTGGAGGATACAGGTGCAGTTGTCCCCAAGGCTACCTTCAGCATTACCAGTGGAACCAGTGTGTAGGTAAGCAACTCTGGCTGTGTTCACGTCTCACTGAATGGACAATAAAAAATAAAATTCAGGGATTTTTTCCTCCCTGGATTCAATATTAAAAAAGCGAAAGACTACAAAGCACTAGGTCCATGGTTCCCAAACACTTCAGACTAATTCCACCAGAAAATGTTCTTTATTGACTGGAACCATTGAATATTCATTGTGTGAGGGAAAACATTTTTTGACTCCTCATTTGTTTGTTTTTTTAACTCAGCTTGCAATATTGTTAAATCAAAGTCACGCTTTCTTCATGATGTGCGTGATTAGATTACCTTCTTCTGGAAATCTTTGCTCTTTTATGGTTAAGGCACACAATAATAGGGACAAAAATAATGTAGGCTGATAGTTTTATTTTAAAAAGTATTAATAAAAGACAACCCTCATTTAGGTTTTAGGAATGAATAAACAGAGCATCAGACATAGATTAAGCCAGACTAAATTTGTCTTTCCTTGGCATGCCAGGTTTTCTTTAATCAGTAAAACGAGAAATTAGTTCTTTATTAACGAGCACATTCCAGACCATAATTTGTAATTACATTAAAAGACCAATTAGGGATCATCAATTTTAAGGGTGTTATTTTACACATTGTGGAGTTATAAAACACAAGTTATTAGAACTCTGGCAAAGGTTTTGTTATTATTATGTGACCAGTTAAAATAACAATGAAGTGACTGATTTTGGACAAGAAAATAATGGAATTTGTACTGAAAAGAGAATGTAGCCTAAACTTTTGTTCTTATGCTGTGGGGAAAAATCTGTTTTTCATTAGCTATTTTTGAAACATTTGACATTTGAAACAATTCCAAGCTGACTGTCAAGACATAATCATTCCTTTACATAATACATTTGTGAATTGGTCGGTTTTGTCAGATGAGCGCTCACATGTTTTCCTCTATGCGTCAAGATGAGTACCAATTGGAAAAATGGAAAGCATGCACGAAAAGCACTGTACTCCCATCCCTCCTTATTTGAATTAGATATGTTCCTGAACTGTCTGCAGATACCAAAAAAATAAGGTATACTGGGAAAAACCTCTCCTACATAATATATTGTATACAGTGTATATCGGGGCTAAACTATGGAAATCAACATAAATATGACAAATAAAAAAAGAACATGATGGGAACTAAAGTAGTACAGCATAATTTTCTATGATAAAAAATGAAAACGAACAAAACACGTACATTTTCGGTTATTGGCTGCAGTAATCTTCAGGAAAATGTGATGAAGCTAGAGATGTGCTCTCTTCTGCGTTACTGATTGCATAACTATTGCGTTGAGCCTCAGAGTTTGTCTGATAAGCTTTAAGCACCAGAGAATGTTCTAGAATCTTCAAGCCACCAAGAATCTTCTAGAAGCTTCAAGGTGGCCTGGCTTGTCCTGACAGCATGAGTGTGAGAAACTTGGAATGGAGAAACTTATAGATGAGGTGTTTTACATGTTTAAAACATGGTGTTTGAAGACCAAGATGATGGATTAATTATCCTTGACAAGTGCTGATTTTTTTCTCAAATGGTCCCCTCAGTGGGCGCCCCTGTAAGACTTCAATCTCTGCCCCTTGTCTGTGCACAGATGAGAACGAGTGCCTCAACAGCCAGGTCTGTGGAGGGGCCTCCTGCCACAACACCCTGGGCAGTTTCCGGTGCATCTGCCCCACGGGATTCCAGTACGAGCAGTTCAGCGGCGGGTGTCAGGATATCAACGAATGTGTCTCCCCTCAGAACCCCTGCAACTACGGCTGCTCCAACACTGATGGGGGCTACACCTGCGGCTGTCCCACTGGCTACTACAGAGCAGGACAGGGGTGGGCTCTTCTTCCTTCTCCTCATTGAGTTGATTGTATTCATCAGGGCAGGCTGAGGCCACTCGAGTGTCGTTCCCTTCCACTCCACTGAGCAATTTTGGTACCTTCAAATTCTTCAATTTGTAGAGGATACATACAGTATCCTGTACTGGTGTAGTGGTTATGTTAAAACATGTGCCACGGTGTATTGGAAGTCCTGCACACTTTATCAACCACAGGTGAAGAAGGGTAAAGAGACCTCTAGTGCAGGAATACACGACTGATTTATTGGACCAATTTAGCAACAGTTGGGGTTTAGACACCAGAGCAAATCTGCTCCTCTGCTGAGTCAGACATCCGACATAAGCTTTCTTAAATGATGAAAGTCCATTCGAAACTATATTTTCTGACATTGGTTTACAAGCTTGAAAAATGTTAGTCATTTTTTCTAAATGGCTAAATGTTGCTAGGTTTTGTCAGTGCAGTGCTGTGGCCATTATGTGAGCGCTGTGTTTATGTGATGTGTTGCTTCCTGGCGTCAGGCACTGTGTATCAGGAGTGGGATTTGGACAGGGGCTGCCGATAGGGGGAGACACTGATGACAACTCCCTCTCGCCTGAGGCTTGCTACGAGTGCAAGATCAACGGATACCCCAAGAAGGGCAGGAGACGTAGAAGCACCAATGGAATAGGAGATGAAGAGGTAACATCTTTCAGCCCTGAGAGACGCACAAAGTGACAGCACACATTAACAACTATTTAACGTGTTAATCAGCTTAATAAACATGTCCCTCTTCTAGATTGATCAGTGATCACACACAACTTTCTGGTAACACTCTGGCTGTGTTGAATGGGAAAACAAGGAGCTCATCTGACCTTCAGTGCTAGTTCTGACTGAGCTGTGCTTGAATTGCAGAATGATACGATCTTCATAAAATCTTATTTCTAATTATAATGATATACATATAGAGATGGGCAGTGAATTTCCTTACTTGGTGCTTGAGTGCATTTTCCTGCAGGGTGAGCACATTGCTGTAGAGTGAAAAAGTGTAAATGTGTTTATTACTGTTTTAATAACAAGTTAACAAGATTAACTGTGGATTTTACAGAATGAACAAGAAGCAATGAGCCTTGACAGTGTGGATACTGAAGACACCCTTGCTTTCAGCTTCAACATCACAGATCTGAGCAACAAAGATCATATCCTGGAGTTTGTTCCTGCGCTCAACACCCTTACCAACCACATCCGCTATGTCATTGACTTTGGAAACGATGAGGGCTTCTTCAAAATCAACCAGAAGAATGGAATAAGCTACCTTCGTTTAACCAAGAAGCAACTGCTTCCTGGAGCCTACTTTGTACAAATCAGCAGTGTCCCACTGTACAAAAAGAAAGAACTGGCTCACCTGGAAGACAAGTATGACAAAGACTACCTCACAGGGGAGCTGGGAGACACATTAAAAATGAAGGTGCAAATTATTCTCCATTAACTGCACAAGAAGACTAAGTGAAACCGCAGACGCCAAAGAAAAGGAATGGACTGCTTTGTCGATTCCCAAGCAGATTCTACATATCACTGATACAATCTCTTATTCTTATTTTAAAAAGTATGAAAAAAGCACTGCTCAATGTTAAGAAAAGGCATGGGAGGCCAATTCTTCCCCCCAAATCAACCACTTCCTCAGGCTTTTGTATAAATAAAGCTCATCTTCTCAATAAGGGTTTTGTATGCTGATATGTTGAATCTTACAAACAATAACTGGGGACACAAGAGGCAAGGAGGCACTAATGCTGAGACTTCATCATTCAGCAGAAGTTGAAGATTATGTTCGGGCTTGAAGGACTTTTTTCTTTAACCATGCTTCTCCAATTGTTTTTGTTTTTTCAACTGAATAGATCAGCAGTTTATTATATTAACTGGTGCTAGTTACAAGACATCATAGATTTATGAATGCACTGTAATATTTTACAAACTCGGTAACCAAAATGCAATTTCTAATCAGTCTAAAGATTTCAAGTTACTTTGCAACCAACCAAAGTTAAGCTCAATAGCTTTTTTTCAGTTATACCTATACAACATGTAAATTAAGTGTGTGTATACTGTAATCATGCTACTTTTTTAATCATGGAAGCATTTGTTAACTAGATTTTTAAGCCCTGTATGGAAGGGTTTTGTAATGGTGCTTATAAAGACCAACTACTTCTTTTTAATTGTACACACCGTTCTGATGATGCATAATCTGTGACTTCATAACAGTGCACTGAGGCCAGTAAGGCCACTCATGTTCTCCAAAATCATACGACAACCAGTGCTCTCATCCCAGATAACGTTAATGGCATCATCTTCAGTACCAGTGTCTGTTCACACCAATGAGGGTTTAGTTTAAGTAAATTCACAATAAAAAAAACATATTTTTGGTTTAAATTGGGTTGCATATCTATTTTCTCCCCCATTTCCTGAACCATAGCTGCAGACTTTTTTGGAGAACATCAGAAAGGCCTCAAATGAGAGGAAGCCATTCGGCCCCTTGATCTCATGTGATTGTTTTGCTATAGTCGCTTAGTCTCAGTACTTGCTGTACCTGGAGCACACCTCCAAAGGGCACTAATATGACACATGATCCCATTTTTACAGAATCAGAAAGGCCACAAATTCAATGTCATTTTCAGTCTAAAGCTAAAGAGACGTCTGATTGACACTGAAAACGTGTGACTAAACCCCACCCCAACCTTTACTAAATTAAGAATCATCACACGGCTGTGGTTTATAGTGGGTACCCCAGGGCAATAACTCCAACTTAATCTGTGTCTGTTTTCACAAGTGGCCACCATTCAGACTTTCCCATCCATATCTCTCTTGGACGTTGTCTGCTTCTCTAACTCTGATTGAGAACCCTGAAGCAGTCAGTGAACTGTGGCTTCACAAATCATTCTGTAGAGCTGTTTTAAATTCTGTTTAGAATAGTGTTTAGATAGTTTATCAGTGTGCTGATATACTGATGATAGCTTCAGCACTTCTGACATGTCAAATTCTGAGTGCACTGAGAAATGGCAGGATGTTGCTCACTTAAGCAGTGGCTGACTTCTGGAGTAAGACAGCCAGGTGGAGGCCCTCACAGTGTCCATTTTAACAATGCTTTGGGAGGTGATGCACGATGTCGAGAGCTTATTTATTTACTTATTTTCATGAAGTTATTGACTCTGCTCTGATTCCTTCAACCATGTCAGAAGAGGTGACCTCCCAAAGATGAGTCTGCACATATATTTCTTATCAGCTCTTTGTAAATGTGCTCCTTAGGCTTTTGTACACCCTAGGAGAAAACAGTTGTTGAAGAATCTACTGATCACCACAAGACTGTGTGAGAGCTTCCATTTTTCTCTCCAGTGAAACCAGTGGATCAGGAGAGGCGAAACAAGGTAAGAAATTAATCTTATTTGAAAACAAATGTTTTTTTGTTGTACCTCACATTGCATTTACATTTTTTTTCAATGGAAAATCCTGGATCTTAAATTATCTACTGGGTGGTATAGCTGAGCCATAAATGGGAGATATAGCTTGTCACAGAGTAGCTGAGTAATTCCTATTAAAGATCCACGAATCTCTGAGTGATTTTCATTATAGTGTATGTAACCATCAAGGCTGACCTACATAGAAGTGCTGATTATTAGCAGTCCAAGACAAAGACAGGAGAGTTATTGTTATAGCTGCACATGGCTTCGATTTTAAAATCTTTTGTCTGAATAAGGTTTGGCATTGACATAAATATCTGTTCTTTTTTGGAATGCCTTGTAATAGATCTTCACAAAGTGGCCTTAAAGCTTTAAGTTCAGTTTAAATGATGTCACAGAAAATTAACTTTGAATGCCTTGAGATTTGAACATACTGTGGGATTTTAATTTTAAGACTGAATTTAATTTGTTGTGATCTTTTGAAAGGCAAGGGATGAAGGGCAAAGATCAGGGCAAAGTTGGTCAATACCACCTAACTTCACATTATCCTACTGTATATTGTTCCAATACTGGAGATCCAATACAGACCAAAATAGATTTAATCTACGGTACGGGGCAGATTTAATTTATCCTTGTTCATTAAATAAATTAGGCAAACCTAAAACTGATTTTGAGTACCCAGACATTTAAATGCAATTAAGCAAACATTTGTAATTCTCAGAAAACAAATTATCCGCAGTTTGCTACTTTACAGATGAATTGTGTTAAATATCCTCCCAGATTTGGCTACATTAATCATTAAAAATGGGTATAACTGCACATATATGCTTGAAAAAACTCAATTGAGCTTTACATCTCATGTTGGAATTTTCTTGTGACATATATGAAGTGCAGACTCCTCTAAAATTAAATTTGCAATACTTGCTTCCATGTGCATGTCCTTATACCTCAACCATAACTAGGAACAACACAGTGTTTGTTGTTCTGAATTCTGCTGTAGTAATATGAAATGTAGAAAAGCTTCATGGCAGCAGCTGCACTGACATTGTTCTGAAAATGAAAATACAGGAGTCATATTTCTTGTGAGCTGAGATGTCTTTGACTAAAATCAGATTTCATGTGGAGGTCATCTTGTCGTCTTCAGCGTCTGCTTCTCTGATCGTGTTATGTGATCAACATTACTTGCTGTGGCTGTCTCTTGTAATATAATGCACACCTGACATTCAATCGATACTAGGCATTTATTTCTTCATATGCTTTGAGAGTCATAACCATTACAGCTGCCCTCTTTGTCATGGTCATAAAATATAATCCACTTTAGAATTCTTTCTGCAACAGCAGTTTCAGTACAGGTTACATACACATGAGATTTATTACGGCCTGGTAGTTTTATTCATATTCAAAGACTATTAAGAACTGGATGACTTTTTAAAATTAAAACCCACATTGGCAGCAAACAGCGGCTGAATATTCTTCTAATATACTAAGCATCGAAAGACCCCCCTATCACTTAAAAATGCAACAAACTCACAAAGTTGTTTTCTGGAAAGTAAGATTTTTTTTTAGTATTGGGCATACTATTTTATCTACGTGACATAGGTAAGATTGGACACTTAGGGCATTCTCTTGATCCGACCACTACACTGGACCTCCCCATAGATTGTTTTATTACACACAATTAATGTACATCTCTGCACCACATTCACAGGTCTCCATCAGGCTGATCGACACAAAACCTTGCCTCATCAGTAGAGGACTTACTGTAGCTGTACAGTTGGCAGTTTTTTCTCCAGCACACCATTAACACAGAAAAGCGAGGCAGATTGGTTCCCGAGTATTTCTTTCTTGCTTTCCACAAGGCTCGACACTCAACAGGTTGAATGACCCCATCACCTGTTCCCTATCGAGTTTCTCACTAATGAGGTCATTTTGTGGTTGTGCAACTAAGTCACTTGCATATATTGTGGTCAGTCACGAATGATGTCAAAAACATTTATTCTGTACCAAACTCTCTCTATTATTTCTAGAACACTGTGTAGTTTTGTTTTATTAATTTTGAAGTGCAAGAAATGTTACACAATTCTTAAGTTTATAAACAACTGGCATATAGAATCTTAAAAGGCTTACATTGTTTACATGCAGGTTTTCAGAAAATGCATGTAATTTTGTCTTTTAATACAGTTAAATGTAATATTTTTGTTTTCAGAAACAACCCATACTCAATCAAAAGCAAGCTCTGAAACCAAGTATTAAAGCACCACAGTGGAGTAAAACTTTTTACACTGTGATGAGAGAAATTCAGAATTGTAGTTATCCAAACACTCTGAAGTACCTGAGAAAATACATCTGTGTCCTTATGGTGTTGACACACCAGATACCTTACGCAGGTGACCCAGCTGAAGCTCAACTGCTGGTTTTCCCAGCACTCTCAGCTCCAGAATGATGTTGTTTGTTGTCTCCAAAACCAACATATTCTACATCAGATTTTTCTTATGCTGGACTTTTGATTTGCAGTTACATAGTGGGACTGTGGTTAGCATTGCTGCCTTGCAGCACTGGGGTCCTGGGTTCAATTCCGGAACTGCTATCTGCATGGAGTTTCCATGTTCTCCTTGTGTTCATGTGGGTTTCCTCCCACAGTCCCAAGACAAGGTGGCTTCTGAGAAAAGGGGCCCTACGATGAACTGGTATCCCATCCAGGGTGTACCCTGCCTTGCCCCTGTGGCTGGGCAGGATAGGCTCCAGCTCCCCTGTAACCCTGAATTGAAGAAGTGGTTACTAATTGGATGGATGCACTTGAATGTTAATTGATGTTAATTCAAGAATGTTAATGGAAAGAGACTCAAAAAAGTAGGGGATCACAACAGGACCAATTACTTTCACTAAACTGCATGTGCAAGGAAGCTCAGCCCTTACTATTACTGTAGCAAGGAGCTTTTCCAGATCTCAATTAAACTGGAATAAATACAGATTCATTTCATTATCGATTGTGGGAAAGAGCTGGACATACACACGAGCTCCTCACAAAAGTTAAATACTTCCAAGTTTGCCCCACTTCATCAACTCAGATAGGGGTTTCTTTTCAAATTGTGTAGATTTGTATCAAATTATCGACACTCCATTTTAATTGTGCTGTACCCTGCTGGGCCAAGACCATTATTCGGAAGAAGAATAAATATCACCCCACAGAACACAATGTTCTGCCAGCTTATCATCAGTACTGTGGGCTAATGAGTACTCCTTTAACAGCCACAGCTTTCTTTGAAAATACACCCTGTGATGTTGAGGAGCAAAGCCTGTAGCAGCCTTGAGCCTTGTGCCATTTTTCTGATGTCCGTGAGGATTATCTTCATTTACACTGTACTGAAAATAAACTAATGGCTAGTGTGCACAGAAATAAAACGCTTCATCATTTGGTCATGAAGGGGACATCTAAAATACAATACCAAACAAAGGAAACTATTAAATACAAAACCTCTTTAATTGGAAAATTCACATCCATTTAAAACTGAACTAGTGCTTTGCAAGAACAAAACAAAAACTTCATGAAATATGAAGCAAGAACACAACACTGTCACTCTTCAAAACATCTTTTCAGACACCGATATACAGTAAGTATAGGCTTGTCCATCTTTGAGGGTTTCAATCCGGCAGCTTTCACAAGCACTTTTCAATTAGCAACCCAAGAACCAGTGATAGGACTTCTAAACTGAAAATCAGAGGAGTCTGCTACCCACAAGGCTTTGAACTTGCCTACTCCAAGAAAAAAAAAACACTCAGTTTTAATTGCGTCCAGTTGACCCAAAACCACCTGCTCCACGTTCCGTCTCATCCAGAGTCTGAAATGGAAATGTTACATTTATTAACCCAAGAATACAAGACCCAATACTATATTATAACTATCAAAATGACTAGTTACCTCATGCTGTTCAATCTCTGGGTAGCAGATCCTCTCACAGATCAGCTGTGCAACACGATCACCTTTTTTTACTAAAGAAAAGGGTGGTAAATATCCTGCATTATTATCACAGCTTTTTGATGGTCAGCTTTTATGCAAAGTATACAAGATGCACCCTGTTCAGATCCGACAGCAAGTTGCTGAATGTGCCTCTCTACTACACAAGACCAGTAGAGACAAATTGACTCCCTATTAGATAATACTGTATTTAGGATGAAGGATAAATTAAGATATTTTAAAAGCTAACAATTTTATTACAACATATTAATCGAAAACACAACAGATCTTACCTTCAAAGGTTTCTTTGCTGAAGTTGAAAAGCACAACCCCAACGTTTCCTCTATAATCTTCGTCCACAACGCCCGCTGTTGGGAGAATTGTGAACAGCTTGTCAAGCACTGCGGGGCCAGTGACAGTGAAGGAACAACACCAGCAGGTGGCGCTAACTGAAATCCACTTCAACAAGCATGAAAGACCTTCACCATGCAGATTGTACAATTTCTAAAACACCTATGCAGTATAAGGTTAAAGATTTAAGGAAAGCGAAGTTACGCGTCGTATGTTTTCCTCACTTCACAAAACATGCAAATAAATATTGCCAATCCGCATAAGAAATACCTTGATCGTGCAGCCATACGTGCTTTTTATATTTAAAAAAACAATTACCTCCAACATCTATGAAGTGCTTTGCAGCCAACCCGGACCTTGGCGCTAAAAGAGAAAAAACGGGTCAAAGCTAGGAAAAGAATATCAGAACTAAGATGCGGGAAAGGGTTCTCGTTCATAAGTAAAAAATAGCACGTCACCTTAAAGTGGAGCTAAGCGCAACAGAAGGGCAGGGATATTGATTTTCTGTTACAAGACGAGGCTGCGAGCGGGCCCGCTGTAGCTGCCCTGTCAGTGCCTGGGCTGGGGGGAACTCAACTCACCCACTCTGCCGTAGCAGCCCGGAGGAACAGCGATCTGAATGTCCGTCTTCACCACCGTCTTCTCCAGCGGGGGAATGGAGTAATCGTACGCGCTGGAAACGGAAGAATGAGATGTGACACCACCCCGGGAATATTCTTTGAGGTGCTCAAAGATTATTTTTATTTTTTTTGCACAGTATGGTGAAGATCTTTTTATCCCCTGGTCCTTTTCTAGTCAATGCAAGAACGATAAGTAGTAATAGAATGAAAGCACTTTTCGGGGCACGGTCTCAGGCGAGCTTGATAGAAAAACGGAACCCCCTGCATTCCCAAAAACAAGAGGATATCAAGGAAGAGGCAGATCAATACGCGTCTATAAAAAAAAGATACACACCTATAAAGATCATATCCCGCAGCCTTCGAAGAGCCTTTTGTGGGGGTGGTAGCGTTTTCTGAAAGCTTGGCAAATTTCAGCACCACTTTAATTTCATGGGTCGTGTCCGTCCTCTGTCGCTTGGCCGGAGAGCTGGCCGTAACAGCTTCAGTAACTTCCGAGCAAGGCATTTTTGTTTTCAAAGGAAAAAACGACAAAAAAAAATCAAATGGAGGATATAGTATATAAAAACAGCTGCAAATAAGTGCCCCTGATGACAGAACACTAATGTAATGCAGTGTCCTTAAAGTTTTAGTCACTTACAAAATGTAAACTCAGCTCCACAATTACTGCAACAGAAAAACTGCACCGCTGCACTCCCGCCAAAGGTTTTAAACAACGGACTCCCGCCAATAGGCGAGTTGCAGCTGACGTCACGCCCAGCCGCTTCCGGGGGTACGTGGACAACTAGGCGAGAACGTCAAGTTTTTGGGGGGGGTAACAAAGTAAGTGAAACGGCGAAAGAGAATTAAATAATATTATTTTGTGAGCTCGATTAAAATGCACAAAAGTTAAAGACCTGTGTAACAGACTGGTGCACTAGCCCAGGCTTACAGCGCTTTGTTCTTATTCTCTCTGCGCACAAGAAGTTAAACACAAGATACCTGCAGTTCCCTCCAGCCTTGAGATGGGCATTCGTCCGTTGTGAGGCTTTATCTGTCCTTTGTACAAAAACGATGCCGTCCTGGAAGCTTCAAGACACGAAAAGCTATTTATACAAGTACGGAAAAAGCTTGTCGAAGAAAGACGAGCCATTTTGCTCGCACTGATGGTGAGCTAGTTGAATGCTGGGTATTTGAAATGGCTGATTCAAGCGAGGCAGAGTTGCTGCGTTTCCAGTATATACTGAGTTTTTCTTTTGAAAAATGTGTAAATTCTTTACGAATGTTTTGTGCTTTTATTATGTGTCCCCTTATTGTTTTTAAAATATTGAACAGACAGCTATCTTGGCTGCACACATAAGTCCTCTGTTGTTCCAGATTTAGCCGACTAGCGGTTAAACAAGAAATGCAGTTTTCACATTTTCAGCCTCGATTTGAATACACCAACAAATAACACTTGAATAGCTCATTAGTTTATTTACAAGTGTTTATGACTAGTAAATAACGGTTACTTGATTAACATTTAGTAACATCTCGAAATTACAATGATTCCGTGTGCGGAGGTGGGCTGACTTCACCCAAATGCTGTAGCAGGTAACAGATTTATTTATTATTCCCTTCTAAGAGATTCTGTAACAGTGTATAGGTCCCATAAACAGATATCAACTGTAAGTAAAATGCTACCTGTTATAAATTATTTCCTGATATCACGGTGTGCATTATTTTACCCCTTCGGCCGATTAACATGGTCAGATCAGGAAAGTCCTGTTCCGAGAGGTTACTTGCATAATATAGACACAAAATACTGTACCAATGTGACTCAGGAACAAGAATGTGTATGGGCGAAGACCGTCTTCCACGGGTATCCCAGTTCATTGGATACAGCAGAAGTACCCCTCACATCCAGCGCCGGCAGCTTGTGCAGGGAGCGCAAAGCGCCAGGATACCGGTGCAATGTCCACCGAGACATGACGTATAATTGGAACATCCGATCAATTAAAAATCTTTAAATAGCCGTGCATTCAGATAATGAAAGGTCAATCTTCAAATGTTATCTGTATTTTTATATTGTAATATATTTTATAGTGATGGGTATTAATGGGACTTGCTTCAGAATGTTTTTTCCAACAAGGTACGTAGGAAAACCAATAATACTCAGATTCCAGAAGAACTCAGTAAAAATGGATAATAATCGGAAACAGTATGTGAAGTTAAATGGTTTGGTATTTTATTTATTTTAACAGCAAATAAAACAGTACAGCGCTGCAGAAGAATCTTTGAAACTTTATTCCCCGGGAAAAACTAATATAGAACGAGAGCCATATGTTTAGGATTTATTAAACATGCCATTCATTTCAGCGAAGCATTTGTTTTGGATGGGATGCAGTACAGAGTGAAAATAACAAGCCAATAAGAACGATCAAATAGAAATAAAAGTAAAAAATATTAATCGCAGAAAGGATCTATAAGCACCTTGTCTTAGTGTCTGTGTTTAATGTTTTTTTATTGTTGTAGGTAAGAGGTTCATGGTTACCGTTTTAAATAAACGGTACAGTTTCTCTATACCATCATGGCATTAGCAACAGAAGCAGTGTAGTCAGGTAATAATAATTATTAACTTTTAGAAAGTTTTCAAACTATTTTTATCAACATATTTAATCTTGGTATTAAAGTAGGAATGATCACAGTTTTATTCAAGTCTAATTTAAAATATAAAATTGATCAACTATACGGAGATGTAGTCCATAACCCAATACGACTTTAGCTAGATTTCAGATTATTTTACACACAAGTTCGCACGCAAAAGGATTCCCTAAAACTGGAAAGAAAATTGATTAGATGCGCATGATTTCTCAGTTTGCCTAAGCTAGGCTGCATTTGTACGTTTACACATTTAAAAGAACTGTTAAATTCTCATTGAAATTCAACGTCCACTAGAGGGCAGTAGTAACCATGTATTCCATCTGCTGCCAGGATTGTGCCAGCTGTAGACCGTGCTGTGACAGGGGTGTATTTATTGTCCCACAGTGGGGTTGAAGAGGCCGTGTCACTGTTAGGAGTAGAAGGTCAGCACGTTCTTGTGGTTTCCTCTGATCAGCACGACAGGAGGAAGGTTCTTCGTGAGAATGTCCAGCCAGGCCATGTACAGGTGATTGGACACAGCCCCTTTCCTGGCAATGGGCAAGCTCCTGCACAGCACAAGAACGTCGAGAGAATCTCTTTGTTTATTTTGTCATCTTTCTTTTAAAATCTTTTTTTGTAGGCTTATTTTTGAAAGTGGTGAAAAAGATTATGGCCTTTACAACAGAATTGTTTAACAAAGGTGTAAAGACCAGCTTCCCTCCACACACACACCTGTACACACTAATAATAATAATAATAATAATAATTGTTTACACTTATATAACACTTTTCTGGACACTCCACTCAAAGCACTTTACAGGTAATGGGGACTCCCCTCCACCACCACCAATGTGCAGCCCCACCTGGATGATGCAGCGATTCTCTCCCCCAGAACGCTCATCACACATCAGCTATCAGTGGGGAGGAGAGCAGAGTAATGAAGCCAATTCATAGACGGGGATTATTAGGAGGCCATGATTGACAAGGGCCAATGGGAAATTTTGGCCAGGACGCCGGGGTTACACCCCTACTCTTTTCGAGAAACACTGGGATTTTGAATGACCACAGAGAGTCAGGACCTTGGTTTTACGTCTCATCTGAAGGACGGCGCCTGTTTACAGCATAGTATCCCCGTCACTATCCTGGGGCATTAGGACCCACAGACCGCAGGGTGAGCGCCCCCTGCTGGCCCCACTAACACCTCTTCCAGCAGCAACCTTAGTTTTTCCCAGGAGGTCTCCCATCCAGGTACTGACCAGGCTCACACCTGCTATTAACTGCCTTAAGAGCAGCAGGCATGCCCTCCAGCAGGAACTGTACTTACAGAATAATAAGATTAGCCGCCCTCGAGTTCTCCTGCAGCAGTTCATTGAGACGAACCTGTCGATATGTCTGTGTAGAAGAAGGAAGGTAAACCATCAGTTTCTGTGCATAAGAACTCCAGGCCATACCTCCGGTGTCTCTCCCGGAATCCTACCTTTTCTTTGAACAATTCCAGCTCTGAATCAGTGATTTTCCAAGGGCTTTCCTTTCTCAGCGTGTCAGCGGTCGCACCGTCTTTGGAGCATTCATGCAGACGGTACGGTTCGATGGTTTCCTCAAAAGATTTCCAGCTGTAGAAGTAAATCACATAGAAGCTGATTTCATACCTGATCTGAACCTGCAGATAGTTCACTTTTTCTTATTGATTGATTTTGAAATCATCTTCTAACAATTGTAAATTTAGAAGGATGTTAGACACATCCAGAAATAGACACACCTGGATTCCTTTATTTGTACCTTTCACTATATTAAGGTGCATCCGTTAAAGCAGAAGTAAAACTGGTCACTTAGTGAAAGACAAATGCAAATAAATTATCCACGATCTTTTCCATTTGCTAAATAAACATAATCTGCACAAGCAGTTCGCTTTCATACATTCATTGAAAGGATTCTTCACTGAAGAAGCCAAAGGAAGAAATCAGAGGTGAAACTCAAAGGAAAACACTCTTCTTTATACACAAATGATTACTGAGACAGCAAGGGTCTGGTTTCATTCAGTTCTTCATTCCTTACCTCTCCTTGTTTGGGCTGGTGTTGATGTCAGGAACAATGTGGATGTCAGCAAATTTGATTCTGAATTTGCTCAGGAGCGAGGCAATCCTTAATTAAAATATGTACATATTAGTTTTTTTTATACATGATTTTTAATATTCAGATTACACTCCACATTGTGAAGGTCTGAGAGGATTTTCAAAATCTTCTCTAATCATTAGGAGCTCCACTCATGCACTCAGACAGATTACAAATTGAAAATATCCAAGACCCAGGATTCTCTGACAAGAATTCACCAACAGTAATCTGGAAAATCATCCCAGAAGCCACAGAGAAGTAACTGAGTAACATCTAAAGGTCTCCAGGATGCTGCTAATGCCAGCATACATTCTTCAACTATCAGGGAAAGACTGAAATCTGATCCTGTTCATGGGAGGAGAGCGACAAAGAAACTACTGATCTCTTAAAAGAATATTGGCACCCATCTTGTCACCTTGTCAACCCATAAGACTCCTGGAAGAATGTTCTCTGGCCAGATGAGTGAAACATTTAAATTCACGGCCACCATGAGAAATATTTTGTGTGGTGAAAGCCATACACTGCCTTCCAACATAAGAAACAATACCAATTGCTGCCTCAGGACCCAGGCGGCCTGCCATCATTAATGGACCCAAGAATTCAGCTTTCTACCAGCAAAGTCTGGAGGAGAATTTTAGGTCATCCATTTATCTGCTGAACCTGAGCAAAAGGTACCTGGGACACGCAGCAACACAATGATCCTAAACCTATAAGCAGATCTACAAGAGAATGGCTGAATGTAGTCCATTTTAAGTTTTGGGCCTGAATCAGGACTGCAGGGAAACCATCAGATACTGAACTACTGAAGCAGTTCTGTAAGGAAGAATAGACCGGATTCTTAAAAGCTGATGTGAAGGATGGCCAAACGGTCACAGGAAACTTGTGGTTTAAGTCCTTGCTGCTCAAAGAGGTGCCACCAGTTACTGAATCTACGGGATCACATTCTTTTTCTCACAAAGATGTTTACTCTTGGATCATTTTGTTAATTTAATAATCCAAATATATCCTATATGTCTGTAGGGAGCTCCTACAGCCCTAAGCCCTAAGCCCTAAGGACAGATTGTTGTTCTCTTCAGCCAGGTGTGATGCTCTAATAACACTATTTTATTTATTTTACTTTAGGGGGACCTGTACCTTTTAGGGGGGAATTCTGATTTAAGTGGCGTACAATCTCAGATAGTAATCTTGTGCCGATAGTATCCCACAGATAATAGCTTTAAGCCATTGGCTCCACAGCCAAGCACAGACAAACAGATAGTTGAACTTGCAGTTCCTCTCGTACTAAGCTGGATTACTGTTACAAAATCTCACACCTATGTGAATAGAGAATAGAGAAACTATTCAAATCATGCCTCCTCTCTGCTCTTCTAAGGGTTTGACTGGATTACTGAAATGGTTTCTGCTAGGAATCCCTAGGCGGCACTGTGCACTTCTCTCAGGGCACCCCAAAGGCCACACGCACACACATTGCCCATTCCTGGCTGAACTATCGTATAACTTTCACGAGTATCTTTTATTTATTTTCTTGCCCTTACGCTGCTTTGTCTTGGTCGATACTGTTGGCCTTTCCGCCGATGAAGACCCTCATTTTGCAGTCCTTCCACTTCTTTCGGGTTGTCAGGATATAGGGGATCAAGAGAGTCAGCCCTGGAACAGGGAGAATGTTCACACTGACTACCTGATTAAAGTCAAGAGAGCTCTGCCTGGATATTTCGTTCAAGCAGATATAATTCAAGGAATTATATTGTATAAGGAATCTTGCTGAAGAGGCATTTGGAAAAAAAATCCTGCTGAGGAAATTTAAAAACCTTGTAATTTAAGAAGTCAGTTTCTTTGACTAGAAAGTAATTTGTATATGTTTATAGACAGTCTTATGTTCATTATATCACCAGTGATGGATCTTCTTGTGTATGTGTACACAGTGAAATCCACAAAGCATTTTAGTAATCATGCAATTTATTATGACAGTACATTTGGCTGAGCTATCTACAGAATTAAAGTCCCCACAGCCGGGTCTCTTTTTGCAAAGGAAAAAGCTCTTCAAGTCAATCAGTAGGTAGATATTTGACTATCACAGCCCAGTAAGCATGAACAGGACTGTTACACATTGTTTAGTGTATTATTTCTGTGATCATTCAAAATGTTGACTCTAAACAATTTTTTTCTTCTATGTCTGAGTGTCTGTTTGCAGACACCTACACCTACAAGTTTTTTAATTCTGCATTAGACGTAAACTGGCTGCGTGTTAGTTTGCAGAAACAGCAGTAATATCAGGAATTCTGCATAGTACAGAAAATCTCATCAAGAGCATTGCAAATACTAAACCATTACTGTTTTTTTTAACCAAAACCATTTTTTAATTCTTGGTATCGTGACAGCATGTGACTATTAGAACTGCACGAGCGGGTCAGCTCTTACTTACCTCCATCGTCGAAGAGCCACCACACATCGATGGTACCTTTGCCCTGCTTCTTTTTGAACTGAGCACTGGCGTCCACTAGCCTCTGGTTAAATTCACCCCCACGCATTGATTGGTCCAGGTTAACTGAGCTTGCTGGAATTTAAACAGAAAATATCCTAAATTTGCTCTCCTGGAGCCAGAATTATGCAGTCAAATCATTAGTGCTTGACATGTTTCAAGATAACATGTATTTATCGGTTTTCTGATAGACTTTGTAAATATCCTGTGCCTTATCAGGTTACTGAAAGTACAGATGAAAAATGACCATGATGGCTCTATGTGCAATCCTGCTGTATTTGTTGCTATGGCCCACGGTTTCAGTCAAATATACCCCATACTTGTCATTCCAAGTCTCATCACATTATATTTCTCATTATAAAGCATATGTTCATTTTTTGTAATAAAAACAAATATGTAAAATATACATATATTTAGATCTTACTTTTTACATCTTTCTGAAAATGAATGATTTCACATTATTGTGCACTAAATTTATAAGTAATAGGTAAATAGGTAAATTTGATAAATGGATAAACTGTAGCAATAATTTAACTGTGTGCAGGCTGCATCTCAAGCACCTCAGACAATGCAACCTGCACAGCCCAGGCAAGTGTTAAATCCAGGCCTAAAGCTCTGTCTGTTGTGGTAGGGAGTTTGAACACTGGGTATGATATCATGGAGAATCCTCCCTTATGAGAGTTGTTGCATATAAAAAGAATATTTCCTTCACAAGGCAGCTGTTGTTGGAAAAGGAAGCAAAATGAGAGAAATAGCTGCATTGGAACAAATAATTTGCAGAAAACAACATTAATTCTATCATTAGAGCTCTCCATCAACACTGAATTGGATGAAGCAGTTAAAAATGGATTGATGGATAGGCTTTTCAGGGTTTGTAGCCATGTAATGAGATGTATACAATTTTAAAAAGGTAATAAACGTAACCTTCAATTTAATGAAGTGTTGCAACGATAATATTCTAAATTCTCAATATTCTACTGTTCTCATTTGTCAGACATGTTGGTATCATTATTTTTATTTTTTAGTTGCTTTCCAGACCATTTCCAGGGTGATTTACTACATAGAAAATTTACGTTAATTGGAATCGGATGTGGGCTACAATAGGGAGCCAGTGCAGGGACTGCAGTCATAAAGCAGCCTGAGCTGGGTTCTGGATTATGGATCGTCTGAAGAAGGAGGTTACTGCAGCATTGCCAGGGAGTTTAGTCCACATGAACTTCCAGTACTGTGGGCAGGAGAGCACCAGGGCCTGTACTGGGAGGTCTGTCGGACAGTTGCTAAGGAGGGGGATTCCATGGGTGTCACTGAAGAAGAAGAGGCAGGAGCATGCCTGGGATTCAGTGTGGAGAAGGAGGCAGGAGGCGGGGGAGAGAGTGGTGGTGGAGTCAAAAGGAAAGGAGATGAAGAGGAAGGAACTGCATAAAGGAGATCAGACTTCGAGGGGCTGAGTTTAAGATGACAGGAGCACATCTGTGAGGGAAGATGAGAGACAGGGAAAGGAGGTCTCAAGGGTGTTTTTTTAAAGAGAAATGTAATACAGGTTTAAAAACAGAGGGAAACGGGTCAGAGATCAGAGTGGTGTTAAGAAACTAATATAGGAAACTAAATCAGGGGCAGCAGACTGGAAGAGGTGTGTGTGGTTGAATGTAAGAAATGGGCTTATGGCCCTGGAGGACACAGGTGATGTCTGCCACATAACAACCTGTCTGGTCACATAAGGGCTTCTGTATTCTTCAGACCCTCACTGAGCAGGAGAAGCAAGATAAGAGCAATATTAACAGAGGCGCATGGACAGCTCTCACACCAGGGAGTCTTTTGAAAAGACCATGGCGAACCTGGCATTAGAGCAAACAAACACTAAGAGAAAATACTTCCCTAACAGTGACCAGTGAACCTGTGAAATAGCACACATCACTCAGATAAAACAACTCATGTTAAAGAAAAGGCCTTCATTTGCACTCCCATTTGAATTGATAGCAGCTTCAGCTCTTGTTAACAGATCAAATAGTATTTGACTGAGAATACAAACAATTGCCATCCAGTGGTGCTGAAATTAAATTAAGCTGTCTATGAAACTGCAGCCTATATTGTTGCCACTAGAAGAACTGATTGAAAATTGGTTTGCGATTTGAAAAGAAAAATACACACGTGCTGAATTAACGTACCTTTTGTTGCCGGATTTGACATTTTAAACTTATTTGCTTTCTTGAAGAACCCCCGGATTCCACCTCCTCCTTCTTGCAGCTCTTCGTTCCTAATAGCCGTCTCGAGCGCCTGCCGTTCAATCTCCAGCCTTTCAATTTCCTCTGCGGGTTCAGGTGAAAGGACAGTGTTTTCACAAATGAAACCCATATAAATCACAATGCACCACAAAGTACAATTTTATATAATCGGAAAAGAATGAAATATCTGCTAACTAAATTAAGCGCAGAGACCCCCCATTGAGGACTGGTTAAAAAGACAAACATTAACCATCCTGAGATTTTGAAACAGTATATTTAAAAGGTCTCTGTTGAAAATGCAAGGAGTTTGCTTTCCCCAAGTCCTCTCTGTCTATTCTAATGTATATATTGTAAGTAAAGGGATCTGGTTATTTCTTTGTTTATTTCCATACTAGAGATTTCAGGAGACATTCCTGACTTGGATTCTTGCTTTTTCTCATTTTCAAATCCCGAACAGTACTTTCATTCTCCAAAAGATTGCATTTCTCATCTGGGAAGCTTAACTATAATCTTACTACACTGCAAACCTTTTTGGAAAAGGGGATCATCAATTAGACAAAGACTTGGGCTTGTGTCCAGGGTAATTCAGACAAATCACTGTTGTCCCTTTCATTTAAATTGGAAAATGTCAGGCTCCAAGCATCTGCTGTGAATGCAGATCCTGAGGGAAATGACTGCTTTCACATTTATGATCTATCTGAAGTAAGTTTCAGAATATAGAAAAGTACACACAAATATGGAAATTTAGACCTGCTAGGGTATCTGGTCTGTAAACAGAGACATTTTAAAAACCTGAAAATGTCTCTGGCCTCTAGTGATATTTCCCTGCCAGTATTTCCAACAGAAGGCCCTTATTTTATACAAGCAGCCATATCACCCTGCCAATCACAACTGACAACCTCCTGAAGCTCAGCTGGTGTGGACCTGGCCAGTACCTGGATGGGAGATCTCCTGGGAAAGCTAAGGTTGCTGCTGGAAGAGATGTTAGTGGGGCCAGCAGGGGGTGCTCACCTTGCTGTGTGGGTCCTTATTATGCCCCAGTGATGGGGAGACTATATTGTAAAAAGGTGCAATCCTTTGAATGAGACATAAAACTGAGGTCCTGACTCTCATTAAAAGTCCCTGGGCCTTTCTTGAAAAGAGTAGAGGTGTTTACCCAGGTGATCTAGCCAATATTCCCCTGTCCTTTACCAATCGTGGCTTCATCTATGAATTGGCTTCATTACTCTGCTCTCCTCCCCACTGATAGCTGATGTATGGGGAGCATACTGGCACATTATGGCTGCCGTCGCATCATCGAGGTGGATGCTGCACATTGGTGGTGGAGGGGAGTCCTCATTACCTGTAAAGTGCTTTGGGTGGAGTGTCCAGAAAAGCACTATATAAGTGTAAGGATTATAATTATTATTACCTTGAACCTGTAGAATGTGTGAGATGTCTAAGCCTTGGCTAATCCTCACAATCACTACCCCATATTCAAAGTCAAAGGCATCACTGCAGAAAAAAACAACAATAAGCAGAATGAGAAGAAAAGCCTTCATTAAGCCTGACCCCCCATATATTGAAGTGTCTGAGTAAAGAGGAACTTACTGTAGCACACCAACATAGCTTTGAACATCTGTATGGGATACTTGTCGCCAGTCTCTCTTAAATCCGATCACCAAGGTGTTGGGTTTCATACGACCAAGACCTGAAGCCTAATTAGCAACACTTCATTAAAAACAGTCAGTCAATTAGTTTTCAGTTCTGCTGTGGTCACTGCACAGGTAAGAGAGCTGTGAAAACTTGACTTTAATCCAGAGCTGTTAAACATGCAGCACCTCCAGTCTGTTTGTTTGCAGGGCTTCATTACAGGCAACACCTTACTAATTCAATTCAACTTGGTATTTAGTTAATCAATAATCTGCTAGATGTAGCAAAACAACAAAATGGCCGCAAAGTACATTGGGAGGCTGAGACGTGTATAAGGTACAAAAATAGGTACATTTCAGAACTTTTGATTTTTTTGTTAATTTTATGATTAACAAGGTAAGAGTAAGGTTAAATTAGTTTATTACACACTTTGGTCTTTTGTATTTGTTTTTCTGACAGCACTACTCTATCATGGATTTGTCATGGCAAAGGTGATTTGCGTCATTTAAACAGAATAAATATGTGAGCGAAAGAGAGCCTCTTTCTGAGCAGTCTCTTTCCAAGCCAGCCTGTTCAAGGTTTACCTGTAGGAGGCTGCGGACTCCTTCACGGAAGGTGTCACTGGCCACAGCTGCGTAGAAGGCTTTCCTCTTGTTCTTATTCAGCCACGCCTGGTTCTTCTCCATACACCTGTTTATCTCCTTAACCATCAGCTTCCGTGGCCCCTGGGGAAAGAGCAGTCAATGGCAGCAATTTCAGAAGAATGTTCCTCCGTTTTATAATTTGCCATCTTACTACCGCAAGGCCAGTTTCTATTATGACAACCCACGGAATAGATTGAATTGTTCCGAAACATCATATCATTCGTTTTCAAAGACTTTTTCTTTGAAAAGAAGGTTTCCTTGCTAAACACGTATTCATCTATCCATTTCCTAACTGCTTCTTCCAAGAAAGGGTCACAGGGGGAAGCCAGAGCTTCACCCAGCAAGCGACAGGTCCAAGGCAGGGTACACCCTGGACAAGACAACAGTCCATTGTAGGACAGACACAAACACTCCCACAAGGGCCAAATTTCCCAAACTCAATAGAGATAGCACCACATGTCTGGAATTGAACCCAGGACCCCAGTGCTAAGAGACAACAAAGCTAACCACTGTGTCATCATGCCACCCTCAACACTTATTAATCCACCATTTTCATAACACCCTTTTCTAAGAGCTCTGAAAATGTTCTTAGTTGCGCTCACACCCCCTTTGTATGAGGAAAGAAGAAAGTGTTGAATTGGCAAAATAGGACAGCCAGAAATTCTCCATCTTTGACTTTGGGTGTTCTTCTTGTATTCTTCAAACTATTGTTGCTGTGTATTTCAGGCAATACTGTTAAGAATATGTGTCATAAAGCACACTTACAGCAAACACTTGGCTGGTAAGGCAGAGCCCATAATTCTTGGTGAATGAATGCGCTAGATCAAGAAGTGCAGGTCTTGTCATTGGAGCTGCTGTCAATACTATACACTGCGGTCTGAAAGCAAGAATGGAAAACAGAGCTACTAAATGTTATGTAGATCTTTAAAAACATTAACCAACAGTAAGTCCTGGGACCTTCTGAAATTCCCCAAGGGTCAATTTCCTGAGTAACTCGCTGTCTTAACCGATATTCTCTTTTTGTTTTATTACAGATCTAGTCATTCCCCCACTTTGTGATGTAAATTTGAACCTCAGCTGTTGGCATTACTGTAAATGACAGGCCATTCTGTAAGGACCTACCTGAAGTTCTTCACATGCTCATCTATTCCGGCTAATACAAGCGCGTCATTCAGGGCGTTAACAAATGTTACAGCCTGGGTAGAGGAGCCCCAGTTCACCTCTGGTGAAAAAGAAAGGAAGATACAGTAGCTGATTCCTCAATGTGAATCAATTTGCAATTAATTAAAAAGTAATTATGAACTTGCTATCTGACAGGAATTACCTGAATATCCATCCATCTATTTCCTAACTGCCTTATCCAATACAGTGTCACAGGGAGCTGAAGCCTATCATGGTAAGCAATAGGTGTAAGGTGGGATACACCTGGATGGGATGCCAGTCCATCACAGGGCATATGCAGACACATGCACACACTCACACCAGGGTCAGTTTTTCCAGCAATCAATTAACCAACCAGTATGTCTTTGGACAGTGGAAGGAAGATTGAGCACCTGCTGGAAACTCATACAAATACATGGGGAAAATGCAAACTACACACAGATAGAACCCCAGGTCCAGGATTGAACCCAGCACTACAAGGCAGTATTGCTAATTGCTAATTGCTAATGATCGTGCCACTGTGTGCCCCATGTATTAATATGGCAAACATATTTACTGAAAATGCATTGATATATATGTTATACTGTAGATGCAAAACTTTTAAATCTATGATCAAATTCAGAATTAATTGCCTTAAGAACAAAACAGTTAAAAATATCTCACCTCATATTTCATGTGTAAAGGGCAGAAGATGTATTGTCCCTATACCATAAAATCCTTGTTCATTAATCACATCTTATAGAGGTTTTATAAAATGGGCAAGCTTGCATAGAACTTTCTCTGAAGAGTCTACTCCACAAGCTTGTGATTTAAAAAGGCACTGGGGCTTTACCTGGCTTCTTCACGGTGACGTAAATGTACAGGAAGAGCTCGATGGCGTATGTGATCAGTGCAGCCCACCAGTTGATGACAAACATCACACCACAGCACAGCACTGCTCCGAACAGAGACACCCACATGTTGTAGTATTTATAAGCAGGCCTCCATCCTGTGGAATGGAGGCAATGAAATACCATCAAGCAACTTGGTTTAATTGAAAATGTATGGAAATTATACCTATACCCTATACTATTTGTGTTCCAGTATGATTTGTCAAAGAAAGTTTCTAAAACCCTGTGCTACCTTCTAGCACTATGATCAAAGTATAAGAAAAATGGAAACAAGAAATGGTTTTAACCGTTAACAAAAGGATTTGTCATTTGGACAGTGTGTACCATAAATACGGTGCTTCATTCAATTAAAGAAGAATGCATATGTTTACTATAATTGTGCCTGGATACAAGGTGTTGCGACACCTTGGTAGCTGTTACAACAACAGGACACAGCCTGCTGACTTTCTGGTCTCATGAGTAAATATGAGTCCATTCTAAATCTGTTGAGAAGGATAAAAAAATTAAAAAGGAGACTAAAATAAGGTACAAATAAACATATTACCTGGCGATTTTGCATAGGAGGCATGGAAACAGGAGAAGTTGATAAGGGCATATGAAGCCAGGAAAAAGTTGGAAATGACAGGTGCAATGGTGTTCAGTTCCGCTGGAAAAAACAATGAAAAACATCACGATGGTTCTGATAATTTTTTATTATATTATGATAAATTTATGTTGCACTGCTCAACTTCCTTCAAGAGGTTTTCAATCTACTTAATTGTCTGGTTATATTGGTCAGATTTTCAATATTGGCAGGTAGAGCACACAGCGAGGACAGTGCTATTGAAAGCATACCTATCAGGATAAATGCAACTGCGATGATGAAGGTGAGGACGTATCCTCGGATCGGCTCATTGTTTTTCCCATGACCTTTGGCAAAGAAGTACAGAGCTTTGTAGATGTTGTCTTTGCAAAGTGCCTGTTTTCGGAACAGAAACGCAAGAGATTTGGATTTATGTTGTCATGCATGTATTATAAACATATATTCTTTATAACAAACCTCGAAAATGCTACAATATGTTTAATATATTTTTTCTAAAATGAGCTGTTGTTGTTGTTGTTAATAACAGTAGTTTTTCTGACCTTTATTATATTACTGAGTTCCAAGAATTAATTCGGACATTTTCTGATCTAACAATAGAATAGATTTTTGGATCTACAATAGATCCTGTTTTCAAGTTAGAATTGTTAATACAGCACTGGGAAGCTGGAAACGTAATTTCTGCTCTTTTTTCCCATTGCAGTGTCCGACTCACCTGAAAAACCTTAGGTGCACTGACGAGTGAGGCCAGAGCAGAGGACAGAGTAGCTGAAAATATCCCTGCAGTTATCAGAGGGCCAAATCCTGAGACCATTGTCATCACCTGCAGAGAGCCCGAAACAGATCAGGTGAACAGGAACCACCTTACTAAGTATTCCGAATAGTGAGCTTTAAACATCAGACATTAAGATCAAGGGAAGGCACTGTTATTAAAATACATGTAAAAATGTTATTAGATTTCAAGGGTGGCATGGTGACGCAGTGGTTAGCATTGCTGCCTTGATGAATTCAATTCCTGGGATACTGTCTTTCGTGGAGTTTGTACTGTATGTGCTCGCCATGTTTACTTGGGTTTCCTCCTGGTGCTCTGTTTTCCTCCTACAGTCCAAAGCCATACTAAAAGGTTCATTGGCCTCTGGGAAAATTGGCCCCGGTGTGAGTGGGCGTGTGTCTGGGTCTCTGCCCTGTGATGGACTGGTGTCCCGTCCAGCTCCCCCGCACCCTTGAATTGGATAGAGCAGTTAGAGGAAACACCGATTTTGTGTTTTGGGAACTTGAAAACATCGTCTGAGAGGGGATAGCTGGGGTAAATGGTGTTTCACTTATTGTATGTGAAATCCAAAGTACTGTTGCAGAGGCCTGCGTACCTGGAAGTTATTCATCAGGCCGAATGAGCAGCGCTGGGTCCTACAGGAAGAGAAGTCATAGCCCAGGTAGCAGGCAGCTGAGCCGTTGCAGCTGGTACCAGCTGCGACTGTGTGGTTCACGTTTCCTGTTGCGTCTCGCACAACCGTGGAAGCTGCCAAACGACAAAGTCAGAGCTTAGTAGAAAACACACATGTTGGTGTACTGATCACTGGGATCCTGTTTGATGTGATCTCCTGCCCAGAATGCACTGCTGCTTTCTTTGTATCACACTGGCGGCTGTGATAACTCTGCTGCCCAGAGCAATGAGCTCAGAATCGTCTTCGACGAGACTCACGGGCACAGGCATCTCTTTGAAGTTTTAAGAGCTGTTTTAATTCTTGGCCCAGTTGTGTGTTTGTTGCTGCATTGAGTCTGACAGTGGAAGAGAAGATGAAGTGATTGAGGGGGAGGGGTTGAGAGTGAGGTCAAGTCTGAAGTGTAAATTAGCTGATCAATCTTTATATTCCAGCACGCTGTCTGGCGGCTCCATCAGCTGCAGGGACGCGTGTCTGTAAATGTGCTGTTGTCTCAAATCTGATTTTATGGCTGTGACTGTATCAGCTGCTAGAGATTTATGTTGACTCTTGAAAATGCACAGCTGGCTTTTGCCTTTCAAGGTGTGTCATTGATTTTGGAGAGGAATCCAGCAGCAAAGTACTGAGATTCAGGAGGCACCAGGCCAGCTTTTTGATGGAACTGCCTTTTTTGTGCGTCTTGGTGTTCATTGATTTCTAACCATACCTTTGTATTTTAGGCCCTTTATGAAGATCTTACAATGGTGTAATAAATGTTCTCCGATCAATTTGTCCAGACAGTAAAGGCAAATTTGTTTTTTTTAAAGAAAAGCGTATAACGTTTTCTACCGCAGTGTCTGCCAGACTTCAAAATGTTGCAGGGGACATTAAAAATGATCAAAACATATACAACATTTCTGTATAATTTTTATTTTATTCATAGCATTTGATTTGCATCCTAAATTCTCTTAGTGAAATGAAGGCTGGACAAAAGGAATGGGCACAATTCCGTTTGACCAATTATTTAAATTAGTACTGTAGCTAACAGTATAATTAATGTAGATTGGAATATTTTTAAGTAAATTATTTTTTGCCACAAGAACAGTTTTACAATGAGTCTTTATATAAATCACAAGAACAGAGCTTTTTTTTGCAATTAAATTATTTGTGAACAGAAATTATCTAAGCTATCTGCGTATCGGATAGCAATCCGTTTTTAATTGTTCTGGGTTCTTGATTTCATTAGTATGAAATGTTTTGTGATATTGTTAGTCTCAGACAAATATTTTCCATAGGTTGTTTTAAATGTATTGGCACTTTGGCTCCCAAGACTACAGCTATCATGGTATATTCCAATTAATGTGTACTTACCTACACAGACTGCAACACCCAGATAGGTAACGGTTGTTATGAATATAGCAAGCATGGTGCCTTTGGGAATTGCTGCTTGTGGGTCCTTAAATGAACAATACACAGTTTATTACAATCCAATTATATGGACAAACATTTAATCATCTCAAAAAGAAAAAAACAGTGTTTTGATAATTCATGTCCTGCAGCTGTTGCTTCCTTCCTTTCTTTGTTTTAGCCAAAATGCACCTGTAGCTGAAGGAACTGCACACTGCAGAAGCTTACCTTTAAATCTCCTGAGATGTTGGCACCAGCTAGAATCCCTGTAGCTGCAGGGAAAAAGATGGCAAAGACAGAGAAGAACCCTTCTCCATCTTGAAAGTCTGGGCCAAAGTTCTCAGCAAATATAGATGCTGAAAGAAAACCGTTTGCAGAAATTCAGAAGTGTGGACACCCTACCTCTCTGAGCAGACACAAAAACGAAATCCCTGAATGGGTTTGTGCACAAAATTATCAGCTGTTCAGTAACAACACATTGCTTATTTTAGTTTAGAAATAGTAATTTAATTTATAGGAAGCACAGTTAATTCTACTTGATATTCTCTTTTGCAGGGCCAGTGTCAAAACAGTTTATGTTTCTACTGTCTGAGCTGTTGAGGGGATTTTATTGATCAGAATCCCTAGATGTGAAGGAGCTTACTGTAGTGGTATTTTAAGTTATTTTTCTTGGATATCTGAACCCAGCACCTGTGTCCTGGAAATGATCACTTCCTTTCAGTGCTTGGTGAAACTCAGTGAAACAACAGTATAATAACTCAGGTGCCATTGTCTGTAATCAATTGCAAAACCTAGAGTACATTAATCTTTCTTTTCATTGTCCTGAGATTCTTCATTGCATTCCCAGCTCTTAAAGATTAGCTACTCTAAGGCACAATTATGTCAGCACAGTTGAAGATACTGTATATACATTTTATTATGTGATTCTTTAAGACAGCAGTGGAATCAGAAATCACCACATTTTTTGGAACACGAAATGCTTGCTACACTGCTAAATAATCATTCAAATGCACAGAATACAGCACCAAATGCACCTAAGTATAATAAGCACATATCTGTAATAGAAATCTCCTACTCATACACACCTTGATAATTAAAAAAGCCCTGTGCTCTTTTATCGTTGTTGGATGGGATGACTGTTCCGATGAGGAAGTTAGCAATAGCCACCAGCAAAATGATCAGCAGTAGGACCTGAGCCTGGAATTCAAAATACAACACTTTAGCTATCCTTCTTGTGCATTACTGAACAAGGGAACAAAAGACATAAGAGCAGACTCTTAAAAGTGAAAGCTAATCATTAATTTATTTGGTTAACACTTATAACCAAAGTGATTTCTATTTATACAGTTGCATCTGTGAGTGGGACTGAAGACCCTTGCTCAAGGATACAACAGCAGTGTCCCACCTGGGATCTGAACCCACAGCCTTCTGAGTGATAGCATTTAATCCACTAGGGTCTCAAACCCCAGTCTTTGTACCTTTAATCCATTGGAAGGCCACAATGAAGAGTCCAGATTCTAATTCCTAATGGGCAGGTAGACGTGCCAGCTGGCTCAGTATCAACCAGACACTTTGAGATAGGATAGGATTTTCACTTTGTCTCTACACTTCAGCATTTTAAACTTTTTAGCTGTTTTTAGTGAACCCAGGCCAGAATGTCCGCATCTCTAAGTACCATTAAATGTTTGGAAAAAGCGAATCCACACACTTCTGAGAGAAAAGAAAACTTTCCAATCAGAAGCCCTTATAAAAGTTTACCCTAGTAGACTTACCATAGGATTTCCATACTTATGCCACAGTTTACTGTGATTTGATCATGGATTTTCTGTGGTTTCCTATGGTTTCAGATTGTACCTTCACCATAATACCATAGTACCATGTACCATAGTCAACTTGGTATTCCCACAATGCAGTGCTGTAAAGCACGGTGAAAGCAACTGTGTAAATCCTGTGGTAAATTTAAGTAAATGGGCATATATTCAAACACATGAATTGTTTGGAAATTCCAACAAGAGATAAAAATATAAAAGTGGTTACTACATTATAATAAAGATTGACTGTGAATCAAGTAATGAAAAGCAAGTTTATAACAATTTCCGTTTACCTTTGCTTCCCACTCCATCCCAGCCACAGAAATTCCCAGAAGCAAAACCACCGTAATGCATCCAACGATCCGGATATCATTAACTGGGTCGACCATTATTGCATTGTTGTCCTGCAGAGCACCACAACATGACAAGAGAATGAGCAGCATTATAGTGCTGAATGGCTAAGATTGTCTCACCTGTAAGATCTCACTTCATTTCAAGACTATGCATTATAAAGACAAGTCAGGCACCTTTCCCTTGTTGCTTTCACTATCTATTCTGATTAAACCTTTCTTAAATTCCACAACATGTTTCAGCTCTGTTCATCGAAGCAGTTCAGTGAACACTACATGCATTAACCCCTGCTCTTTGTTCAGGTCACTTTTCACATAAGGCAACTTTGCAGGCTTTGAAGATGATAAGTGATTTAAAAGGCATGAGACCTACCTTAAGAAGATCCACCACTGTCTCAGAAAACCCCACAACATACATGGCTACAGCTACAGCGTTGGCAAAGGCAAAAATCAGGCCAATTGACCCACCGAACTCTGGCCCCAGACTCCGGGAAATCAGGTAATAAGCACCACCTGGAACACAAAGGGCATGTCTAGTGTTTAGTTGAACTGAAAAACACATCAAATAAAAATAAAAGAAGTCCAGAAACTGTTTAACTGGGGAATCCTGTGTTGATGGATATTCAACAACTGTGGTGTTCCCCACATTACTGATTTACAAACAGGAAACATAACAAAGATTTTCAAATGCTAGATTATACTGGAAATCAACCTTGCTTTGTGGAAAAGCTAAAAATATAGACTCAAATGCTTGTAAACAGGGAAACAAGGTGAAGTGTACTCCATGCCAGTTCACATTAGTTCAGTATATGGATCATCTCAAACTCTGTGGTCACTGTTGACTTTGCAACTAATTGGAGTAAGAAAATGAAGATTTGAGAAGAAAGTTGAGAAATCTCCTGGAAATAGTAAAATTCAGTTCTGCATTAAAATTGTTGAAAACAAGTGTTTTGTTATACCTTTGTGCTTCATATGATTCATGTGCTATTGCTTATGTTTTGCTGATGCTGTAATTCATTTCAAATGATCTGGGAAGATTTTTTTCTTTTTCTTTATTAGATGCTTGACACACAGTTTTGTCAATCAGTTTCCACTATTCACAGTGTTGCTGTCTTTCCTTTTTTATTGACCACACTGTGTTGTACCTTTAATAGACTTATTGGGTATTTGTATATAGTTAGATATAGTTTGATGTATGCAGAGTATATACAGCACAGTACTTCTTCTTCAACTGTACTGTATATACAGTTGAGCAGTGAGAATTTAAGAGATGCCTTACCTCCTCTGACAACACCATTGGTACAAATTGCAGACATGGAAATCCCTGTCAGGATTGTAACAACAACACTCAGGCAAATAACCACAATACCAAGACCTGCAAAAGTAAAACATATATATACGTTTTTAAACTCTTTACTCCTAAAACATTGCCCACACATTCAATTGGACTAACATAATTTACATTGAAATGCACTGTTAAGTAGGTTTTCGCAGAGCTGAATTTTCATTAGGACTAAAGTCTCAAATTATGTCTGGCTCTATACTGATAATGTTGTTATACATTTGAAAAGACAAATTACGAATTAGCTACATTTATTACAGAGTCTGAGAGCAAGAGATAACTCTTTGCCATGCACAGCTAAGTATAAATACAGGTAGTACAATTGTTTTCCCCAAAGTTTATGTCTTTCTGCCCCATTACTGCCTTGCAACTGCTTGGTGATTCCAGCTGAAGGGGGTTTCAGTGTCCTCAACCTTATAGCCAGGCAACTGTTCCCTCAGCCAAGAGGATTACAGCTAAATCTTTGTCTCACTTTTCTGTTAAAATATATTTTCCAAATCTGTCATTACTGATGTATTTCACTTGAATTTTGCTTAGTCTCAGTGATATTAGTTGCAGTGACATTATGCGCCATTGTTTGTTAATCTGATATATAATAAGTGGTTAAGAAACGAAGTGGAAAATATCACAAATGCAAAAATGGTTCGATTTAGATTTACACCTTTTCATAGTGCATAAAACTCAAATGAGTTCATGCTAAAGTCATTTTCTATTGCCTTGAGCCACCAATCACACCTAAAAAGCAAAGCAATACTTCTTTTAAACTTCAATGACTCACAAACAGCCCACTTGGAGGCCTAATTGTGCTTAGAGACCTGGAGCAATAGCTGTGCAATACAGAAATTTAAGTTTCCAATTCTGTCCTGAACCCACAGGCATGTTCACAGTCATTAGGTATGCATCATAAAAAGGTTTAGTGCCAGTTTGTCAGGCACAGAACTTGTGCCGAATTAAGAACATGCATAAATAATCTACAGCTTTTCAAAGCCCACATGCATCAGTTATGATATCAACAATAGTGTCATGATAGTTTCCCACCTACAATGGTTTAGATTAATAATATATTTGCCTTGCTGTCCTCATTGTTTCTGTGTTTATTTGGAAGTTCTTTAAATTTTCTTTTTAAGGTGAAGGGCAAAGGGAACACTTAATAATCAGTTGGATTTAAATATTTTCTAGCTGGAGCTCGGGATACCCTAGCCATTCTTTTCTAGGACTCTGTAGTTTTCTGCTGTTTCATTCTCTCTAAATTATGGAAAGAATTGATTCACCTTACTTCTCAGCACTCTAATCTCTCTCACAAAATCTTGAGCATTAAGTGCATTAGCTCAAATCTGTTGTCTGAAAATCTAATAAGAAAAGATATATCAGTGCCTTAAAAATAAATTCCCTTACAAATTCTGCCTGCTGCAAGTCACATTTTTTTTATCATGCACAGCATTAAGGGTGTACAATGTGAAAGAAAAGAAGACATTAAGTTTATTAATGCCTTGATTAAAAAAAGAGACGCAAATGTAAACTACAAAGGCAAATTATTGTTTAATCACCTACCTATGCCAGCCTGACCGAAAACCCAGGAGAGTCGAATGAAAAGCATCACCCCCCAGATGTTTAACATGCATCTTACCTAAACAGACAAAAGTAGCACAAGACACACAAGTAATGTTAAAAATAATATGGAGGGTTGGAAGATTCAAGCTGTAGGAAGAAAGAAAAACTACAGAGACAATGGTAATAGTATTGCAAGCAACTGCTCAGACACCTAGAAATAATTCTTTAACAACTGCAGACATGGCCATGCACTTCAGGGACAACATTCTCTGTTGATCTGATCCAAAAGCCTGCTTAGAGTTAACATGTCCAAGTAAGACTCCTTGTATTTTCCATCTCTGATCTAAAAGGCAGGGGCAGCACAGTGGGGCAGCGGTTGCCATTGCTGAGTAACAGGGCTGGGGACTTAGGTTCAGTTTGGATCTGGGGTGCTGTCTACATGGAGTTTGGATGTTCTCCCCGTGTTCCTGTGGGTTTCCTCTGGGTGCTCCTGTTTCCTATCACACTCCTAAGACATACTAGGCCAGGGGTGCCCAACCAGTTGATCGATCGCAAGAATGTTTGGCAAAAAATAAATGGGGCTATTTGAATATTTACTTTTTCCAATGGCCTAAAAATTCATCCAGATCTGTGCATGTAATGTCATACATTTTACTGCCCTTGTGTGTTTTTAACCCTTCTCGAATGGGTTGTAAAAGTCTCTTCCCTGAGTGCTGGCTGACACAGAAAAAAAGGATACAGGGAACCCATAAATAGAGTGTTGTGTGTGCTACCCAAGAACGTTCTCTTGGTTATTGCTGGACGAACCCCACATTCACCACAGTGCGTACTGGAGCAGACTGGCTGTGACAAACTTGCCAAGAGTTTGATAAGTTTGATTGGCTATTTGATAGTTGTAGTATTTGAGTGGAAATGATGAAGCAAAGAGACCGAAAACTTACTATTACCACAAGGAATGGGAGCATGATTATTTTTTTGTACTCTCGTGTTCAAATCTGCAATGCCAATGTCTACGCAAGAAAGGGACTCACCAACACGCCCTTGATCCAGCCAAACTTTACAAATCCTGATTGGTTCTGATCTGTGATTCCTTCCTCTTCATCTGTGGGTGACCCATCCCCAGCTGCTGCCCCTGCTCCTGGTCCAACGGCTTCTAGATTCTGCAGCGACAAAAGGTGTGAAAATAATGACTGTAAATTGCAGAAGGTTCATACAGTGTTTATATATATAATCTTTAATCAAAGCATTGAAAAATGAAATAACATCATGAGAAGCTCTGTTTCATGAATGGAGTGTAGAGTAGGTTTGATTGAATAGATCTAAATTGGACATGAAAAGTAAACCTCTAAAAATTACGAACTCAACCATCAGGCCAAGAGGAGATCATCCCAAGTGAAGTGTGATCTTTCACTTGCCTGATGAAAAGGCATGAGCCCTTAACTCAGCTATATTTATGATTTTCTTTAATTAATTGTTGCATGTGAACTGTTCTTTCATTGTTCTTTAATGTATTCTAGTTCAGTGGACACAGTTTAATAGTGGAGCATTTTATTTTTTTATAATTCGGAAATACTGAAAAACCTGGTTCGGGGTTGTCTCTTATCTAGTGGTGGAAACAAAAGGAAAGTTAGGAGAATAAACTGAATTTCAGTGAGGAAGACAGCTACTGAATTACTGCAAAGGAACAGGTAACGGGTTTATTCCATGCTGAAAAGAAAGGAAACCAACGTTTTGGCTGTGGAGCCTTCTTCATGTGTGAATTACTGGGCAGTAAATGAGCTGAGACCCCCTTGGGCCTTCGAGTCATCTACTGTCTATCCTTTCTGAATTATTGCAGGTTTTCACACCCTATTTGCATAAATTACTCCATTAAGAAAAAGAAAAGAGTGAAAGAACTTGCTGAAAGGAATGATTATACCTGTTCTAAGTGCTTCTCTAAATCTAGACACATTAGTATTGCAAGGAAATCAGAGCTTATTGATCTGTTCTTATAAGACTGCACACCACAACTCATTTGAGAGTATCACGTTCAATTTATGAGGCTAGGAGTCATTGAAAAATTCAAAGTTTTCTTACATGGCACAATTCTGCATTAAAGTATTAAATGTTTTGACGTTAATAAGTTTTCTTAATATTTTATTATTATTCCAGTAATAAAAGGGAAGCCGTAAGGGAATTTCGGAAGTTATTTTTTAAGATTAGCTTATTCTAGTGCCACAAATGTCTAATAGCTAAGAGGGTAATTAGATAATTTCATATCTAGTTTTATTTCCTACCTTTTTCATAATTGATATGCACTTAAAATTAAGTAGTAAAGCCATTTCTCCTCTGAGAAATAGACAAACTATTCTCTGTTGTAAAAGGACAGGGACAATGGCATTGTTATACTGTTTAAGGGTTTACTAAGAAAATATGTGGTACAACAAGTCTGCTGGGCATAATTAATAACAACTGCTTCATTCTGAACACATTACAACATTTGGCTTTGTAGTCAACTTTCTAGGCTCCCGGTCTTTCAAAAACTCAGGACTTTTCTTCAGTGTTTTGGTTGGTAAATTAATGAAAGCTTATGCTTACGCATGATTAATAAAACATAACATAAACTTCAATTACAGCAACAGGAGAAATTAAAAGTACACATTTTGACCTAGTTTCTTTCTGCTGGAATAGAAAGGTCTAGTGCAATGTAGATGTAATGGTTTAGAGGATGTCTATCCCCCTAGTGAAAATTTAATGATGTTTTTTAAATCAAATGGTATTACTAAAAAGGAAAACAATCACCTGCATTTGGAGATTTTATTTTAAAGTTACAAGTTGTGCATCTAGGCTAAAATTGTGTGTTGCAGAACTACCTGTTCAGGAGAAAAGCTCTGTGTCTTAGAGAAAGTCTGTGAAGGGCAGGGTTCCTTGCCATATTTTCTGTTACCATATCTATAATGCGCGTTTACTTTGCTTTACCAAGGCTTCCTCTATGCTGCTTTATCATACCTCCCTATATTTTACCATGCATTTACCAGTTGCGTTCTTGGTATGTTTCTCAGTATGTACTCACCTTCTTGAACTCCTCGTGCAGCTCTTCCAGGGAGGGCCTGCTGATTTTCACTCCACTAACGCTGCCCGTGTTGCGATAGAACTCAATCCTGGGCACTGGGTCCATGGTGTTGTGCCCAAATGTTTGCAGATAGTAGGCAGGGGAGTGGCTGTCATATGGCTGGAAGCCCCCATCTGCAGACTTCACCTCCCCATTGTGGGAAACATGGCTGTACAAGGCTCTGTCCCCGTTTCTGAAACTTCTTCTGCACTCATTTCCACCTGTGAAGGATGTTTCTTCATAATGTGGAGGCTCGTCTTCATTCACCGTGTAAACTGCACTTGAGTTTAGATTGTCTTGCACTCTCTTCACCTGAAAACGTGTCGGGCTCTGTCTTTGACCATCCAGAGTTGAGCTATAATCTTCCATTGATGGACCCTGATGATTTCTTTGTTTAGAATATTGAACACTAGAGGACAACTACTTTTACAGTTCTAATGAACAACTTCAAGGTGTAATATAATTAAAGTTGACCCCTCAGATTGGAATTCATTTGAATCGTGCCACCTTTGTTTTATTCTTATTTTTTAACTGGACAGTTGACTGCGATGAACTGGTGTCCTGTCCAGGGTGTATCCTGCCTTGTGCCCGTTGCTTGGTGGGATAGGCTCCTGTTCCCCTGCGACCCTGAATTGGATGAAATGTTTAGAGAATGGATGGATAGAATTTCTTGTTGCCTGTCTCCTAAACTGCTTTAATGTGCAATTCTTGGGCTCAGCTGAATATGCTATTGAGTAGAACTCACCAGCTCTATTTATACCATCCATGTGTCAGGACAAAATATTTTTAAGAAGCCCATTGGCTCAATCTTTCATTACAAAAGTCAGACATGGTTTGGCCAGAGTAACCAAGCTGCATTAAAAGGGGCATTTAGGGGTTGCTTAATGATTAACGAAATCATAAATACCAAGGAAAAACTAGCATTTTACCAGGAATCTGAGCTTACTGTTACTTGTCCAAACTGTATGTCGTTACACGTTTCATACTGTGTAGAAAATTACCCATCAGGCTGTAATATGTTCAGGCACTTTTAAAGATGTCTGTGGGCTTAGGAACTTAAACTAGCACCTCTCTCGTATTGGTTTCTAAGCCCCCAGTCAGCAAGGATACAGATTTACTGTGCTATTTTCGATCTGATCAGTATAATATACTGTCTCCAACCCTGGTCCTAGAGACCCCCCACCCAGTAAATGCTATACTGTAGGTCACCCATTTATAAATACTGGCAACATACAGTATATCAACTACTGATGAATCCAGCAAGTAATCTGTTCAATTAGAGAACTCTGGTCCTTGATGGCTGAACAGTATTTAGATTTACATCCTAAATAATCCATAAATTATTTAATCAAACTATTCACCTGTTGAATTTAATATAGAAAGTTCCATGTCTTAAGAAACTGGTGTTCTAATGGTGACCTATAGAACTGGTTGCTGGATTTGGACTCTTCAGGACTAGGGTTTGGAGACCACTGGTATACAGCAGTACTGTTAGAGCTCTGTTATTTTCAGATGATGAACATATACATGTATAGAACAAAGAAAGGAAATTTACATTTTCAGAGTTCTGTCAGTTTTTATCTTGGGTATGAAAAGTTGTCATGTTTGTCTAATATGTAGTGCATGCCCGAGAGTGCATTATTTTACAAGTGTCTCATTTTACTTCTGTTGTTATTGCTCTGCCAGGCTTTCTATTTAAGCAATGTGTTTGCTGACTCAAATGTTGTAAAAACTCTGAATTTAAATGACTTTAACCATTCTGTAAACTCCTTTCATGTGAGGTATTTGTGAAAGTTAATATGATACCGCGATTAATGGTGAGAACATGCCCTAGAGGATTTGTTTTTAAGACACATGACTTTTTTAGAAAGGTCATGGACCGAATGCTTCTGTATTCTACAATAAATTACTTCACTTTAACACTTCCTTGTTAAAAAAGGATAATCCTAAATTGCATATATAAGTGTTAAAAACAACTTACCGGATGACCTTCAAAGCCTTTTCAAAAGAATTGTTACAACACAGACAAATTCTGTCATTTATCTATGAATTACTGCCTGGATAGAATGGAATTTTCAGTAAGATGTGATGCTGGAAGAATCCTTCCAGGGTCTCTGTGAATAAATGTTTCGTCAGACTTTATCTGTGAGACTCCAACTATCTGTCCATCCATTTCCTAACCACTTCTTCCAATGAAAGGTTGTGGGGAGCTATCCTGGCAAAGAACAGGTACAGGGTAGAGTACGGCCTGGACAGGATGCCCGTCCATCACAAGGCAGACACACAGATACAAACACAGACATGCACACATGGGCCAATTTTTCAAGAAGCCAATTAAGCTACCAGCACATCTTTAGTCTTTGGAAAGAAACCAGAGCACCTGGAGGAAACCCACACAAACACAGGGAAAACATAAAAACTCCACGCAGACAGAACCCGAATTAAACCCAGGGCCCCAGCACTGAGAGGCAGCAATGTTAACCACTGTGACTTTTGTTGCCAAAGTTAAAGGCTTTGCAGAAGTGCTGCAGATAGAGACCAAAGGCTTTTCTCTCTACCCTTCCAAATTGTGCATTATCAGCTTACATCCTCATCATCATTTATCCCCTAATGACTAATAACATTGGAGATTAGCTTAATTTCTGGAGTTCCAAAGAATGTCTTGTAGATCATTTTTTAACAGTACATTTGTCAAGAATCAAACAGATAAAAGCACAAGGGAGACTTTTTATTAGACAACATGTATACAAGTTCACAGTGACTGTTGTCCCCTCCTGCACTGTTGAAGGACAAGGGGAAAAGATAGGGATCCTAGATTAGACGTTGCACATACAGCACACTTTTAACAGAGCAGTCCATGAAAACGGTTTTGTAACATTTCTATATAAAGGCACATTTATCCATTCTGGTTTACAGTAAGGCAAATCCACACCCTTTCAAAGTAGTTGCATACTTGCTTTATAATGATACACTTTCTCAACCCTTTTTTCAGGCTAAATTGGAGGAAAATGAGTCAATAGGAAAGCTGATGGATTTTCTGCTATTATTAGCATTCGGGCCTTTATTTCTGCCAATACAGCAGAGACAAATCCCTTTCTTAACTCTGTGAACCAGCTTTGTAGAGTTGAAAGAGCATCTTCGTGTTTGTTTTTTTGTGGTAGTTTAGTCTCTGTTTGTAAATTAACATTCATAAAGGGCTGTTTTGTCAGACTGAAGAGTGCTGCCTGGGATCAGTCTCTGTAAATGAGTTTAAGCCCTGGAGGCCTTCTCCATCTGCAAAGAGTCTCTCCAGGGCATAAACTCTTGGTTTCGGATGGATAAAACAAGACAACAGAATTATATTAATCTTTGTTTTTTTGTACCCTAACTATTATTTAGATCGATGTGTGGGGTTTTCCTATCCATCTTAGCTGTTCATAGAAATAAATGGAAAAAATGAAGAGCTTATGTAGCTTCTGTCAAAGATTCACAGAAAGATTGATGCCCTAAAGAAAACTTTTGCAGCTGAATTTAACTGGAATTAAGTGCCTTTGGCAATGCTGTAGAATACATTGCTTCTACATATATGTACATTTTAAATAAGTGAATTAATATACATAAAAAAATATTCTAACCCTTTGTTCTTTGTTATATACAGTAACACATAGAGCAAAACATTTTTTATAGTGATTATATAGACTATATTTTATAGTCTAGTGAAGTTTTCCAAGCTTAAAATCATATAGTGATTGTAATGGATTTTTCGATTTATTTTTTCCAAAAGTTCAAATTTCACATTGGCCCCGATCACAACCTGTGTGCCAAAAGTGCTTGAAGCTTTCCAGGTATAGTGGCACAGGAAAAGACAATTGTTACTTGACAAAAAAAAAACAGAGTACATCATCAATCACAACAGCAGCTTCTCCTGCAATTAAAAAAAAACTATCAAAATCTTATTTGGAACCACTTCTTATGGTTATGTATTGTTATGTATTGTAATGTTATGTTTCAAAATGCCTTTTTTGATAAATGTCCATTGTTGAAAAATTTGGCAACTTAGACATTTTTCAGATCTTAACGTTGTATGGTAGGATTCAGCATTTCAAAACTTGTGCTCCTGAGTAATTAATGGTTATATTGAGATTAACCAAAATCAGTGTGTTTAAGGTAGTAGTACTATAGCAGTTATACACTAGTGCACGTCTGCTGTTTGTTGTCGTATGGGCTCAGTTAATATCCTTGGCATTAAGCAGATGCAGGTTGATCACTAAAAATCCTGAGGTTGAAACCAACTAGATTAGTATGAATGAATCACATTTCAGAGATTCTTACTGCAGTCACAGATATGTCATTCTCAATGACACATCTGTTGCTTAACTGCAGTATTTTATAACAGTGACTTTTGTTAGTGCATCACATATTTGGGTTTTCACATGAGTGAAGACATAAAGAATTCTAATATGGTCTTTTGTTGATACTAATATCAACTTCATAAATACCTTTGTGCCACATTACTATGGTTCATTACATCAAATGTGCTTGAGAGTTTCTTTAAATTTTATATATTCAGTGTTCTTTGATATAATAGCGGTGCTGTTTTAAGTGTTCTTAAAGACCCTTGTTTGTGATGTAATTGTACAGTTTACCCCTTTTTCAATTAGTGGGTGACTTTAGGGCCTGTTTGGAGTAATCACAGACTGTGATTGTATCACAGACTTTGAAAGCTTTTTGGCTTAAAACAACATACACTACAGTATTACTGTAACACTATAAAAGCTTAAATTGCAAAAGTACCAAGAGGCAATGTAAATATGTTTTAAACATAAGCAAAGAGTTTTGCAAACCTATGTGGCATTTATTTGGATTATGAAAAAGTGAAGTAAATTCTGAACTGAAAAAAAACATTTCGAGGCTTGTTCTAAGAGTTAGAATACTTTCTTTTTTGTCAAGCTGAGTAAGAAAAACATTGTGAATGTTTGAGGGATAGTTTTTTATCTCTCTGCCGGGTGCTTTCTAACACTAATAGTGAGCACCTCATTAACCTCTTAAATACACATTACTTGTTTTTCAGAGAAAAGAACTGTAAATAAATGTACAGTATGTAGACGGGTATTTTAGAGGCCAAGTCAAGCAGAAGCATTGAGAGAACATTAAATCCCAATTGACATTGTTTAGATTACGATGAGATTATGATGTTCCGAGTACACAGCGCATTCAGCAGGTAACAAACAACAGGTAACTCTTTTTAAAGCAATTACAGTTTTGGCTCCATTGACTCTAGATGATCCTTAAAAAAACACAGTGAACAAGAAGATTTGGTGAGCACAATAGCAAATGTAAATAACTCTCAGAATATTCCTACACCATTCTTTAGTTCAATCAATTCTTTTCCGACATTCTTTCTTTGATATAAAGCCATCGTTTTCCCTGAGACTATAACTTCTCCCTTGGTTCAATGCATATCAAGTTACATTTCTACAGAATAATTACTGTAATCTCCCTGGACCTAAAGCAGTAATAAAGGACATACATCACACTGATTGTATTTATATAGATAAACGGGCAGAGAGGACACTCTAGTAGGACGCTTACAGTGCATAATAAGCCATAATGAATCTTCAGCATGTTGTTGGATCTAAGTGAAAGTACTGGAAAATACATAAATCCGTGGGCCACTTTCTGAGTCTGGTGGGGTCAGGCTAGGGCATATTCGAATGTCCCCTTTTCTATTCCCTCAACACCGTCTGCCCATGTAGAAGATGGCATGCTGCTGTAAGGATCTAACAAAATCCTGAAACACCTCACAATCAGCAATCCCAGGAATATGAGCAACATTCCCACAAATGCGAAAGCTGTTTTCTGTTCCAGGGTCAAAGAATATGTCATTAACTCATTTCCATTCGACGCAGCCAGGGAGTGGTTGAAATGGATGTTACACATGGTGAGAGCAAAGCTTCTTCATTCTGCAGATACTGGGCACAGCTGTGGTTTACTTGCAGAAATCTGAAAGAGAAAGACAGGACCGTATTTCAGCTCTCATTGATACTGACGTTCTGATGAGACAAATGTTACTTAAAGCCATAAAATTATACTTCAACCTGGAGGCTCTACAAATCCAGCCTCTTTGCATCTTTCAAAATGTAACTTTTTATAAGTTTTTATTTATTTTATTAAAAAGGCTATGCTAGAGAATGAGCTGAGAAATGCTTGGTGTTACTTTTTATGATTCTATAGAGAAAGAAATTGCAATAGAAATACTTTTATTTGTGTATGAGCTATAAAAATACTAAAACAAATCAAAGCTTGGTTAACTTGTAATTTTATCTTGTAGCTCCTGCTCTAAAGCTGCCTACTTTCAACAACTTCTCAAATGAGTTAATTGATGAGACTTCAATAGAACAGACAGAATAAATGGCTTAATTGTCACAAGATGAAGAAAGGAAAAAAAGCAATTTTGAAACATATACATCTACTATCACTCTTTTAAAACAAATTTTTTGATACTCCGTGTAAAAAATTACTTTTTAAATATAGAAATAATCAGTTTCTTGTGATTATTTACATTTGGAGGTTACATTTCTTTTTAAATTGCTGATTATTTAAACATTTAGTGCAATATAATTATAATGTATCAGTTATAAAATGTAATAAACAGAATCCATGGATGTTTAAAAACAGCTTATCCCTAACTTTAACACACTATAACCCAATACTAATGTCATAACGTACAAGCTTATTATAATACCTCCCCCAAACTGCAAAATAGTAAGAACTACTACATATTTAATTTCACATTTACCCTGAAGCTTTATTTTTATGTTTCTGACTGCTTATGCAGGATGCAAAAGCCCTGAAAAAAGAAATGTTACCTGTTGCTTTCAGAGTATAGTTGAATGAATTAACAAGAAAGTAAAAGGATGATCATTTCAATCACATAGTAAAGAAATACAATATGTGGCAGGAAGGTTGCTACAGCATTATTGTTGCAGTTTAAATTGGAGGAAATACTTCCCTGTCTTTGGTTATGACCTGACCATATGAAGCTGTACCAGCTACACTTTTACACCCAAAACAAAGACGCAGTGTTTGCAAGTGTCCAGACTGCTGTGTGTCGTTTGGCATGCAGCTTACCTTCATTCCCACTTCATTCTCTCAGACTTGTTGCAAAGAATTCTACTTGAGAGGAGCCTATTCCTCTGCAGGAAAAACGATCAGCTTTTATATTGATTCTTCCACAGCCCTTTCATTAATTGTAGAAGACCAGCCCCAATCCAGTCTTGTGGCACTTTGGCTCCCACTGGCTCAGCTTCACACATGTTCAAAGGCAGAAAGCCTGATCTGTGCCCCCAGAAGACCACAGCTCCCTGGCCTTGGTTTTCCCACACAGGGAAAATAAATCCTCTAGAAAGAAGCTTTCTGCTTTTCACTGGCTGCTGGCATCCATTATGATTCAGCCTTCACATCTACCCCCTCAGAAAGTGTGCACACACCGTATAACTCGGAAGTCTCGACCATCCTGTCTGTCTTCTGTGCTCTGTAGCATACACACGCGCTGCAAGAGGCTAGAGAGGCAGTGCATTGCTCCAGAGCACTGGCCCTCCCTTGCCTCGTTTATTTGGCTATTTTCAAAACATCTCATCCCAGATGTTAAAGAAGTGCTGTGAGTTTGCCAGTGGGGCAGGCTCCCTGTGTCACTTCTGTCAATTAGTGCTGGCATGCAGTGAGCGAGCTTTGTGCACTTAAGCTAATATAAATCCACTTGTATTGTTTAATTGATGTTTTAATTGCTACAAGCTGCTTTTTAAAATTACATTAAAATCTCTGCTTACAGGCTTATCACCAAGTGTCCTCCTGATGATATAATATTGATCATCTGGCATGTGCGCAAGTTCTTTTCTACGTTCGTCTCAAAGCAAAAACTCATGTTGCAGATAATTATTTCCCTACAATGAAGAATGGAGTCTCTTATTTGTCATTCAGGATTCTGACTTTTGAGAAAGAAGCCAAATTAAAGTTAAAAATAAAGCTAAAGGATAACAGTCATTCTGAAACACTTCAATTTTTCTTGTAACTAATTTATTAGTAATATGAATTTCCTTTCACTTGCACAAATAAAAGGATCCAAATAAATCTATGGCATACCTTCAGCATATAAACTTACAAACATAACTTAAGGGTTTTGTTAGCTTGATGTTACAGGTGTTTTCATTGTATGTGAACACTTTGACCTATTTTTAAAATATTTAACATTAAAAAGCAACAGAAATCATTGTGAAAATCCTCAAGCTAATGTGGATATTTATTCTTATGATTGTCAATGTTAAGGTGAACTTCTGAGACAGTGTTTAATATTCTAGAAGAGTTTCAGACACCTTGCATACCCACCCTGTGATTTGCTCACCTCTAAGCAGGCATTAGAGACCATGCAGAATTGGTGTGTTGGGATTTAGGCCCATTGGCTCTTTTCCCATTATAAACAATTGACCCTATTAGAGGAATATGTGACTGTTGTTCAGGGATGCTTATATCAAGGTGACTGTGACATCTAAACAAACCAGATCTAATTTTCAGAATATCTGGACTTATTGTCAGAAACAGTTAGCTCAAGCTAACTGGGAAACATACAGTATGAGCAACAGTTTTAATATGTCTTGTTTTTAATTAAGCCCATGTGCAGCAGCTGAAAACATGAATAAAGACTTAATTCAAACTGAATTTCATTATGTTAAAGTATAAACCATTTAGAAACGTTTGAACTAGAATGAGAGAAAGGAGACAGCAAGGACAAAGGAGATAAGAACACAAGCCAGGGTATCGACTTCAATATCAAGGCTGGGTAGATTGTTCACAACCCCTTTGTACAACCTAAGATCCTCCTGCTCTCAGTTTTCCACTGCCCTTCCATGTAGTAATTCCATGTTTATTCCAGAACACAGGAAATGTAAGCTACCACAGTAGCATGTGATTATGATGGAATTGATTTATTAATATTTAGTATTATGATTGTAATTAATGTGGAATACGTAACAACAATAATGGATGCAAACAGAGCATATGGTACTGTATATGATGATTTTCAGAAAGCTTTTGATATAGTTCCTCATAAAAGATAAATTATCAAACTACAGGCAGCTGGCAGGTGCATATTTGGACAGAACTGGTAAATGGACAGAAACTAGAGAGTACAGATAGATAAGATTCAGATTGGGGTGGTGTGATTAGTTAAGTGCCACTTGGATCAGTTTTAGGACCCAATATCAATACATACTGTACATATATTTCTAGTGTATATCTGTACATACATAGATAACTCGTATATATATTGGATTTGTATTAAAGTCTTTTGCAGTTAAATGCACACAATATTTGTTTAAATAACTTAAAATACACTCTGAAGCCTGGTTAGAAGTATTACTATTAGTAATTATTAATTAGTAATTATATTATTATCAAAATTATGCAGCTACTTAAATAATTTGAACAACTAAGCTAATTAAAAATGTAATTGGAATAAAAACCAGAAGGCACTAGGTGCTCCAGGATTTGAGTTTGAGACCACTTCTCTAGTTTCTGGTGTATGTAGTAAACTTTAGGCTGGCAGGTGACACCATGACAGGAGGAGTAGTGAACCCTGTAGAAGCTGCAAAATAAATTTAACAACATGTAGACAGAATTCAAGACTAGGCGAACACCTGGCAAATGACACTTAATGTAGACAAAGGCACAATATTGAATGCAGGTAGCAAAAACATACACTATAAATCAACTGTTGTTTCCATTATTCATTTCTTGCATTTTAATGTTTCTCTGTATATAAGATAGGAAATACTGAATTTGAAGAAGCTGCTTCTGAAAATGATTTAGGTGTTTGTCTTGGTACATCACTTAGAGCTTCTAGTGGGCAATAAAAAAGGTAAATAGAATATTATGATTTATAAGTTGAAAGTGCAGAAATTAAAACAAGGGATGTTATGTTAGAAAGAGTGGTGGCACGGTGGGCAGCTTTGCAATGCTGGGGCCCTGGGTTCATCTCAAAACCGGTTCACTGTGGAGTTTGTATGTTCTCCCTATGATTGTGTGTCTTTTTTTCTGAGCGCTGTAGTTTTCTTCCAGAGTCCAAAAAGATATTTGTTGATTGGCTTCTGTGAGTGTGTTTGTGTGTGAGTGTCCTGCGATGGACCAGCGTCCCTTCCAGGCTTGATCTTGCCTTACGCCCGTTGCCTGACAGGATAGGCTCTGGCTCTCCTGTGACCTGTGACCTGTACTGGATGAAGCAGTAGGAAAACGGACAGGTGAGTGTTTAGTTAAACGTGTATAAACTTTGGTAAAACCTCATTTAGAATATTGTGTACAAATTTGGTCACCATGTTACCAAAAATATATTGCTGAAAACAATACAGGGAGGCGCTTCCAGATTTTCAGGCTTATGTCGTATACCGACAGAACCAAATCTTTTTAGTCTAGAACAGAGCAGGATATGAAGATACCTGATTCAAGTAAGCAACATCCTCAAAGGCATTAGCAAAGTCATTGGAGTTAATGAGCTCTTAACACCCAATCAAGCTGGATGGGCCAATTGGCCTCCTCTCGTTTGGAACCTTTCTTATTGTTCTTATAGAAACTGTAGTGTCTTGGACTCCCATGGGTTACATCTGTGGTTCTCACACCTGGTTTTGGAGGGATGCAGTCCACCAAGCTTTATGGGTAATGTATTATTATCAACATCTTCAATGAGTAAAGATGCCGAACTGTGGTTATAGAGACCAATTATGTGAACAACTGATTCAAATTAAGTCATTAAGAGTCCTAGATGAAATTAAACCAAGAAGTCACTGCATCCCTCCCGGACTACGAGTGAATATTAGTGGACTAGATTATTCTAATTCTTATGCCTTTAGAGTGGGGGGGGGGTCTTAACCTTGGCCCAGGGGAGCTCCAAT